GGTCCTCATAAGCCAGTGAGTGGTACAAAGGAGGCATCGTCGTTGAGAGCGAGGCCAAAGACCGCTGGTGTAAGGGAGAAACGCACAAGTTCCAGCTGCAAAGACAGAGTTGACAAGCGCATCTTACTACCCGGGTCCTCCCGGGGGGATTGTTCCGTTACTTGAGTCGGGGGGGGTGGGTGCGCGCTCCTTGGAACGTTGGATGTTGGACTTTGGCATCTTGTGGAAGAGCTTTGTGGGTGTTTCCGAAAAACTCTGCTTGAAAGTGATTTGATTTGGCATGCGGTATTTGGCAAATTTGAGTGTGGTGAAGCCCTTGCAGATTTGACCTCTTTCCAATTGATTGGGCATTGTTTGCTCTGCATTGCTCGAGACCGGATCGTGAAATTTTGATGTGAGTGGGGAGCATAGACCTTCGGCGCTAGGCATGGCGCTGAGACAACTATAGTTCTGTCTGGTTGATGCTTCACTGGGTGAATGTCTGACGTGCACTGGTATGGGCTGGAAACGTTAGATGGCGATCTCTTTCGTGAGGTAGGCAGGTTTTATTCTGGGCCATTTCAGTTTGTGGCTGCCTGGGATGATGAGGATGAATGCAGCCAGATGCTGCTGGAGTTCTTCGGTGGCACTCGTCCTGCTGACGAGCTAAATCGGCTGGTTCGGCGGCTGCTGGATTGGCGTGCATCGGTGGAACGGCGTGTATCGCTTCCCAGGCAAGTAGCAGATGTGGTCCCACGTAGGCCAGTCAAGTTCCCACGTCGGGAGCAAAGCAAAGAGGAGATTTTCAGTGGCCTGGTGCTTGGTAGTCCGGCGCTAGCTTTGGTGCTGCAGAAGTCGATCCGACAACGGAAGCTGATTCATGGAGCACAGGGCGAGAATCGCGAGGCTCTGCTGCGTGAGAAATGGGCTCTTGTGCTTGCGCAGTATATTGAGGAAGCTGGACTGCCTTGCGCTGCTAGGGTGGCTGCTCTGCCCAATCCTCGGGCAGCCTGGTGTCGGCTATTCGGCACTCGGCGTGGGAAGACGCTCCGCAATCGTGCTCTGGCATGGCGCAAGTTTCATTCGTGGCTTGAGATTACCTGCCTTTGTAGGCAACACGTTGGCTCCTTCATGCATTTGATGTGGGAGTGTAGGAGTGGACTGGATACCCCTGGTATCCCTCCAAAACCAAGGAACGTCTTGCAGCTCAGATTTGGGTGGCCTCTTAAAGGTCCAAAAATGCTTAACGCCCGAATCCTCAAACACATGTCAGCTAGAGTCGAAGCAATCTGGCAAGAACGCTGGAACTGGCAGGGTCCGAGAAGGTTGGAGCCCTCTTGAGGGCTTGCCTTCTGCCAGCTCCCTTTGTTTCACTATTTCTTTCTGCAGCCACTGAGGCGTTCAGTTGGCAGCGCCATGTGGACTTCCCTCTGCTGAGTAGTTAAGGTCCACTTTGTGGCCCTACCGTTTTGGGCATCTAAGGAGATGCTCCCTTTCCGTGTTGACTGCAACATCAAGGGCATCAACACTACAACGACATCATCGTGGCTTGAGATTACCTTCGGCGAAAGCTGGCCGGGAGGAGTTGACCGCTTCGTAAAGTATCTCACTGAACGACATGATATTCAGCCAATGGGAAAGACTGTACCATCTTCACGTATGGCAGCTTTATCAGTGCTTGAGAGTGTTGGGCAGGTGCCAGCAAGCAGCAGGTTTTCGACGGATCAACTGCTTATGAGCACGATCCAGTCCTGGACTGAAGAGCTCGAAACAGTGGCGTTGCCGGTCAGGAAGGCGCCTGCGCTTACTGTGGCTATGGTGTTGTCATGTGAGCTGACAGTCTGCAGGGTTACTCTTCCTGCGGGGCTACGTTTTCTTGCGTTTGTGCAGCTGCTCATGCTTTGGTCGACTATGAGGTGCGATGATGTGCAACACATTGATCCATTTTCAGTCACTCTGTCGCAGATCGGCTTGAAGTTCATTCTGCGCCGGACAAAGACTAGCGGACCGGGCCGGCGTACTGGCGAACTGCAAGGATATGTGTCAAGAGTGATTTGCTTGAGTGGTTTCGATTGGCTCTTGGAAGGGTACCGTTTGCTTCAGACGTCTGAGCTGCACTGGCCGCGGGATTATTTATGTCCAGCGATGGATGAATCCTGGAATGTTGGATTTTCATATGTGGAGGCTCAGGATTTGGCTGTACTTCTGCGTCGATTGCATAAGGAGCTTCGGGTGCCCTTGTGCCGCGAGGGCACTTGGGGAACAAGTGCCACGAAGCTGTTGCCCGGGTCGGTGGCCGCGTATTGGACAGGTCATTATGCGCGGCATACTCTGCCAACGTGGGCACTCTCGCTGGGTGCTGACAAATCAAAGTGCGATTTCCTTGGACGTTGGAGATGCTCGCAAGGCGGCTCTTTGGATTATCTTACAACTGCTCGGCAGATCGTGCAGGGACTACAGAACTTCGTTTGCAAATCCTTGGTAGAAGGGACTGCAGAGGGTGGATTGATTGAGGAGGAGCTCTTTCAGTCTATCCAGTCTTTTGCAGACGCAGCCGGGCAGGATGGCATTCAAGTGATTACGTGGCATCAGGTCCTCGAGTGGACCGATTACACATGGAAGCTCGGAGGCATTCACCCCTTGCTGGCGGTGGGTCCTGAGCGCTACGAGATTTCGCGTGGACGCCTGGAAGCTGAGTTGCCTGCTGAAGAGAAGGATGCTGGGGAAGAAGAATCTTCGCTTCCGGACATGCCGTTCTTTGTGACAATTTCTCGCTCTGGGTTCCGCCGTTTGCATCTCTCCAAGGCCTGTGCAGTTCGACAGGAGCGCTGTATGGAGACTGTGGGAGTGTCAAAGATCTCGGAGGGCGTTGCTGATGCGATCTGCAAACTCTGCCAGCCTAAGATATCAGCGGCGCAGGAGTCTTCCAGCAGTGGATCGGAAGATTCGCTGGCTCCAGGGAATGACGGGCAGGGGGAACCTTCGGGATCGGCGGAAGTTCCGGACTTGGATGATTCAAGCTAGTGTAGTGCTTCGGAAGGCGATTTGCGCGCTGAGTCGTAAAGTGTTGTTGGCTGTTGCACTTGCTTGCAGTCGTAGGGGTGGAATGATTGAGTTGAATGTTGGTGGCACGTTGCTCGTTGCGAGCACGAATGAAAGATGTGCCGATGTGATCAAGAGCAAGGGACTGAGATGTAGCTCACTGCAGTCACAGGATGGCTGGAATGTGATGTAAATCAGGGCTCTTTGCTAGCTCTGGTGGTGTAGTTGAAGGTTTCCTTTGAGTTTGTGCGTTTTACTGCAGTTAGTGATACCACAGGCATGGCGGGAGGCGCGCTGGTCCACTCGATTACCCCAATGGCATCGATGAGGCAGCGGCTTTGCGGCATCTGGACGTGGAGGTGGCATCGGATCTGCGGCATATCTTCCAGGAGTGCGGGGTGCCTCTGCCTTTGCAATACCGCTTGAGCATCAACTTTCGTACTGTGAGACGCTTTGCGAGTTATGCTGATTCAAGGGCTGAAGTTCGGGCTGCTCTTCGGACTGATCACACTCTGGATGCTACGGATCAAGCTTCCCGGGCTGTGGTGGCCTCTGTGGTAGCTGCTTGGGAAGCTTCCAAAGAGTATGCTGGCAAGGAGGCATCGCTCAAAGCAGAAGCGCGGGTCTTAGGTGTGGTGCGGCCGGTGACACAGACAGAGAAGCAGGCTATGCGTGCAGCTTTCGAGGCTGTTCATGGATCCATTGAAGAGACCTACGAGCCTTCGGAGGAGTACTTGTCAGCCAAGATAGAGGAGGTCGAATCTGGTGAAGTGTCGGCTTCACCGCTTTCGGAGGTGATCTCAAAGAAGCGGGCCAAGACGCAGGGCATTCAAACCAGTGTGGACACGACGGGACATGTTCGCATCGTTCGTCAGAAAGCCAAGGGAAATCTGCCCGCTCATACGGAGCTCCGTACTGTCCTACGCGTTGAGGCGAACATAGCAAGTATCGGAACCAGGCCATGTTCCGTGGCATGACTCCAGCAGTGTGGCTGGACTATGTCAACTACTTGTTGGGTGACAAAGTCTACTTGATGCAAGTCCCGACTCCCGGGGGAAAGGGCAAGGGTGATCAACAACCACTTCGTCCTCCGTGGCAGGTGCTGCTCACATATGAGTATGAGATGCGTCGCGAAGCTGTCAAGAAGGCCTTCCGTGAGTCGCGGGCACTGGTGGATACATTGGCAGAGGTTCAAGGAAATGCTCAGTTGAAAGAGCAATTCTTCGTGTCCCCCATTGCGCTCCAGGGTCGCAGTGAGCCTGCTTGGAAACGTCCCTGGCAACCCGGTGGCGAATCGGAAGCAGCCTGGGGAAAATCCTGGGACAAGTGGCAGAAAGGAAATCGCAAGGGCGACTTCAAGGGTAGCAAGAAGGGCAAGGAGGCAAAGTCGGGCAAGAAGGGCAAGGACCGCAAGGGTGGTGATCTTGTGACTCGCACGCCCGACAATCGGCTCATCTGTTTTGCTTACAGTGGGGCCGGCTGCGACGGGAGCTGTGGCATGGTACATTGCTGTCAGGTCCGCGGCTGCGGCAAGCCACATCCCACTTGGCAGCATTGGATGGAGCATCATGGTGCTTCGCGGGCAACAGATGGGGCTGGCGCGAAGAGCTGACTTTCAGTGCTGTACTTGTTCGCTGGCAAGCCTCGTGACGGAGACCTCGCAACACAATTGCGTCGCTTGGCTGATGTGCATGGTTTCCCTTTGAATTTGCGTGAGATTTGACATTTGTCGGGATGGAACTAAGTCTGACCTTTCTAAAAAGGCTCTTTGGGATTCATTGGAAAAGGAAATTCGTTCGGGCGCTTGGGATGTGGTGATCTTGTCACCTCCATGTTCCACTTTCAGTCGCGCCCGCTATAGATCTCGGTCGGATGGCTCCGGGCCCCGACCGCTGCGCTCCCGCTTTCATACGTTTGGTTTTCCTTGGTTGTCTGCGTCGCACCGCGCACTGGTGCAAGAGCATAATTTGTGTGCCGCTATGATTCAACTGATGTCTTCGCTGGGACATTTCTGGTTGCTTGAACATCCGGAAGATCTGGGTCGCCTGCCCAATGGCGATGACCCAGCTAGCATTTGGCAATGGCCTCAGATCCGGACTGCAGTGGGCGACGCCCCTTGTTGGGGCCTCCGCCAGTGCGATTACTCCGCCGATACTCCAAAACCTACTCGCTTGGCTTCGAATCTGCCTGGGGCTCGAGTCTTTGGGTCTTCCTGGCCCTCCTTTCAGGAAGATGGGACATATGCAGGGCCCATCCTTCGTTGTGATCACCATCACGGACCAGGGGCTCGTTGGTCATCGGGCCAGTGGCGCACTGCCGGTACTGAAGCTTACCCATCCCCGCTTTGTGCCTTTCTTGCTGACCTGATTGCCTCGGCACTTTCTGCTTCCTTTAGCACGGATGGTCCGGAACAGCATGCTGCTGAACAGTTTGCTAAGTTTCTCTTGCAGCAGGACAGGCCCCCTGCTCCACACGATGCCGAAGCACTGATCACCCTCTTGCCACTGGAGGCCCCGCATGTCAGTGCTCAGACTGCGGCTGGGCAAGCCTTCTTTGGCGGGGCATACTGCAAAGGGGGAGTTGTTGGCCTTCGTAGGTCCTGCCGCGAATTCCCGGCCACCCTTCGGGTCCTGTGCACTTTGCTCCGCCATGCTTTTCCAGGCCAGATCTTCTCTTCTGTTGCGGTCTTTGTGGATGCAGCCACACAGATGCCTCGGGATTCACATAATGCACCCTATCCAAATCTTCTGCTAGCACTTTCGACGTTCTCCAATGGCCAGGTGTGGCAGCAGGATCAGAATGGGGATGTCTGGCGCACGGTGCATGGGACTCCGTGTCCGGGGGTCCTCTTGGATGTCGCTCGGGCACCACAGCTTCTTCGAGCTTGGGAGCGCTTTCATCAGACTGAACCCTGGTCTGGAGGTCTCGGGTGGTGCTCGTTGGCTACTGCGTCCGCCAACTGCCGGCTCTTGACGTGAGCTCGCTGTCCTTGCTTTCGCACTTGGGCTTTCTGCTCCCGCCGTCAGTCACTGCTGGCGTTGCCCGGGGTGATACAGCAGAGACCTTAGCGGAGCCCTCGGGTCCTGTCGCCGATGCTGGGACACCCCTTGCATCTGATAAGGAAAGGGCGACTGGACCTCATAACGGTGCCCCGGTGGCTCGTCCTGCTCCCGCCGCGGTTGGGGTTTCCTCCTCCCCTTCAGGTTTAGGGCCGCCGGGTAGTTTTGGGGTTGCAGACATGTCGGACTTGGAGGAGGCAGAGGAAGTCGTTGTTTTGGTCACCGCAATCACCCGAAAGGGCGTGTGTTTGTTGATGGGTTCGGCTTGTGCTCTCCGGGGCGTTGGCGCCCGGAACAGCGAGGCATGCTCTCAAGTCGAGAGGAGTGGCAGCATGCTGAGCGGGTGCAAAGGGCGATCCGGAACTTTGTGCTAGAGGAGGTTGGTGACTTGCGCAAGGCTGCTTTGCAACTGGCTGTCGGAAGGATGAAGTCGTCCCCCTTTAGTGAACAGGGCGTGCAGCGTTTGAGGCAGCAGGTTGCAAGCATGCTGCCAGACCCGGATCTGGCTTTGCAGGTCCCAGAGCGCCAGCCTTTCTTGTTGCACTTGTTGTCGCAGTCCTTGAAGTTGCTGGGTGATCCAGATTGGGCATGCCTCTCTCAAGGGGAGGAGTGCTTTGCGATGGGCGTGCCACTGGGTGACGAGGTTCCTTTGCCGCGTACGCCGCAGGTGTACCGGGAACGTGTGAAGGAGCGGACCTTGGATGTCACCCCCTTTCAGCAAATCATGAATAACTATGAGTCTGCGGAGCTTTCAGCCGATAAGCTTGAAGAACATTTTGCTGCGGAGGAACGGGCCGGTCGCATGATCCCGAGCACGGAACCTGCCCTGCGGGCAGAGTATGGGGACACCTTGCTGGTGGCCTCGATGGGTGCCTTACTTAAGCCGAATGGCGACATCCGTCCGCTGCACGACGGGACTCATGGCATTGGCTTGAACAATCGTATCAAAATTCTCGATCGCTTGGAAATGCCGGGACCGGATGAAATCCTTGAGACGGTTGCTTTGGGGCAGGAATCTAAAGAGGCAGTGTTTTGCATTTCTGCAGATATCGCTCAGGCTCACCGCCTGACCAAAGTCCGCCGTGCCGATTGGGCCAAGCTTGGATGCAAGGCACGCAGTGAGGCGCGTACTGTTTGGGTAAATACTGTCGGCACGTTTGGGATTTCCTCTGCTGCCTATCACTGGTCCCGCTTGTTCGGCTGTATAGGCCGTTGGGTGCACAGGGTCATGCTGACCGTTTGGCAGATGCAAGTCGTGTTTGCGGATGATCTTCACCTCTTGACTGCTGGACAGCACAAATTCCTCACGATGTGGATGTGCCTGGCTGCCTACGAGTTGGTTGGCACGCCGTTTGCCTATCGTAAGTTCCGGGGCGGTACTGTTGTGGATTTTGTGGGATATGAAATCTCATACTCTGAATGGAGGGCTGGCATCTCCGAGCGGAGGTGCTCGTGGCTGGTCAAGTGGATTCTGGAAGCCGAGCAGGCTGACTGGATCGTGGTGGGGCGGTCGGTGATCGAGCTCGCTGGGAGGCTTTCCTTTGTGGCTCGCTTGCTGACTTGGATAAAGCCATTCTTGTCCCCCTTGCACTCATGGTGCGCTGTCCTCGCCCGAGGCACAGCGGTTCGAATGCCTGTGTTGGTCTATCTTTGCCTGATCTTCGTGAGGCGTCAGCTGCAGGATCGTGGACGCTTGGTGCGGCCTGTTGTAGACTGGCGGGCCTCTCGCCAGGCCTTTCGCACCGATGCCAAATGTGCACCGAATCGTGTGGTCCTGGGTGGCTGGCTGTTGGGCCAGGAGGGAATTCCCCGGAAGGCCCCGTGGTTCTCTCTTGCCCTTTCCCCGTTGGAGGCACCGTGGTTGTTTAAGCCGAATGGAGAATCACAGTGGGCCTCGACGGCTGCTGAGCTGCTTGCATCGTATGTCGCATTGGTTGCTTTCGGGTTGCTGGAGGGTTCACGTGCATTCGGGGATACCTTTGATGCCGTGCTGGTTGGTGGCACGGACAATCAGGCGACCCCTCAGGCGCAGGCCCGGGGTTCTTCTGCCTCGTGGCCACTTCTTGGCATCTTGATGCAAGTCACTGCAACTCTGCAGCCGCATGGAGCTCAGATGAAGTTGGTCTGGCGGCCGCGTGAGACTAATGTTGAGGCAGATGATTTGACTAACGAAAATTTCGCCTTGTTTGACAGTGAGCAGAGGGTCAAGGTTAGCTGGGACGACATTCCGATGGATTTTATGCGAGAGCTTGCAGCTGCTCACGAGGATTTCCTTGAAGCGAAGTCTTTGGCACGTGCATCTTCAGGCCCTAAGATGAAGAGTTCGAAGAAGCAGAAATTGGCGGAGAGAACCTCGTGGTGAAACGGATTGCAGGAAGGAGGGGCACGCCGCTCCGGACGCCTGCGGGAGGGGTGACTCGCCCGGATCAACGTGCTGGGTGATGCATTCTGCTGATACGCATGGGTCCGTTCCATCCTGCACAAAAAGAGAGAGCGCGTCGGATGCTGTTTGTGAGTGATTGCTGTGGTGATGTTTAGTCATGGAACTTTATGCGCATCGCGCTTGCACCCGACCCTTCGGCTCAAGTGGAGGAACAAACTACCCGGGTCCTCCCGGGGGGATTGTTCCGTTACTTGAGTCGGGGGGGGTGGGTGGGCGCTCCTTGGAACGTTGGATGTTGGCCTTTGGCACCTTGTGGAAAACCTTTGTGGGTGTTTCCGAAAAAAACTCTGCTTGAAAGTGACTTGATTTGGCATGCGGTATTTGGCAAATTTGAGTGTGGTGAAGTCCTTGCAGATTTGACATCTTTCCAATTGATTGGGCATTGTTTGCTCTGCGTTGCTCGAGACCGGATCGTGAAATTTTTGATGCCCGCCCGCCACGTCCCAAAATTTCCCCTAATCGCCGGCTGCCCGTGTCTGTCCCGGCTCCTTGTGTGGTTTGTGTTCCCTAGGGTTTAGGTCCCTCTAATACCTCAGCACTTGCTGAAACTGCTTTGCCGAATGCTGGCGCTGGCATACCGCTGACAATTCTCTTGTCAGTCCGATAACTTCTTGACCAAGGCTCTGCCACTACGTGGGCACTCTGTGCCTGGATTCACTCGTTTCACCAGGGGTGACTCGCCCGGATCAACGTGCTGGGTGACTCGCCCGGATCAACGTGCTGGGTGATGCATTCTGCTGATACGCATGGGTCCGTTCCATCCTGCACAAAAAGAGAGAGCGCGTCGGATGCTGTTTGTGAGTGATTGCTGTGGTGATGTTTAGTCATGGAACTTTATGCGCATCGCGCTTGCACCCGACCCTTCGGCTCAAGTGGAGGAACAAGCGTCTGCTTGCGACGTTTCCCCTGGCCGGCCGGAAGCCCCCGACCCTCGTTTGCAGTCTCTGTCCGCAGTGGGTCGCCAGACCCGTAAGCATAAGCCCTTGGTTTCCGAATACAAGTTCGTGCGCATCATGCCGCGCGGCCAAATTCCCCCCTCCGGTTGCAAGGTCCTCGGCGCGCCTCCCGTGCAAGGGGGTGACTCGGGGGAGGCCGCCGAAGTTCTTCCTGAAACTTCTCCAGATAGGGGTGAGGATTGCCAGGTTGGTTTCTACAGAGATCCTAGTGAGTGGTTCCAGGCTGCCAAGAAAGTGTGCCACCCTCTTGACTCCGAGAACGATCTCCCAAAGGAGCTGAAGGCTTCCCTTGAGGCCAACATGGTTGCTGATCGCCGGGCCCTGTTTCTTCGTCGAAAACTCGCACTGATGAAGGCAGAGATCCTTGCCAAAAAGTTGGAACAAGACGAGAGCAAGCTTCACTCAGCTATGCCATCGTGGATGCAGACTGTGATGCAAGGCAAGAGGATCTTACTTCTGGAGTCATTGTTGCGACAGCACAACTTTGACGACATGGAGGCGATCGAGCTTCTAAAGTCGGGTGTGAGGTTGTCGGGTGTGTCCGAATGCCCTGCGGCCTTTGATGTCAAAGTGAAATCTGCTACGTCTACCGAAGCGGAGCTACGTCAAGTGGCTCCCTTGAAACGAGCAGCGTTACTTCTGGAAAATCGTGTCTCTGACCCCGAGCTCGAACGCGATTTGCTGAAGGTGACTATGGACGAGGCAAAGGCTGGATGGCTTCAGGGGCCTTTCAGCAGTGAAAAGGAAGTTTCAGAGCACTTGGGGAGGTCGGATTGGAGTTTGATGCGAAGGTTCGGCGTTCGACAAGGAGGCAAACTGAGGCCGATTGACGATGCCTGCGATTCCGACTTGAACAGCACTTTCACCAGCGCCATGAAGCTAAAGTTACAGGACGGTGACTTTTGCATCTCTTTGGCTATGGAAATTGCAAAGCGCGTAGTGGGAAAGCCGGGAGTCGTACCTAGAGAGTGGAGTGGCCGATGCCTTGATCTAAGTGGTGCTTACAAACAGATGGCAGTTTGTGAGCAACATCGGAGCTTGTGTGTTCTGCTTCTGCGTGATGCCGATGGCCACCCAATCTTCTTCATTTCTTCAGCATTGGTTTTTGGGGCTTCAGCTTCAGTCTATGCCTTCTTAAGAATAGCTCGGGCCTTGAGCTTCTTAATGAACGTCGTGCTGGAGATCCCTCATGCAAACTTCTTCGACGACTATCCAATCCTTGTGCCTTCGGAAGATGCTGAACAGGTGGGCCTCTTATGCACGAAGTTCCTGCACTTGTTGGGTTGGAAACATGCCGAAATTGGTGAGGGTCACAAAGGCCGCCCCTTTGCGAAATCCTTTGACGTGCTGGGCTTGCATCTCGACGTCTCTTGCATATCTTCAGGGATTTTGACGGTGGCTAACAAGCTCGGCCGGGTTGATCGACTCCTTGAGCGCCTTCGAGAGATCCAGGAGTCAGCAGTCCTCAGCCGCCACGAGGGCCAAGTCCTTCTGGGCCTCCTGCGGTACGCGGCTGGGTTCTTCGGAGGCAGAACTTTACGTTATGTCTGTGAGGACTTGAACGCCATAGTGCATCATGGACATCACCCTTCCCCTGTTGCGGTTAAGATGCTTTGTCGACGCGCCATAACTGCATTGGAATCGTCTAAGCCCCTCCAGCTCAAAGCAGATATGCCGAGTTCTCCGGTGCATCTCTTTACAGATGGCAGCTGGGAAAAAGGTGTGGCCGGAGTTGGGGCTGTGTTTTTCGACTCACACGATGGATCTGCAGAAGTTTATGGAGGCGAGATGCCAAAGGACATGGTCGAGTCGCTTCAACAGACAGACGGTGATCACTTGATTGGACAAATCGAAACCTACGCTGTCGTGGTCATGCGGATACACCTGGCTCATCGTTTTTCAGGACGCCGGGTGATCATTTGGACAGACAATGAAGGTTGTCGATTTGGGCTCATAAAAGACCGTTCAAAATCCCACACGATGGACACTTTGATCAGGAGCTTCGCTGCTGCCGAGGATGCCAATCCAAGTCACACCTGGATATGTCGTGTGCCGAGTTACTCGAACATCGCCGATGGGCCTTCTCGGGGAAAGCCTGAGGAGGCTCTGAGAATTTCGGGAGCTGCTGCGTGTCAGTCTTTTCCATGGATTCGGCAAGCGTTCGAACTTACCTGATAGCTCTCTTAAAAAGGGGGTATTTCGGGAGAGCAGGAAATCGCGAAACCAGATCGCATCCTGTACATGCTTGCCCCACGACTGAAGAAAAAGCGCGTCAGTGTAACCGAATGAGTCTTCAACACATATATGTGATTGAGTTTCACAGGTGTACATAGAAGATGGAATTACTTTTGAGATTTCACAAGATAGACCTTTTCGCTAAAGCTTATTCCAATCATGAGGAATAAATTGTACACAGATTGCGTTCTATATCTTTTTCTATAAAACCCCAACTTTTGTGAGAGGGAAAATTTCAGCTTGCCTGACATTTCTCTCTCAAACTAAAGTTGTAGCGCTCCACCTTCGAGCGCGGGGTTTTAGAGTTCTTTTGTGACCTTTGGGAGTTGCAAAAATTATTTCAAGTTTTCAAAGAATTTTCCTCAGCATCTTGAACGACATTTTCAACTGTGTGACTTGCAGCATGCTTGAATCAACAGTTGGCCGCATTCATGTGAACAGCTGCTCGAGCTCGGGCTGAGAGAAAATTTTTGTCCCTCCCACCCACCCGTCTCAGTGTTGGGTCTGTATGGGGTATTTCGGGAGAGCAGGAAATCGCGAAACCAGATCGCATCCTGTACATGCTTGCCCCACGACTGAAGAAAAAGCGCGTCAGTGTAACCGAATGAGTCTTCAACACATATATGTGATTGAGTTTCACAGGTGTACATAGAAGATGGAATTACTTTTGAGATTTCACAAGATAGACCTTTTCGCTAAAGCTTATTCCAATCATGAGGAATAAATTGTACACAGATTGCGTTCTATATCTTTTTCTATAAAACCCCAACTTTTGTGAGAGGGTCTCCTTGCGCCAATAATTGTTCGAAGTCGCCTTGTCTTTTGTCATTGACAAGATTAAAGTCTCCTCCAATTATTACGGGATGGGCAGCGTCCCTGACAAAACAGCTAAGGGTGCCGAAAAGCCTATTCCAGTAAGCTGGGTGCCAGTAGACAGAGACCAACCAATAGCTGACAGCCCTAAGCCTAACAAGTACTGCCTAAACCTGTGAAAACTCGCCGAGTTCCCCTTGGTTTCCTGCAAAAGAACGGGACATTGATGTGCGCGACAGCTGCGGAGCTGGCAGGGGCTGTCGCCCCCTCTGCATGCTCGCTGCTCACCGCAGCGCACACAGGTCGCTTCAGTTGAAGGGATTTTTCGGGTTTAGAATCTAGGGTGTTTAATTGAGGGTTGAAGGTTTGAGGGTTCTAGGGTTCAGGGTTCAGGGGTTTCTAGGGTTTAAGGGTTTTTAGGGTTTAGGGGTTTTGAGGGTTTAGGGTTTTTGTGTTTCAGGGTTAGGGTTGAGGGGTTTTAGCGTTGAAGTGGGTCCCAGGATTCAGGGTTGAGAGGGGGTTTTAAGGGGGTTGTTCGTGTTGAGGGTTTGGGGGTGTTTCGGGTTTAGGCCATAGCGTTGAGGGTCTTTGGTTTTTTAGGGTTTGGGGATGTTTGGGGTTTCAGGTTTCGGGAGTTGTTCGGGCTTAGGGTCTCGGGTTTTTTAGAGTTTTGCGTTTAGGGTTTTCTTTAATTAAGGTTTAGGGGCTTCTAAGGTTTCGGGCTAGGGTTTTTCGGGTCCAGGGCTCAAGGGCATTTAGGGTAGGGTGGGTTTGTTTTGGGGTTTAGGGGGTTTAGCGTTTAGGGTTTAGGGGTTTTTAGGGTTTAGGGTTGAGGGGGGTTTTAAGGGGGTTGTTCGTGTTTAGGGTTTGGGGGTTTTTCGGGTTTAGGCCATAGCGTTGAGGGTCTTTGGTTTTTTAGGGTTTGGGGATGTTTGGGGTTTCCGGCAGGTTTCGGGAGTTGTTAGGGCTTAGGATCTCGGGTTTTTAAGAGTTTAGCATTTAGGGTTTTCTGTAATTAAGGTTTAGGGGTTTTAAGGGTTTCGGGTTAGGGTTTTTCGGGTTTAGGGCTCCAGGGGCATTTAGGGTTTATGGGTTAGGGGTTTGTAGGTGGTTTTTTTTGGGGTGTAGGGTTTAGGAGTTTTAGCGTTTAGGGTTTAGGGGTTTGTAGGGTTTAGGGTTGAGGGGGGTTCTTTGGGTTTTTCGGGTTTAGGCCATAGCGTTGAGGGTCTTTGGTTTTTAGGGTTTGGGGATGTTTGGGGTTTCAGGTTTCGGGAGTTGTTAGGGCTAAGGGTCTGGGGTTTTTAGAGTTTAGCGTTTAGGGTTTTCTTTAATTAAGGTTTAAGGATTTGTGGGTTAGGGGGTTTGTAGGGTGAGTTTTTTTGGGGTGTAGGGTTTTAGGGGCTTCGCGTTTAGGGTTTAGGAGTTTTTAGGGTTTAGGGTTGTGGGGGGGTTTCGGGTAGAAATTTTAGCGGGCGTTGGTAGATTTTTGGTTTCGGGGGAGCAAGTCACTCTTGGTGAGAGGCAAGCCTGCGGTAAGCCTGACCTTGTCAAAGCAAGCGCAAGCTTGGTGTCCCTACTTACCCAGACTTGCCGAGACAAGTTTAATAGTCTGTGAGATGATTCACATGCCGCGTAGCTGGGGTCAGGCGCAGCCGTCTTTGTATTGCCAATCACGTTGGCCATGTTTTGATTCAACTTGTTGCGTCGTCCCCATGGTGAGTAGGCAGGTAGGCTCGAATCAATACAAAGGAAACAAAAATAGAAGGTTTCCGGGCATTGTTGTTTTGTGCCTGGCTGCGGGGCCTCGGCCGCCTGGGCTTGGCTGCGGGCAAAAAGCTGTTGATCAATGTGATTGGCTCGACTGCAAAAGGATCCAAAAAGCAACCGTGCAAGCTTTGTTTATTTTGTTTGTCCCCCTTTCCCACGTTTGTATATTGCGCAGAGGCGGCGCAGGCCGTGGTGGTCATCTGAAGACATTAGCAATGTCAAGTCTTCATTTCCATAGGTGTGGTGTGCAGTGCAGCAGGTTGCGCGGTGGTATGAGAATCAAAATCAGGATCTTGTGGCTACAGCCCGGATAATGATCTACCAGCTTTGTCTCTGGCCCTCGAAGGTGTGCGCCAGGAAGGGCGCGGGGGCGTTGCGGGCGCAGCCCGAGCGCAGGCGTTAAAAAAGATAAAGATTGCTTGTTTTCCCAATGTTTTCCCCGTAATGAAACGCTAAGTGCGTTGACACCATTTTTCCGGTGATTTTCGTAAAAAACACATTTTCTCTGCGTTCAGGGCCGAGACCAGTTTTTCGGAAAAAACGCAGCCCCGCGATTCTCCGCGATTCTCCCGCGATTCCCCGCGAAATGCCCGCGAGCGGATTCCGGGTACTTTTTTTCCGCGCGAGTTGCCCGCGAAGTGCCCGCGAAGGGTTTCCTGGTGTGTTTCTTCCGCGCGGGCCCCCCGCGATTCCCCGCGATTCTCCGCGATTCTCCGCGATTTGGAGCGAAAACACATCTTTGTGCTGTGGGCGGAGGGGGCCAATTTTCAAAGAAAAAATGGTGCGCCGCAGCGTTTTTGGTGTTTTCAATTAATCTTTGAGGTTTTTAAAGTTTTTGGTTGAATTTCTGGCGTGCGTCCCCGGCTTCCGCTGCCGCCGCGTCTGTGGCCGCGGCCACCCCCTTAGAGGGTTTTTTTTTGATTTGTTTTGCTCCCGGTTTTGGCCCCTCCCCTCCCCTTCCTGCCCTCCCACCTGTGGAGTCCGGTCTCTTGCTGCTGCTTGCAACCGGCAGACCTCGTTCTTCCCTTGGGCGGGCGCCGCAAACGGGCAATAGGGGTTTCCATCTTCTTAAAGTGAGATCGAGTCATCCATGTTGCAAGTGACTGGCAACACATGCCGCACCATGATCTGCAAAGGGACGTCCCAGCCAAATAGAGGGGTCCCAGGCAGCCCAGGCAGGTTGCAGGAGAGGAGGCTTAGGCCGCGGGGGATCCCAAGCTTTGGCTTGCTTCCCCCACCTTTCAACATTGCCAGGCCAGCATTTAGGGGAGGCTTCAAAAGGTTCGCCGGGATTTCTGGGGCGGAGGACGTTCTATTTTGTCTTTGGGTTGACCAATTCTCCCCACTCAAGATTTTCATCGGTTCGGAAACAGCTTCTGAAACGCACACTGCGTGCCTTGCTTTTCAAGCTTGTCGCTTGATTTCTTGCTTTCGGTCCGTGCTGCAACGCAAGCAAGCATGAAGCTTCTGTTTCTCTTATTGGCGCATCAGCCCTAAGTGGTCCAGATGACCAGTGCTTCATAAGCACGGGGGCCTCTCCACTAGACGCTCCCGCCAAAATTACTAGTTTCGGGTTCAGGCCATAGCGTTGAGGGTCTTTGGTTTTTTAGGGTTTGGGGATGTTTGGGGTTTCAGGTTTCGGGAGTTGTTAGGACTTAGGGTCTCGGGCTTTTTAGAGCTTAGCGTTTAGGGTTTTCTTTGTGGATGTACTTGTACACGCATGTTTGCAGCTAGCACGCAACGGCAAGTATGCACTTAACGCATCCGCCCGCCCGGCAGCTCTGGCTCCGAGGTTAAGTGCTTACTGCTTGTCCGTTCGACTTTGAAGCTGATTTTGTAGCTCTTGGTTGTTTGTCGGTGCTGCATTAGCACTGCCTCCTGAGCCATGGCTTGTCCGCTGTTTTGACCCGCGGTCATCTCAGCTCGAAGATCTCGACAAGGCACCGTGTGCCCGCTGTCATTTCTTCTAAGATCTTTCTGCCGCGCAGTCTGATCTTTGCTCCGCTGAGCTTCCCTGCTGTCCGCTGACACAGGTTATTACCTATTCATTCTGCCGCGCAGTTTGAAATTAAGCTCCGCTGAGCTCACCTGCTGTCCGCTGACACAGGTACGGTGTAGACGCTCTACACCACTGGTCGGAACCTTTGCACTGCGTGCTCAGCTTCCTTCCAGTTGCATACGGTTAGTACCGCGTACTCTCCGATATGCCAGCTTGCAATTTTACCGCGTACTTCTGCTCTGTTGCTCCGCTGAGCACTGACTTCCAGTCCGCTGACTGAGGTCTTCTGAGGTTTTCTAGTCGGTGTACGACTACATAACCTCTGGGTGCCGCGCTCAGTGCCGCGTACTCAGCCGCATCCGACCGTTCCTCTGCCTGCTATCCGCTGACTCAGGCGACCTTGACACCGCGTGTCCTGGTCAGACTCCTCGAGGACAGTCTTTCCTTTCTTTTGTTTTCTTTTTTTTTTTTTGCATTTGCGTTTTGCTTCTCAGTACTTTTGTCTGCCCTGCTCATGTTCGCATGAATCAAGCAGTTTGGTGCATTGCAGTCAGCTCAGCTTGTGCATGATTGGTTTTTGTGTGCTCCGTCAGCTATCAAATGCTCTGGCTATTCAACCTCTTCAGCAGACCCACTGCCCGTGACGGAGCCATGTCCAACCGTGCAGATGCATTTTCCCGTTCCGGTGACGCTGCTGTGCCGCCCGCCCCCGCTGGCCCCGCCTCCTCCGTGCCTGCAGAATCCGGTTCCCAAGGATCGGCCGCTGCGGATCTTCGTGTTCGTGATTCCGCCCGTCAAGCCGAACTTCTGCACTGCTGGAGGTCTATCTGTGAGCACTCCATGGAGGACGCCGCCCGCGCGCTGAATTTTTGGACTTCCGCTCCGTCCTCTTCATTGAGGAAGTCGCCCGCGATGTGGTCATGGACCGAGTCGGAGTCGGACCATGTCATGGAGGAGGCCGCTCCGCAGCCAGCTTCCGCCGACCCGCAGGCCACAAGCCCGCCGCCTGCCCAAGCTCCTACCAACCCTGCAGAGCTTCTGCGCGAGCGCCAGTGGCATTCTAGCACGTCGCACGGCGTGCACACCGACCCGCTGCAGCGTGTTGAGCCACGCCCACTCCGCCATGAGCACTTGCGCTTTGACCCCGCCATCGGACACCGTGCTGTCGCACCCGATGACTCCGCGACCAGCCAGCGCTCCGACCGCTCCCGCCTGCCAGTGGTCTGTCCGACAGCCCCAACAGACCCCCGGCCCGACGAGATGCTCAACTTCGAGATGGGCTACACCGAGTCCCTGCGGACCTCTTCTGCTTGCATCCGGACGAGATTCCCCGCTGGCTCAATTCGTGTCTGCAGCCGCCCGCAGACATGCACTGGAATGGAACAATGCTTAGGGACAGGAAACGGTGAGGGCGGAGCAGAGGTGCGGACAAAGGAGGGATTAAAACCCGGGGAAGAGGTCTAAAACCCGACCTAAGGGGGGAAAGTTTAGGGGAATTAAGATTCGACAGCTGTGCTGATGGGACAATGCACGGGCGGTAAGCGGGATTCAGTGCACCCTGAAACCAACGCGGAGGCCTCGCCTGCGGGCGATAGGCAGCAGGACGAATCGTAGGGTGTGCAGCCGAAACCACGGAAAAAGAACAAGGTGAGGAACTCAACTCCTGGGCCACAGTGACTGGGTGAGTAGGTGCCAGCCTTCCCGCCTCTGTGCGCGCAGTCCGCGCCACGCATATGATCCACGCACTGCTGCTACTCTTCCCACGTTCTGCGGAAGCCGCCTGTGATCTGCTTACTGACCGCTGGGTTGCACATGTGACTGAGCTTGCCTCGGCTTCCGCTCTGTTTGTTGAAGCCGCGGCCTCTGCAGATCCGGAATTCTTCATTGCCCGTGTGGCTGGGATGCCTGGTGTGCGTACTGCACTGATCTGCACGCTGACCCCGCCAACCCGCGTTCGGGTACCCTGCCTGATTGGTTCCGCTCACGCGCCAGTGCTCAAGGCCTTGCCACCATGCCCTTTAAGGCCCTCAGCTGGTTCTCCAAGAAAGCGGGTCTTTCGCGTCTTGATGCCCTTTTGCATGGTGCGATTGCCCGCTCTTTCTTGTCACCTTCCGCTCCAGTGGAGCGACGTGAAAGCCTTCCCTTCTCCCTCAGCTTTGACTAGTGTTGGCTGTGAACGTGGATGTACTTGTACACGTATGTTTGCAGCTAGCACGCAACGGCAAGTATGCACTTAACGCATCCGCCCGCCCGGCAGCTCTGGCTCCGAGGTTAAGTGCTTACTGCCCGTCCGTTCGACTTTGAAGCACCCACCGCCGTCCCCTATCGGACCATCCTTCTGTCTTCCTTGCCGCAGTCCTTTCCTCGCTGTGGCCTGCTTTTGTGGCGGTTTCTGATTGATCAAAGCATCGCTTCTGATTCCATCGCTTAAGTGATGTCTCCACGCCCTGCCTCTAGGACAAGCCTAGGTAGACTGCCTTCTTATGCTGGAACCGGGCGTACTCCGGTCCAGCATTTCTTCCTCTGGCCCCTCTCACTGGTGCTTCCCGCTTCAGCTGATCTGGATCTGCTTCCCGCCAATGTGAAAAAGTGTCCGTGCGTCGCTTTCTTCGCATTCTGCTAATGATATGCATTCGTAACGGACTAGTGTTGGCTGTGAACACTTAAGGTTTAGGTTTTAAGGGTTTCGGGTTAGGGTTTTTCGGGTTTAGTGCTCAAGGGGCATTTAGGGTTTATGGGTTAGGGGGTTTGTAGGGTGGGTTTTTTTGGGGCGTAGGGTTTAGGGGTTTTCCGGGTTTGAGGTTTAGGCTACGGTTTAGAGTTCAGGGTGTAGCGCTGGTCAGCTGAACGCAATAGTGTGAGGACATGCCCACCCCAAGGCCACCCAAACACACTTACAGCGAACAAAGCAGAGCCAGCCGAGCCAAAGTCAGCCCACATCCAAACGCTTCTGCACTCCTGTGCGTCGGACTCATATCTAGTGTGCCTTCTTTTGTTTTGCTGCAGGGTAACATCTAAGAAGATGCCTTGGGAAAGTCATTAGAATTAGAAGCTTCCGAGAGAAAAATAAGGTTTTGCGTTGGGGGACGTCTTCGGCGGGAGGGCCTTCTCATTGTTTCTATTCTCTTTGCCGGAGTATCAAGGCTGCGTGGCGAAAGTCCTGCTTCTCACGGACGATTTCTCTTTGGGTTTCTCTCTGAGCTTCTCCTAACAATTCTGGGCCTTTTTGGGCTTCTCCTGGACCATTGCTGATCCTTTTTGGGCTTCTCTCCCGGACCGCTTCGAATCCTTTCGGGGCTCCTCACGGACGATTTCTGAACCCTTTCGAGCTTGTCCCTGGGTTTCTCTCTGAGCTTCTTGCAAGCCATTTCGCTCAGAACTGGTCCGAGAAAAGCCAAAAATGGTGAGGGGCCCAGGGCCTGACAGGGCTGAAAGGGGAGGACCGCCCGCCTCGCGAGAGCAGAAGTGTGGGCAACACAACCAGCTAGACTCTGCAGCCCAGCAGAGCCTGCCCTGGTCTCGCTCGACTGCGCCCGCCTACCCCAACAGAGGTAAGAGGGCTGGCGGTGTTTAGGGTTTCGGGTTTAGGGGGTTTTAGGGTTTAGGGTTTAGGGGGTTTTTAGGGTTCAGGGTCTGGTTTCGGTTTTAGGGGATTTTAGGGTTTAGGTTTAGGGGTTTTTAGAGTTTAGGGCTTAGGGGATTTTAGTGTTTAGGGCTCATGGGGTTTTGGGTCTAGGGTTTAAGGGGATTTTTAGGGTTTTGAGGTGCAAGGCTGAGGTTTTTTCGGGTTGGGGGTTTAGGGGTTTTTACGGTTAGTGTTCAGGGGTTAAGGTTGTTGGGGTTTGGTTTATGGGTTTTTTTCGGGTTAGGGTTCAGGGATGTTCAGGGGTTCTTGGGGTTTCGGGCTTCGGGGATTTTAGGGTTTAGGGTTGAGGGTTTACAGGTGTTTAAGGTTTAGGGCTTATAGGTGTTTAGGCGCTGGAACTACAGGTTTTCAGCCAATGAAGAGAGCCAAGAAGGTTCCTCAGGTTGCCTTTTGAAGAGGGCGTCGAGCAAATCTGCGAAATGGTCGACTGGGAACTGGTGCGATTGCGCGCACATCGAAGAACGTTGCTGAAAGCACCGTAATGTTTTCAAGATGATGAGCATTGCAACATTGTTGAAGTCTTTCGAGCCGATGTTGGTTTTGTATTTGGAAGCCGAGCAGCGACGGGTTTCGGTATCAGCTGCATCGTGGCGTTGAGTACGCTGACCGCGTAATGTCATGGATGGCTACTGTTTCTTGAGGAGTCATGCGGGCGACGAACATGGCGATGTGGAACAAGTTCGCTCGGACAAGCTCCAAGCCAGGAGAATCGGGGCTCTCAAATCTCCGAGGGGATCAATGCAATGCTGGAGCGTGTTTGCTGTGTGCTTCAGGTTGCAGGAGAGGAAGGCGACGTTTCCAGTGAAATGCCATGCAGGTTAGTTTGTTTGGGACACCAAGATGGATGAACAAGTTGGCGAAACAGATGGCGTGCAGCAAGTTGCTGTAGACCAATTTTGCCAATTTCGCTATGACATGCGCACGGTTGAGCCCGCAAGCGTGTTCACGAACGCAGCTTGGATGGCGCAAGTGAACTTCGATGCCCGAGCGTTCGGCCTCAGCAGCGCGCCAAAGGAGCCTTCCACAACACTTTTCCGAGCACTCACATGGGCTTTGCGTGCAAGTGTGCTAGTACCAGAAGGGTTGGTGGGCAATGTGAAGCCTGCGGGTGGGGCTGCCACAGAGCCCCATTTGCGGAACTGTCAAAAAGGAGGGCTCAGGGCACGCTGCTTGCGTGGGCAGGTTGGTCGACTGAGTTGTGTAGGCAAATGCAAAAATGTGACTGACCCGAAGCAGAATGAGTGGTGGCTGCAGCGACTCTCCGAAATCGAGTTTGCTAGCTATTTGCAGAATGCCTGGTTCATGTTCAGCGAACCTAAGGGGCTTGGGCCGTTCCACGCAGGCCGTGACGCCGTCGAGACGCTCACTCGCCCTTGCAGGGGACGTGACCTCTACAGTCGAGGAACGCCGCGAGGAACTCTGTTTTCTGCAGGTCTGCCGCGGCTGCGTGCAAGGCGCGGGCGCCAGCAGGTCACCCTGCTCCACACCCTCGGCCTGCAGCACCTCGTGGACCTATCGGCATCCCACCACAAGAATATGGACGTGCGCGCGTACACGCTGCGCACAAAGGGCGCGAGCTGGGGCGCCGTATGGCGCAGCTCGCGGGCGCTATCGGACGCATTACGACATCATTACGGCCGTCAAGCGACATGACCACCGCTTGAGGGTCCAGCACAACGGCGGCGCGCAGGAGAGCGGCCAAGGCATCCGTTCCGGCGCGCGTACTGAGGGTGTACTGGTAGGGCGTGTGGCGCGGTCGAACACGTCAGCAAAAGTGCGATGTGCGAGCCAGCGCCTTTGACACAAGACGCATGAGAAGGTCGCTGGTCGCAACGCCGTAAGGCGCGAGAGGGCAAGCGCATCAGCGACGGTGGCAGGCACTTCGGCCCGCGCAAGGCTGGTGTTTCCTGCTCGGCACGCAAAAGCACTGGTAAGGGCCCGATGAACTCCCGCGACCAAGAAACGCGGTTGACACAAGGCAGGGTGCACTGGTACACGGAACTTGGCACAGAGGTCAACCTCATCCAGGCAGCACGCTAGCGCCGCGCTTGATGCGCGGCCCGGACGCTGGCGCAGGCATTTCCCCTTCCGCGTCAAGGTCATGCGCGTAACCACCAGGCAGCCAGTCGCTCCCCGGCACGCCGGACGACGTGCCGCTTGGCGATGTCCTTGACCTCGCTGATACGGCCGCGCCCAGCCGACTGCCTTTGTAGCCGTGACACGCCGGCACGTAGTGGACCACGTCGGACGAGCTTGCGGAAAAAGGCGCGCAGAAAGAACAATTGTGATGCAACCCTTTTTTGGCAGGCTCTCCACGCCGCCGAGCCGGAAGCATTCGGAAGCGCTCCACTTACCCCGAGCTGTGCGCGTAAAAAATGTTATGGAGTTTTTGTGTGTTTTTTTGTCTCGCACCTTTTTTCCGCCAGCTGGAAAGTCACAGCGTCGGGGGCCACCGGGGGCGGAGTCACCGGGCAGGAGGCGGCTTGCGGCGATCGGCCGTTCCCAGCGTCCGTCAGCGGGGAGCTCATGAAGCTCGGGCTCGCTGTCGTCGCCGTGGGCTTCAAGCGGCAGCTCAAGCAGGGAGCGGGAGGTCCATGCTGCCCGGGCCGCGGGTCGCAAGTGTGCCGGGACAGTCGCAGCCAGATCGCGTGCAAGCAGGCGGAGGAAGGTGGCCCCCAACTCGATCACGACAAGGCGGCAGCGTCGTTGCGTGCTTTGCCTCCTGCGCCTCGCTGCCGCGGCGACGTGGCCAGGCTCGACGTCAGCCCGTGGGTGGGCTTCCCCTGCACGCGTTAGCGGCGACACGAGGGTGGCATCGAGGGCGAGTTGCGCACCGTGCCACGGGGCAGCCCGTTCTTGTCGCGGGGTCCGCGACAGGCCCGTCCGGGGCTACCAACGAGCATTCGCGTCATGCTGGATGACGAGGAGGATTGCCGTCTTCTGCACGGCGCTGCTGAGCAGCTCGCCCGCGCAGAGGCCCGCCACTGCTGGCATCCGGGTCGGACCTTGCGTAAGCCCAGCGGCCGTGTGCGTGCTTTGGTCGTCGGAAACGTGCTGCGCCGCTTTGTTGGATGCGTCCGGGCCCAGCAGTTTGCCCCGCAACTGCAGGACGCTTGCCTCCATTTTCAGTTCGGGCTGAGCACGTCCCCGTGCACGGAAGCTGTTACACGCCTGTTGCGCGCCGCCAAAGGGGCCGCGCCCCGCACCACCGCTTTGTCGGTTGACGCGGTCGGCGCATTCGATCATGTCGCCCGCTTCTATGGCTCAGGGCTCAAGCCAAGGGTTAAGCTCAAACCTTTTTGGTTGGGGTAGCTCACGCCATCGCGCCATGCCGCTGTCAGAAGAGCAAACATAGCGCGTGTAAAGCCCGGAGACATCGGTCGGTTTCAAGCAGGACAGCCCAAAGAAGCCAGGGACCAAATCGTGGGAACGGTATGATAAATACAAATCGACTGGCTCAGTCGGGCAAGCGACTTCCTTGGGGGGCATTTTGGTTGGATTTGAGCACCGACTTTGAAAAGGGTTAACTGACATTCAAAGATGAGGACACGCCTGGAGCAGCAGAGTGGGGCGCTCCGGAGGGAACCCCTGACCGTGAAGCTCATAACCGGGCAAAACACAAGCCGAAGGAACCCAGGCCCAAACCCTTGATGTTAGGAATGGGGCCGGACGCAGTTGGCAGTGCAGGATCAGGTGGCCAGCTCGTTCACGCAGCATGCGTCGCTGAAGATGGGGTTGTGGAGTGGGCCATTCACAATTGCCCTGTGCGTGAGCAAGTCCGCGATGCCATCATGGATTTTGAGGAAGACTTGGAGTAGGACACAAAGCCTTTTCAGAGGGCCAGTCAGGTCCAATCTTTCGCCAGAGGACAGAGCACCATGCGTGTCGGCGGCAAAGGCTTTAGGCAGCACTCCAGCAGCAGCATGAGTCCTAAAACAACCGACTTGCGGTCAGCAACGGACACGTTCCGGGTTCGCGACGAGTTAGATATCGTGCAGGACGGCGAAAAGATCTCCGTCAAGGAGATGGTCTTTCGCCACCACAAGCGGGGGGTGTTGCGCGAGGGCATTCCTCGCCGGCATAAACGGGTCTCCCTGTTCGGCACCTTCGCCCTGGGGCGGAATCGCTCGCGGACGTAGGCCTCGTGGCCGAGCGGCGCTCCAGTCGCCAACCCAAACGGGCTCCGAAACCTCGCGGGTCAGCTCGGTGATGGAAGGGGGCTCCTCACGTGCCGCGTTCCAGATGCGTCTTGCCAGCATGAAGCTGGACGCGGGCGTGCTCCCGCTCAAAGTTCAGGTACATATTGCCGCCAAAAATGTCCAGAGCATGCGGGCCGAGACGAGGTTTCAAGATGGCTTGGCGGAACTGGATGCTGGTGAGCACGATTTGGTTTTCTTATCCGAAATTGGGCGATCCGAGTTGCCGGAGGTTCTCAAGACGCCTCGACAGGGCAAACTTTACCTCAGTGGTGGATTTGCTTTCCATGGCGTTGGAAGTTACATTGCTCCAAAGTTTTGCAAGTCGATTTCTGGCATTTGTTTCCATGCGATTTCTGCTCAATTGTGCATCTTGCCATTCTCATTTCATGGCCGCAAATTTCCCACATATTCATGGTGCTTCCCAACCAGCTGGGACAATGATTCGGTGGTTGAGCTTTACAGTGCCCTGATTTTGATGCTTGAAACAGCCATGCCTCTTGCAGCCATTCCTATCCTTGGTGGGGAATTTTAACGCACACATAGGAGCAGCGATGCCACATGATGATGTTGGACTGCTTGGCTCTTGGGGTTGTGGGGCCCTGAAATGTCAGGGGTTCGAAATTATAAAACGTTTCACCTGTACCCTGAAGGGGACGTCTTTGGGCGATCAGGTCTCGACTCGACTCGCCCGCCTCTATGTGGCGTGGCCTCTTCGAGCGTCCCGCCCTCCAGCCTCTTTTCCCTTACGTGTGCCAGTTCTACTCCGAGCCCAGCGCGTATGCCTGGCCGTGTTGGGCATGTCAACCCTCAAGCGCGCCGAGCATGACATGCTGCTCAGCCGTATCCCATGGCTTGACAGCTTGCAGGCAGCCTGGCTGCTGCTTCATTTCTGCGTGGTGCCCCGCTCTAAATTCCTCCTCCGGGCCGTGCCGATGAGCTGCCTGAACACAGTCTTCGGACGGCGCGGCTTGCCTGGCTGCGTTCTGCGTGTGCAGATCGTGCCGCTGCTTCCTGGTGTGACACCTTTGCCTCATCCAGGCTCGGGCACCCGGGGCTGCTGAACGCCTGCTCAGTGCCCTCGATGGCAAAATCCCCCTGCCCTCTGCCGCCGCTGCCAGCCAGCCCCTCAAGGCATTGCCAGGGTCATTCGAGGTCGCGAGGAAGGTGCGTGTCGCGGACATGAACAGTGACGTGCCCGTGACAGATGACCGGCGGACTGAAGTGGTCGCCTGCGTGCTGATTCCTCTCGGCCTCGTCACTGTGCGGGCCGCACGGGTCGGCTGGCCGACGGTCAGGGTCGTGCAACTCAGCAAGCGTTGCCGAGGACCCTCAGCGAGAGGTTCACAATTCACGCAGATAGACACAAGCCTCGGCACGGCGGGCTCGGGGGCCCCGGCGCGCTGGCAGCACAAGCAGCAGCTGCCTCACGGAGCAGGTCGCGCACCGGGTTCCCGGTAAAGTAACATGCGGGGTGCTCGGAGGAAGAGCTTCCAGCCGCGCGCTTGTGCTCCACGTCCCCGGCCGTGATCAAGATCGAAGGCCGGCCGGCAGCACAGAGCGCAAGATGCCAGGTGAGACCTCGTCCAAAAAGGAAAACCCAGCGCGGAGCCCGGAGTCCGCGGCCGCAGCGCGGCCTTCCGGTCGGGTGCCCGCAGTGAGCGGCGGATTGCCAGTCACGTCGGGAGCAACATCCCCACTAGGAGCATCCAGGCCAGCAGGCAAAAGTGGACTGCGCCTGCGGCCCCGGCCGCCGCGACGATTCCGACCGCGCGCGCTCAACGCGGCGGGCGGGTTCGGCCAGTGCGGCATCACCCCGTCCGCTTCATCATTGTCCGCACGGGCGCCGCCAGCATCTGGCGTGCGGCCGCACCTGGCTCCTCCTCGGGGCGCGGCGAGGCAGGAGCAACGGGAGCAGGTGCTGGGCGAAAACGATCGGAGTGCCGGTCAAGTGCCGTCGCCAAATGCATGCCACCGTAGCATTCAGCAGGGCCTCTTGCACGGGCGCAAGAAAGTACCCATCCGGCTCCCGGAGCTGACGGACTGCCCATCCGATGTGGACACACGCACTGTTGGTGCATGAGATCAGATCCGGCAGGTGGTGCTCGTGTGCTGGCGCGGCCTCCACGGCATGTGCCAGAGCTGCTAGCAGCGTATGCGGGCCCACCAGTTCGGACACCATGAGCAGGTGCCGGGCTTCTTCCCACCAGTCGGCGGAACGCGGGTCGGCTCGCCATTCTGCAAGCGCAGCGACCGCGAGGTCTGCTGCAGCTGCCTGGAGAAGGGGCGTGCAATCACCCAAGGGCGGGCAGTGCGACAGCCAGAAAGCACGGTGCCCGCCCATGCCAGTGGCCTGTGGCACCGCAGGCAGTGCCGGCCGGTTGCAGCCATGGGAGCAGCGAAGGTGCCCGCGCTCGGTGGCCCGGTCGTACTCCCACCAAAGCCGGCTGCCGCAACCTCCGCACGCCTCTCCGGCATTTGCAGGGACATGGATGTCATCCCATGCCAGGTCGCCGCGTCGTGCCGCACGGCTGAGGCGCCCACTGGTGGTGCATAGCGACGAAATCGATCCTCCCCGCACCTGCGTGGCCGCGCCCCAAGACAACGACGCCCGGAGGCCGTGGTGGTTCGGGCGCGTGGTTGGAGGTGAAGGTGCGAAGTGCATAGTTTTGCACGGCTTCCCGCTCAGTTTATTGACCAGAGATCCGGACCGGCATCTGCACAGCTCGGCGCGCGCATTCGTCGCGCAACGCCGCGTCGTGCTGGGCCGTCCATCCTCCCATCTCGCACGCGCGGCAGCGACTGTGGCGGCAAAAAGAGCACAATAAGTCGGCCGGGCGCGAGGCTTGCATGCGGAGTTGGGCCAAGCACCAAAGGTGCAGGTGGTGACGCGCGCACGTCGGGAATGGCCGCGGCGCGCGATCTCCAGACGTGCTCGGTTTCTAGCGCTTCCAAGCACATGCAACACGAGTCGAATTCAACTTCCGGTGCTCGCGACGTGAGAGGCGGCGGCGACTGGGCGGCGACGGAGAGAACCGGGGACGGCTGGCGACGACAGCGATCCGCACGGTGATCCGGCGTGTGTGTGTGTGTGTGTGTGTGTGTGTGTGTGTGTGTGTGTGTGTGTGTGTGTGTGTGTGTGTGTGTGTGTGTGTGTGTGTGTGTGTGTGTTTTTGTGTGTGTGTGTGTGTGTGTGTGTGTGTGTGTGTGTGTGTGTGTGTGTGTGTGTGTGTGTTTGTGTGTGTGTGTGTGTGTGTGTGTGGGTGTGTGTGTGTGTGTGTGTGTGTGTGTGTGTGTGTGTGTGTGTGTGTGTGTGTGTGTGTGTGTGTGTGTGTGTGTGTGTGTGGTGTTGTGTGTGTGTTGTGTTTGTGTGTGTGTGTGTGTGTGTGTGTGTGTGTGTGTGTGTGTGTGTGTGTGTGTGTGTGTGTGTGTGTGTGTGTGTGTGTGTGTGTGTGTGTGTGTGTGTGTGTGTGTGTGTGTGTGTGTGTGTGTGTGTGACCGAGGCTCGCACAATAGGGGATCATCTCGCGCACCGGCTGCCGCAGACCGGGGCCGGCTACTGCGGCCGATGCCGATTGTGGGAGGAGCACGAAGTGCCAGTTGCGGAAATCAGGAATTGGCGAAGAAAACTGGTTTTACCCGTTCTGCGGCCATAAAGAAGATAGACGTGAGTCAAAAGGCGTAAAGAACGAGAATATTAAGATGGAGAAATTAGTGACTAGTGTATTAAATGCGTCCATCGCTCGCTCTTGGTAATGCACTCGTATTTTTTTAAAAAACGAGCACTGTTAATAATATTCTTTGACTGGTTGGTTTCATTATTCATTTTTTGCATTTCCAATGTAATTCGCTTTTGAAATCCTAAACTTGAAGACGGCCCTTGTTTTCATTCTATTATTCACCTACTCCTGTTATTTTATAGTTTTAATGCAGAAAGGACGCAATGAATAAGCATATGAATAATAAACTATGAGGCCTTTAATTCGTGCCTTCTCGCAATCTGCCGTGGTGTTGTGTCGCCGCAGGTGATTGCCCAAAGCGAGCCGCACCATGAAGTGTTCAACAACATGATTCTACATGATGTAGACTACATCACTTATGAAAGCACCTGTCTTTCGGAGCTAGAAGAACGTTGAACGCATTCAGTGCCTTCAGATGCCGCGAGTGGGCCCGAATTTGAAGCGTCCAGCGGCATGCAGAACGCGAAGGCACGTGGGTTTGAATTGCGTCGGTGTGTGAACGCTGCCACAAGGCACGACGGAATTTGTCGCAGCATTCTCACTCTCGTCAGGTCGACCGCGAACATCGAGTGCAAGCCCAGCCCCATAGATTTTCCGCGTGCTGTGGTTTTGAACCTGGCTCGCAGGCCTGTTGATTCATTCAGTTTTGGCATTGGATAGAAACCATGCTGTTGGCAGGGTCGATCGCTGGGTGGAGGTTGAGAAGCGATTGGGCCGAATTGAAGGTATCACGGTATCATTCCATTTGTTGGCCGGTCTTCGGTACACGTTGTGTTTCCACAGCAGGAATCAACTTTGACCGGTTGGATGCTGTTGACGGGCAAACGGATGAGATCGATGCCCGTAGCCTGGCAACAAGTGGGATGGCCCGCGTGTAATGACACCATGTTAGCTTCAAAGCGCACTGGCATCTCCAATCGCTCCAGAGTTTCATGGCCATTGCGATGCCGCGTCCGTCCCTCCAGCAGCTTGCAACAATGGTGCCCGTAAGGAGAAGTGGCGCACACGTGGAGCACGGCAAATAACTGGCAGTATGTAACAAGGCCTGGATGCGGCCCCTCTTGAAAAAAAAAACATCATTCATGCCCTATGGCATGCAAGGCTTCCCAGAGATTCATTGTTCGTGCCTTGTGGCGTGCAGGGCTTTCCAAGGAGGAGAGAAATGTGGCTACATGGTCAAGGACGTATTTGCATCAACGTATTGATGTGCGCGGCGACATGGACATTGCAAAATTTAAGAAGTGTGTGATTGTGCTGCTCCATGCTGCTCAGCAGATTGCGGATGTGCAGGACCTGCGCCTCAGCGCAGGACAGCATTCCATTTCCTGCGGATGCATTCAACCTCGAGGTTGCATGTGTAACGCCTGCTCGGAGGAGAGCGTGGGTGCGCAGCTTCGCATGCGACGCGGCGTTGCTTTCGAGGGAAAACTTGGACATACAACATCATACAACTTTACGCCCGATCCGTTCCATGATCAAATGGCGCATGCTGAAGGTGAGAGCTTGGAAGGCGTGTGCTGCAAATCAAATGCCGTTGATCGTTTTGGAGGCTGGCGTTTAAGCATGTCAATGTCATGTTCATAGCGCATGCAAGTACAAGACGTGTGGCTGTTTCGGCTGTTAGTCGGACCAAAGTGCAGGTGCCCGTCCGGAATGCTTCAGTTTTCCAAACGTAGTCGGTTCACGCAATGCCTGTGCGGCACAGCTCGATGAAGCTATCGTGATCGCAGATGATCGCAGAGGGTTCGCCATCAGGGGACGTGCAGATTGAATCATGAGTTTGCGTGCCTCCCAGTGGATTGTTGCAGGACGATGCCAAACCGGCCGCCAAGTTCGGTACGGTTTTGCGTTTCTTCGCCGCAGAACTTTGCGCACATGAACTTTTCAAACAACCATTGGGGAGTGCTTGTTTCTGTTGAGGCCAGGCCCTGCGTGATGTACATGGTCAGGCCAGCATTGGTCCTTGCATGTCATGGCTGTGCAGCTGAACGCAGCAGTTCTTTTCTTCTCAGCGGCGGACTGGCTCTCCAGACTCAACCATACTCAACCACTGTCAGGTTTTTGCATTCAAGATAACACATGTTTCCCTCGCTCCTTTTGTAACGAGCAGCGAGGAGACGTGTCAAAAGCTGGGGTGCCAGGCTTCGTGCATGCAGTGTGTCGAAAGAAGCTGAACGAGATGAGCCGTTCGGCACCGCAAAGACATGAGCAATATGAGCATTTTCAACATGATTTGGTTGCAAGCGGGGTGTGTCAGGCAGAGGTTTTCGCAGGGAACAACCCGAAATTTGGGCGAGTTAGGAAGCCCAGCGGGGGAGCTGGGAACAGCCAGAACATGACAAGTCGAGCAGCAGTGGAGGTGGGAACTTTTTCGGAGGATGTGGAGATGTTTGAGCTGTTTTGGTGTAGGATTTAGGGTGTGGCGGGTTTAGGTTTTTAGGGGTTTAGGCTTTTAGGGTTCAGGGCTTAGAGTCTTGAGGGTTCAGACTTTTTAAGGTTTAGTTTCTTAAAACAAATGAGTTTGTTGTTATCCGGTTTCGGTTTCAGGGCTTTGGGGGTGTAGGGGGGTAAAGTAAGGGTTTAGCGCATATGTGAAGCCCTACCGAACCTATCATACGATGCATTGTGTTTGCAAATCGGGGGGCCTGCACCCCCCCAACCCCGCGTCTCCCCTCAACCCCCGCGCTGTTTTCAGTTACTTCGACAGCATATGCAAAGCACAGCCAAGTCGCACCTAGGCAAACAAACGCCTTCAACCAAGCCCAAAAGAAGAACCCGAGCCTAGCCAGCCAAACCAAGCTGCACCTAAGAAAGAAGCGGGGCCGCATAGGACAAAAACCGTCCACCGTGTTTTCGGATTTTAGTTTTTAGGGTTTAGGGTCAAGGAATTTAGGGTTGAGGGTTTGGGGTTTACACGGTTTAGTTTTTGGGGTTTAGGGTTTTTAGGTTTAGGGCCAAGGTGTTTTTTAAAAGCGTTTTAGGGTTTACGGCTTTTTGGGGTTTTCAAGGTTCGGGTTTCGGGTTTTGAGCGTTTTGAGGGTTTGGGGTTTTAGGGTTTTTAGGGTTTAGGGAGGGTTTTAGGGTTAGTTAGGTCCAGGTTTTCGAGGGTTTGGGAGCACCGTTGAGGAGAAAGCTTCTTTAATATATGCCTCAAAGTTACTTCGATCGAATAATACACCCGAGGAGATCGCAGACGAATTGCCAGTGTGTTGGAGGCGGGTGGAAAAGAATGTGCGCGCGCAACGACCTTGCGAATCTTGCGTTGTCGTTGTCAGCGTATATAAACAAATACACCTGTGTGCAGTGGCAGCAATTGGCAGCGCAGCATCACAAAAAGTTCCGTTCTCGCAAAGCTCAACGGGAGCGTAGACAGTCTGTAGGCTGGCAATCGTATAAGCCCCAGAAAAAGTGACTGACGGAAAGTCATCGTAAACAGTCGCAAAATTTCAAGCCGCTAGGGGGGAAGCTTGAACCTGGAGTGGCACGATCGATGGCAAGGCGAGCAAAACCTACGACGCCCAAAAACGTCTTCGGCAACGTGCCCCGAATGGAAAGGGTGATTGTTAGATCAAACCGGCCCATGCGGACGGCCTTTCGATTCTGAAGTCCATGGGCTTGATCACGTTCTCGACATGTATTAGTTTGCTTTCATTCTGGTAGTGGGTTCCGAGCTGACGCTTCTCATGACCAGGAGCCGGATATTTTGTATTTGGGCTACTCAAAAGCAGCGCCATGGCGTGGCATCTTGGTTTCACCCCAAGCTGAAAAAGTGCTTCAGATCGTGTCGACTACGCTTGCGCTGAGCTGTTCATGACCACGTCTAAGGCAAGGTTAGTGCTGTCGTACGGGAAGCAGAATATCTTTGGACAACTGTGGCCTATGTCTTGTGGCCATCTGGTGCAGCGGCACTGTTAGGATCATTGCCTGGTACTTGGGCAGCAAGTACTGTTCTGTTCGCGTGGTGCAGCAAGCCACCCGAGCATGTGATTGAGCAGTTGACTGGACGCGTTGAGATGTGAGGAGAACCTAATTTCCAGTCCCGCTTGGACGAACACATGTTCGAAGGTCCTAAAGGTCCCTAGAATGCATGATGCGTGCAGCCATGTGCAGCCCTGACTGAGTGGATCAACCTGTGGACAACTTCATTGCCCAACGTACGGCTGACAACAAGTTGCGGGCGTTTGCAACGGTGCCGGTGTTGGCACTTTGCAGCACAATGGTACTATGTCTGCTTTTTTTCATTTTGTTGTTTTGTTTATCCCAGGTGTGTCTCTCCGGTGGAGTTTGTGTTTGGCAAGGTGAGCCAAGCGCGACCCTGGAACGTGGACAATGATGTCAGTCATTCTGACGACGTGGCTGCCCGGCAGCAATTCAGCTCTCAAGTATGGTTTCCGTGCATCTGCAGCAATTGCATGTGCAGCCTCGTGTAGAAGTGTAGAATGAGGCCTGGGTGCAAAATACGCTGATCGATACAAGGGAGCAAAAAAAGATCACAGCACTTGAGGGATCCTGGGGCCACGAGCAGTCGCTCTCGTGGGCATGCTCAGGCAGGTGCAAGTACAGATTGAGGCAATATCAAGTTGACACTCTGCAGTTATCTCAAGGCAAGACGTGCAAGACGCACACAGCGCACAACGTTTCGGCAAACCATGGTAGACCAAGGCTACTGCAAGCAACCCATTAATTAGTTAGTTTGGCATGATCTTGGTCACTTGGCACGAACTTCATGATGTACGTAGCCGGTGTTCTGTGCGGTCGATGAAGATTTAGTGAAAGACTTAGTGGAGTGGGTCGTTAGGCCAACTGGGGCTTTCGTTTACTGCTTCGTTCGGTGCGCTGGCCACACCGGATGCATGCGAACTTCCTGGAGGCATTCCGGGGCTCCAGAGTCTGTCCCTTTCAACATGCTGCACATTTTGTCGGCTGTGTGATGCTACGGTTCTCAATGGTTATCACTTCTATACATTCAATGCTTTCTTGATGCTTCCTTTCTTTGCCACACGTTCAACGGTTTGGGATGGTTTGGGGGGTCATGTTGCGAAGATCTTCAACAGGATGCGTTGTTGCCCGCTTTCGTGTTGGACGAGGAGCTTCGCATCACAGCGTAGTGCTGAGCACTTCATTGTGCCATGTCGTGATGTTTGCCAGAAGTGGCGCTGGTGGTTCATAGAACACGCCTCGAATCGAATGCCTGAGGTGTGGAATGAGGCGGCCGTTAAGGTGACTCCTTTCCGCTTGGAATCCGCATTGTGTACTTTCGCATGTCGATGCAAAGGCCACCACCTTGGCAGCAACGGAGGCACAAAGTTTTTGATGTTTTTGTGTGTTGACGCATTGCAAATGCTGGTTGCTGGCATGAAGCCTTAATCAGCGGCTCTGGTTTATCTTCATTTGTGGCCGGTGGTTTGGCTGGCAGCAGGTTCTTGGCAAGCCAATACTTGCAGCCCTGCAGGCGGAGGCGGTTCATGGCCTTGCAATCTCAGCAGAGCTTGTGCCCACCATGCACACCCTTCGCAAGTGCAAAGGCAAACGAAGCACTTGCGGCGTTTGCGGAAGAGCTGCAGTTGGCCAAGGCAACACAGAGGCCTTGGCACATTTCGACACCGCCTGCCATTGTCCACGCATGCACGGTTGCAATCAGACTTTGCAGCGCACAGTGACTGACTGCCCTGAGAAGTTGTGTTGGTTCATGACAGACATGATGTGCCTCCGTTGGCCCAAAGCTATAGTCAAGGACAAGTATGTGGGATAGTATTTGGTGAGTCCAATGCAGGCTCCCCGACGCTTGCGCCCTTGGCGAGGCAATGCAGACGCTGTCGCATCTTTCCTTGCCTTGCCAGGAGATCAGCCTGAAGACTCGCACGCCGACCGTGCATCTCGCTCATCGACCTCGGCTTCATGCCTGGATCAAAATCGTGATGTGCCTGGCGTGCTGCTGTCATCTGCGAGCGTAGCATTGCTTGCGCCCGCTCTGCCCGTTGGTGGCTTCTCATCTCAGATTCCCTTGCAGGTGTCGGGGTATATGCCGTTGGGGATGGCAGAAGAGGCAGATCCTGCAAGCGAAGCCCTGGTTCCAGAGGCTGATGGCCCCGGGGGCCCCGGCCTTGCAATTCGCAGAGGAGACAAAGGTCCCGCCCACGCAGAACACTACGAGCATCAACAGACCGAAGAGCCTCCCGAGCAGCATGGTAGTGATGACATGATGATGGCTGACATTGGCCTGGCAATGGTTTCGTCAGGACTGACCATCATGCTGGCAATGATGGGCGCGGTCTGCGCCTTGCGAATCTGCCGTGAGATGTTGCGACGCCGCAATGCCAGTGCAGAAGGAACCACGATGCAAACTGGCACACCAGCGCCGGATGGTTCGCTTCAAGCGTTTCGGCCATTTGCAGGACAGGGCTACCGCTTAGTGGTGGAAGGTGATGTCAGCAAGCCGCCAACACCTCGGACGTCACCAAGTGATCCGGTCGTCGGTGAGGATAAACGCAGCGCTGATAGGCGATTTCCTGGCGAGGCTGGCTTGCCGAACTTTGGGGCTGGCCTTGCTTCCCCTGACGCTTAAGGACAAAAGCGGCGACGGCGCATGTCATCGCATGTCATCGCATGTCATCGCATGTCAAGGGCCGGTCGGATTAGTCAGACCTTCAGTGCATGAAGCACTCTCGTTACATGCAGCCAGGCTTTGCATTAGTTCATTCTGCCCAGCATTTGGGGCATCGGCATCCAGGTGCCAAGAGTGGATGTTTAGCACAGTCCTTGTCTTATTCGTCGGAGCTTCGGCAATGTCAAGTTCACGAACCAGCTTGCAGGCTGCACCTGGTGTCTTGCAGAAGGCTGGAAAGCTTGCCTTGCCCACATGGGTTGCGAGAATGTGAGGTAGTGGCTACCGTGTAAAAACCAGCCGAAGCAGTCTTAGCATTTCTCTCCCTTTGCATGTTCCTTTGTCAGGAAAGACAGGTTTTCTGGCTTCGTGGGCTTCGCCATTTCGGGTGATGCGCAGCGCCTCGGCACGACGAGTCTTGCTCCCTGCGGAAAGCAGCAGCCACTCTAAGAGGCAATGCCAATCCCCAAAAGATCTGTGTCGAAACAGAACCTTGGCTCTGTGCAGATGAAGATGGTTGCCGTAGAGTAGCTGAGTAGCTTTCCGTGGAAGCTGCGCCCGGGTTCCTTGATTGGCTTTCCACATTCTGGCGTCAGGGGTGCCACTGAAGTTGCCGTGGAGGCGGCTGCGCACTTAGCCCAAGTGGCTTGATGGCCAAGTGCAGGTCAGCGAAAGGCTTTCTGAGATGAGAAGCAGAAGCATCGATTTCCGGACATTGTGTGACTTGTGTGAACTCGAGGGCTCCTCTGACCTACTGGGCAGGCTGCTTCCTGAGAAATGGGGTCACATGAAAATTCTGATGCAGCTTGTTCCAGACTTCAGCTGCTCAAAAGGTCGAGCAGCCCTATGGGCAGCATTGGTGCAGCAGGCTTGGTGGCAAAGTGTGCTGCATCAGAAGAGCGAGCCCGCAAGCCCCACACGCTGCCAGAGCTTGCAATCTCGCAATGCTCGCAACTGGCATAACCTCCAGTCTCCTCGAAGCGGCAACCGGTGCCGTGAAGCAAGCGCTTAACGGTGTTACGGGGCTGTCTGTGTGCTTCGTGTTTTGTTTGCATAGCTCGGACCGGGACTCAAAAGGCTGCTTTGGGTATTTGGCCTGACAGCAAGAATGGCTCATGTTAGACCATGCGCCATGACCAGATCCCACCCCATGGCTCTATGGCACTACTATGGAACTCCAAACGTTCTGCAGTTGTGCATCAAAGACTCGCCCTCTGTGATTGGAGCTTTGCTTCATTTTGCTCCTTCGGCACTGGCCAACCTGTTGACAAGGCAGAGATTCAACAGTCCTGCAGGCTTCGTTGCGTGAACAGCAGTGGTTCTCGCCAAGCGTGCAGTCCTCGCAGCCTCTCACGTCCGGAGTCATCCTGAGTCCTTGCTGTGATCTTTTGCTGCTGCGTTTTGGTCGACCTATGGTCACATGTACAGGATTTTACAAGCAGGATGGAGTAGGTGGTATCCCCCTATGAGCGCGGACGCCACCTGGTATGTCGAGGGCTGTGGGAGGTAGGTCGCTGTGCAACACGAACTCACTCCAAACAACTGGCCAGAGAGTTCTCTCTGAGGACGAACAGCGAATCCACCTTGTACAGTTTAAGATCTGAGTAGGGTGGTGAAAAGTGTGGTGAATGTGGGAGGCCCAGGAAGTTCAGCATTGTGACCCACAGCTAATTGAGGCCTTGCACTCCCGCTTCGGGCAACGTGGGCTGCTTTCACAACAACACTTCGGCGAATGATATCCTGCCACGGTCATGGCTATGCTCATCCTTCTGGGGAGTGTGTGGCGAGGCTTGTCGTGGCAGGTCAATGGCACGAGTCTGTGGACGGGGTTGTGGGGTGGGCCGATAGTGCTTCCATCTTATGCCAGAATGCTGTTCCTTGGCTGCTTCGCTTCTTGCTTCAATAGGGCATCACATCGCACCGATCGCAGCTGCACCCTGTGCTAGGGGAGATGTTGTACTGCAATGCGGCCATGTCGGCCTTGCCTGTCACCTGGAGCGAGTGCAGCCTCCATGGACAGTTTGTGCTGGAACGTGACATATTTCGGCATGCTGGCTCTCGGAAAGCTCAAGTCTGTGCATGCCTGGATGCTGTAGCATCGCACCATGCCGGTAACATCTGGCAAGCACGACAAGCTGAATTTCTGCAAACGCTCTTAAGCTGACACTTGGGTGTTTGGGATACACGTGCTGTTCAGAGATGGAGCCGCGAGCGCTGAAGCCGCAATCCTGTTGCCGGTGGCAGCTGCGCCTGAATATCCTCACAGTGCGTGGACAAGGATGAGGACTGTGATGGGCTGACAGTCGATGCACAGCCCCCAGGCCATGCATCACCATTTAAAGCTGCTTGTTTGTGATTGTTACCCTTTGCTGTCACCATGGCCATGCAACTGTCACGACTTGCACTGCTAGATTCTCTGGAACTGTGAGTACATGTTTTTTTGTGTCCATTGGTGTCCTGTCATCCAGGCATGGAGGATGGCCTCCTCCGCACATTTCATTCAAGCTTGGCGGAGCCAGATGTGGCGCAGCGTCGGGAGGCGCGATTTGGCCTAACTTCAACACTTGCCAGTCCGGGTCAGATCCAGGTTGCCCTGGCTGCACGCTGCCTCGATCGGAGCAGCCTTGGTTACAATGCCATTCGTGCCTTGGGTAAGGCCCAAGCGAGAGGGTGAGGAAGTAAGGATGTTAAGAAGTGCATGGAAGTGCAGTGACCACACAAATCAATGCCGGAAATTACATATCATCTTACGTCAGCATTGCAGGCCTCGTGGTCAGAGGCAGAGAGCCTCCTCGAGGCGGGCGCTCATCAGGCATTCATTTGATCACGAACCTGAGACCGGCCTCTGCATGATCTTCATGTTGTTGTCATTTGTGCATGCATGGCTAGCTGAGGCTGACATATCGTTGCTCCGAGCGCAGCTAGGAAAGCATTCAACGGGTTTTTAGCGTTGTCTCGGCATCTTTATTCTCACGTTGTCGCCTTCCTTGCATGAAGCCTTGGGCTGAAAAGTCGAAACCCTCGGTACCCTAAACCCTGAGCATTTCATGAGTTATGACACGAAGCATGAGCTTAAACTGATGAACGAAAGTCTAAGGCAACTGGGCGCATCGGCCATCTGGGACCCAGATCTTTCTGCAAGGCTCAGGCGACCCCCGATGTGTTCTGTCCGGGTCCGAAGTCACAACTTCACCTGCCGCTGGCAGGCGCTGGGCAGCGGGCGGCGCACGTGCGATAAGCGCAGGACTGGTGTGGCAGGCCCACCTGGGAGTAGATCAAAGCAAGGCGCTCTCTCTGCCAGAGCTGGGCTTCCTGAGCTCCCTGAAGGGCCAGCTGCCGGTGCTGGGCGGGGCATTGGAGGCCTCTGGGGCGGTCGAGGGCGATGGCCTGCAGATTCTCACGAATGAGGCAGAGCAAGGGCATGTGGATGCGTTTGGCCAGAAGATGTTATGCACCTGGCTCTGTCTCGTTGGGCAGGCATGGAGTCGTGGAACTTCCGTGGCTTATGCCCCTTGGATTGCGTGCGGAGAAGCTGTTCAGGCACAAACCGACCACAGCAACAAGACTCGAGGTGTGGGTCTATCGCTTTCGGCGTGCAGCAGCCGCTGCTGCCCATTTAAGCTACCACCCAGCGCTGGCGGCGGAGTCTCCAGGTTTGCGAGCAGCGTTACTGTTCAGGCTGGTTGCAGTTGGGGCAGCTAGGAATGGTTGCTCATGTTCGCAACATGCAACTTGCATAGCCGGTCAGGGATCCAGAGACTGGAGCGCAGCCAGATGGAAGCGAGTGTCTGGACGTGCAGGTCTCAAGCTCGGAGTTTCCTATAGTTTCCTGACAGTATCAGCCAGGCGCCTGATGGTGCATTTAGGTTGTATATCTGGTGCCGGTGCAAAAGAGGAGAAGAGTGGCGAAGTTTCAAAATATTTCATTGCGTTTACAGTATTCTACAGTATTTTTCTTTGTGCGCGTTTCTTTCTTGGGGACAACTTCGTGCCTTTAGTTTGCTCATTTCGTGCCTTCACCCCACCAGGTCCTGCTTGCGACCACCTGCCGTGGCTCTTCCTTGCCGCCATCAGGGACCCCTGGCACGCACAGCCTTTGCACGTATTTGTACAGCTTCGAATGCTTTCTGAGGACCTGTGAAGATTAATGGGATGAGGATTATTGGCACTTCGTTCAGTTGGCAACGAGGAGTAGCTTCACAATTCCGTTTCTTATGTTTCTTAGTGAGTGAATCAAGCTTGATGGCTGAAGGTTGCCATTGCCCGCGGCAGCAGCACCAACATCCTTGGAGATGAGGAGCAACTTTGCGGGCAGCGTATGCGGGCAGCCTGGAAACGTGGAGCGGCAATCTGAAGAAAGCCGTCAGGTTGCGGCAGCGAGCTCTGGAAGTGATGTCGGCGGAGGACCCCCCCCTCTTCGTAGACTAGTGTCCTGGATCATCATGGCGAGACGACAGGTGGGTTACCAGCCTGTGTGAATGACGGGCTGAGCAGGCTAGCGGCTACCCAGTGCTTGCAGACACCCTTCGCCGGGATTTATCTGATTTGGCGGCTTCTTCGGGTATCCAGGCACGCCTACGAACGCGGTTGGCTACTAGCTGTTGAAGTGGGTCGACGGTGGTTTGTGATGTGCAGAGGTACCTGATGATTCCTCCCCGCCGCACTTTGCTGTTCACCTGCACGACCTCGCAAACTTGGAGGAGGCATGTACAATCTTGTACAATTGAGGATGAATTGCTGTACCGGTTGCGCCTGCATGACAGGAAGATGGTCGCTTGTCATCGAGACTTAGCGCTTGTCTTTTTGGAGTCGGTTCATCCTCGGCAAGGATGCAATTGACATGACAAATTCTGCACCCTGTGTTTGCTCAGGTGTCTGTCCCAGACCGGTGTCTCGTCCACAGCCGGGCAGAACTGGCGCGGCTTGGTTCGAACCAGCTGTCTGACAGAGCCCAAGGCGCGCGTGCCGACTGCGCATGACTTGTGCCCTTCATGATGCTGATGACTCCTTGCCAAGTTGAATGAGCGACCGCTGTCCTACGTCTCGAAACGGCAGCTGGGCATACCTATAGCATGTGTGTGATGTCGGTAATGTGGATGCGAGAACGTGGTCAGAGCTTTGCGGAACACGCTAGAGCTGGCAAACAATGCGGCAACATGCAGCAGCATGCAACAGCACCTAAACTTCAGCAGCATGCAAAAGCTGACCCCAAGCAGTGAGGAGGATTCTCGAAGCCAGCCACCGCTGTAATCCACTCGGCTCAGGCCACCAGCCACTTCGGAGGAGGCACTGTTGGAAGCTGCGGCTGGGTGGCAGTGTGGAGCACTTGACCATTACTGGTTGTGTCGCAACTTTTTTTCTTGAGTTTTTGTCCTTTTCCCACCTCTTACGGTAAACTGTCGCATTCTTCCCCTTACCGAGGACTAGGAAAGATTGGAAATTTTTCGAGAAAACAAAAGTAGTCAAAGCCTGTAGCTACCAGCTGCCAATTCACGTCCAACGTAAGATCGACAAGACAAATTTGCATCGACATATAAATTCTGAGCGGGTGTTGGCTGCCTCACGCGGTGGGACCATTGGGATGCAGCGGCAGAGAGAGATATAAATATCACGGATGAGGTTGCCATTTGCCAAGGACCTTGCAGCCGCCCTCGCTGCAGCTCAGCGCCTGCTGAAGCAGGATGTGAATGAGGCCTGTTGCCAACAACTGACTGTAGCTCAAGGCAGCAGCAGGAAGTGGCAAAGCATATCGACTCATGGCTTGTGCAGCTGCAGGTCGTGAAGAACACAAACGCTGCGGCACCTAGACCAGAAGAGCCACCAACGCAGCCTAACCAGCTGGCGCTTCAGCAAGGACCGCACACTTGCATGCAAGCGCATGCATGCATGGGGAGCCGAATCGCAGACACACCTGCGATTGTCGCCGGTAGGTGCACTCGCCTCTCAACCCCCGTTCCTGGTTGTCTTTGATACCGTCCAGTGTACGAAATCGTAGGAAGGGATCTTTAAAAGCCTGAGAAGGGCAAAAAACCCTAAGCCCCAGGCCTTCATGAATCCCTAACAAGCAAACAAGCGCAAGAGTAAGTGTAGGACTTTCCAACTGAATGTGCTGTGTCGGTGTTGCAGTCCTCGAGTCTGAAAGTGTCCACCTAACAGGTTTCAGTTTTTCGACAGGTATTGTTGTAAGCATCTGCTCCACTTGGATTTTGTTGAGTGCGTTTTAGGGACTGCACTGGGTTTGGAGACCCTGGGAGGACTCCTGCAGTTGGCGCGTGGTCTGGAAGCCAAAGCTCTTGTACATAGAGCCCGGGCTCAACAGTTGAGAGGACCTGGATGTCCACCAATCCCCCAAACTCTTGTCTGAAAAACCGGCCATCCCCCACACACTCTCCTGGTCCTAGCGCGATGGAATTCCAAGCTTGACCCCGCTAGGCCACTAGTCACGAGGCCAATGTTTGCGACGCTTGACCTTCCAAGTCCATCCAAGTCCCAGGTGGTGACAAAGTTCCCGTCAGCTTGGCCGTGAATCCTGACTATACGGTCAACGTGGAGGTGGGAATCCGCTCGTGAGCCACGCAAATGGAAAGCGAATGGGTGAACCTCTTTCATGTTGATCACGAGTGGGAGGTCGCCGGGGAATCTCGGGCGTTCCAGTTGACCAGCATCGACGAGGCTGTAGTGCGCCTCGCATGCGTGCATATGTTCGCCGCCATGGCAAAATCTTTTCCGCCATCAGCTTACTTGTGATTGGATGGGGGCAGGCACGAGCTAAACAAAGCCTAAACAAACTTGATTGCCAACTTACCGAAAATGTGTGATGTGAGCCCAGAGTCGTCCTCTCAAAAGATCGGCTGCAGGAGAAGACTTCCGATAGGTAACGGTGGAAAGGCTCAAGTCCGCAAAAGTTGTGGCTATTTACTCTGCTCCGAGAGCCTTGGGCAGGGTGATGCGTGATTCAGGGCATCTCGAGCGGCTGGATGCGTGTGAGTCGATGCACTTGAAACAGCCTGCCAATGCAGCCTGAGCATATGCTTGAGAGGCGGCCTTACTGCTGCAAATGCTTTTTGATGATGTGCGTCCAATGTTGGGTCTCCGGACTAGTCTCAGTTTCTATTTTATGCTTCCAAAGACAATTTCTGACGGTGCTGCATGTCGAGGTTGTGCGAAGGGGTTTGTTTACGCATGCAGCGAGGTGTGAGCATGCGGCGGCGGAAAAATGCGACATTTCTGGGACAGGGAGACGACCCCAGAAGCTAAACAAAACAAGAATGTGGTTTGGCGTGAGGACCGTCGACCTATCAAGGCCTTGGCGAAAAATGTGACAGTCTCCCAGCACAGCAGTCAGCCACCCGTGGCACAGTGAGGGATATGGGCTGGCAGCGGTTCGCAAAAGAAGCCAAAATTAGATTGGCAGCCACGACCAGAAAAATTTGTTGTCTGCAACTGGAAGTGTTTTGATCTTGGAGAAGTGAATTCGAAATTACTATGTCAGAACACTCGAACGTTTGTCACAACTTACCGAATGTTGATGTGTGCGGAGGCCGCGTGGACATGAGTGTCAGCTTGTTAGCGAGCGAATCGAAATAATACCCCGGATTGTTTGAGGCTTCTGATGTGTCATGCTGTGTCATTTGGTTTTCACCATTGTGCTGGTTGGGGGGAGAAGCATCTCGTGAATCAGCGGGGTTTTATGCATGCTGACGATATTCAGCGATGTGCAGGTGGCCTGCGGCGAAGCAGCTTTGGGCTTGCTGAAAGGTTGCTTGAGCCGGCCTCCGCCCAGTCGCGTCTGTGCTTTGCGGCTGAAGGATGGCAAATGCTCTTTGACAGCACTTCCGTCAGTAACTCCTGGTTCCAATTGGCAAACCCAGAAGATAAAGTAGAAAAAAGGCATGAGGTGCGAAACCTGCTGACATGCTCTCCCCTTCGAGTCGCACAAAGCAGCGTGCAAACAACATCAAAAAGGGCCTCAAAAGCCTGAAACACAAAACTTCACAAAACTTCACAAAACCGTCTTCCAATCTCCAAGGCCTGGCTCTGCTTTTGCCTGTGGAGGCTTTTTGAAGCGTTTGGGGTTTTTTGGGGGGCGGTCTGTTGAAGTCTGTTGGAGTCAGTGGGGAGTCAGTGGGGATTGTCCTCTTCCTTTCGGTTTCTTCCGTGTGGTTGATGTTGTGTGGAACAGGTGGCGCCGGAGATCTTTGTTCGCTGCCTGCTGCAGCTCCGCGAGGGTGCGAGTTCTGTGAGTGGAAGTGAAGGCTGGGACATGGTGGGACATGGTGGGACATCTTTGGTGTGCAGGCTGAGAGTGTTGGCCAGTGTTGGGCAATGCACGGATTTCCTCAGGAAAGGTGGTGATGCAAAGCAGCAGAAGCAGCGAAGGAGACCAGTCGCTTTCAAGTGCCCGGAAGTATGCCTAGCGGTGCAGCTGATCGCAGCCAATACACATCAATACACGTGATATGTTATCGATGAGTGGCCCAACCTCGGCCATGTCCAGTCGGGACAGGCGTGTCAACTGTTGCCATTGGCAGCGCTGGTGCAAGTTCTCCTCCTGACCTGCAGAAGCTTTCGCCGCGGGAGGTGGGCAATCATCCTTTCTAGTGGCATGTGCAAGCCATCGTGTCTGCGCAGGTTGGCCAGATGCCGCTGCAGGAACGCCCGGACGCCGACAGGCACGTTGCCAGTACAATGGGCTCAATTGGTGCGAGTAGGTTGTACAGAGCTGAGAATGAAAGGCGTAGCCCTGCAACCACGACCTCGCGGCCACGGCCTGATTCTAGTTCCATCCGCGGCATGGCGGTATGCTGTTCCGTGGAATGTCTCTCAATGTTTGTCTATACGGTTCCTAAGTGCACAAGGTCAAGTCCTGGGATAGATCTGTGCGCTTCAACACGGTCGACACTGTTCCAAAGGCCAAGAATCGCCAGCGAATGCCATTCTCCAAGCAGGCGCCAAACTCCAACTCAGGGCCGATGTTCTGTCGACTGCGGTGACGAAACCCTTCCCACAACAAAGTGTAATTTCAAGCCGGCGCTAAACCCTGTCTCTGAATTCTCTGAAGCCAGAGAGACCAAATTTTCAGTTGGGACGGCCTTGAATGTGTAAACTGGGAGCAGCAGGCCAGCCCCGCGCTGCGCAAGCGCTGGTCTTGGGGGGGATGCTGAGGACGATCCGTCACCGGGCAGATTGGCCAAGTTCTGGGCATGCGGGCTACGCAATGAGAAAGGAAACGTGCGTCCCGTTCACTGCCCCACCAGCTCACAGCTCGAAGGCATGGGCAAAGCCTCCTGACCACACTCGAGCGGCACGAGGGCCTCGGAACGTGGGCGGCGACCATGTGGACGCCAAGATTCGCCAAGCTGGTCGTGTTGTCGCATTTGTCGCCGGTGTCGGTGGCAGAGCACGGCGGATGTGTTGCTCAAGCTTGTGCGTCACGTCGTAGGGCTGGCTCTTGGGCCCGGTTTGTGCGGAAACCATCTGTTTATGACTTTATTTAGTTGTGTATTTCATTTATTTTTTTATTTGTTTTGGATTGTACTTTTCTATTGCATACTGCGTTTCATTTGACGGCATTTCAGGCCACGAAGTTCATGGACAGGACCTGCAAGCTTCTAGGCAGCTATTGGATGGAGGGTTGCGCCATATTGCGCTTGCTTACGGACTGTGCCAGCGGACACAGCAAGGTGGCACAGCTTTGACTGCACCAGGCAGGGGTCTGCCGGAGCATTCTGCACACGGCATGCTGGTGCCGATGCATCAAGTTCTTGGTTGATGTGGCAGGTGCGCAATTCTTGGATGCATCCCTGGGCGACACGCAGCCGTTCCTGGGTTATTCCTTTGGCACGTAGAATGGAGCAAACTCAGAGAGTATGATGCGCTGGTAGCACTCATGTCATTTAAGAACTTGTGTGTAAAATCCTGAGGGTGCGTCAGCCGGCAGCCTTGACCAGCAGCCTAGGAACCAAGACCAGTTTAGTTCCGCAAGCAAAAGGAAACATTTCGGAGCCAGCAGTATCTCCGCGTGTTGGTCTTCGCTCAAGGAGGCTTTGGGAAGCTTTTCACGGCCTCTTTTTGGAGTTTGCTCAGAATGGGTCGATTCCCATCATACGAAGTTTTGTTGGAGCCTTTGGTTTTCTCTGTAATGATGGAGACTGCTCTGCACAAGCTGTTCTGAGACAGTTCTGGCTTCCCACGGGCTTCCCAAAGGCTTGTGTTGCCTTCTAGAGCCCTGGCCAAGAGACTCCGGACCAGGGCGGTGCCCATTCGGCACGGTGGGAATTGGGTTTTCAGGCTTTGTTGTGGGCATACCATGACCAGAGGGGTGATGCCATGAAGGGGGCATCGACACGGCTAGACGGGACGCGGAACGAAACTGACAAATCGATGACGCTCATCAGGTTGGTGACCCGCCCGCCCATCCTTGTGACCGTTGACACTTCTTGACGCGGGAGTCCGGGCTCGTACGTTGCTGTACTTCGCTGGTGAGAGGAGGGAACACAGACAAATTGAAATTCAAGAGCCTCCGGCTCAGGCCGATCTGGTTGGATGTGCGGTATGGTGCGGTGCACCTTGCAAATGCCGCGCCGAGGTTCGTACCCAGCCAACCCTGGAGACAAAGTGCAGGAGTTTAGGAGAAGTTGGAGGCTGATGCCCTGCTGCAAGCCAAAGATCGCGACTTCATCCCAAAACAGCAGATTCAAGTGTCCAGTGGCGAAGGTACAATCGAGGAGAATTCATCGGTGTATCCCGGAAAAGAGTGAGGAAATTGCCAGGGAGGGAGCCTGCCAGCGGGTCCCCAGGGGTGTTTTAGAGGGTGTAAGGGGGGCAGTGGAGGGTTATTCTTGAAAAGCTAGTCGAGACGGCGCACGGGATCTGCGGAACAGAGCTGTGGCTTACGGATCCAACATCCCTTGACATCACAGGATGTCGCAGAGTTACGCAGAAGCGGCTTCCAAGGTTGGACTGCACCTCCTCATGCAGGATGGCGCAGGCACATTCCAGGGTGGACCTTCTTAAAAGGAATTCCGATCGGTGCCATGCCACTTCTTTTGTTGAAGTTGAAAGGTTCGAAGGCAATAATTATGTTGCCTGCGGTGGACATGCTTGGTTCTTGTGGCATTGTGGCATTGTGGCTTTGCGGAACACGCTGATGGATCAGTTGGTGTTATGGGCTACCGCTGGATGTCGGATCGTTTCTTGTTGTTTCCAACTAACATGCTATGGGAAAGGCTTTGCGCTATGTTGCGCCCGCCAGGCCGTTGCAACTACGACAGCTTGGTGCCAGCCATCATCTCCTCCACAGGCCCAAAGGCTGCATGCGTCAACATGCAGATGAGTTGTGGCACATCATGCGGCAGGCATGGCCCACAAGATCTTCGAGTCCACCTCCAATGGTGCACTTCGCGCAGACTGCGGCCCCGGCGCCTCTTGCAGTGACACGCCTGAGTGCAGTGTACCGAAACAGATTGTTTTTTGGCTTTTCCGCAGTTTCTCAGCCCACGGCATGTCTCCATCATGTGTTTTCGAAGCGCAGGGTTGGCACCTTGATGTGCGGTGGGGGACGGCGGTGGGGGGTGGTGGTGGTGGTGGTGGTGGCGGTGGCGGTGGTGGTGGTGGATGTTCTCCACGCCTGCTGGAAGGGGTGCTTTCTTGGACGAAGGTCCCTTTAACGTGCGGGTGCCACAGTGGGCCAGACTCGGCACAGCCAATACCCTTTCCCCCTCCTCCTCCTCCTCCGCCTGCCTTTGAATGATCTTAACTGTGCCGTCGGATTGAACCGAATGCTTTCAAGGAAACAGCACAGTCCGTAAGCGCGAGCATTCATGTTCATTCGCTCAATTGCAGCGCTTCCAAACACCGCGAGTACCGGTATTCCTGCACCCATTGCTTGCAAGAGCCAGCCAAGACAAACTGCAGCTGTTTTGCTTAGGCACGGTCTATGAGCCCTGTGCCTACGAGAGTCCTTGCGTTGCCTGCTTCCGCGATGCAAGTGCAGACGCTGCCACCGCGGACGGTCGCACTTCAGCTGCAGATCTGAAAACCACTTCACTACGTCACAGGCCCCGTTGTTCGAGCTGTAATTATAAACGCATGGTGCTTGGGACTATTCAGGTGACACAGAGCATGCCAATGCAGATGCTTGGCCGGCACTAGTCACTAGTCATGGTGCGGTTCACGCCCCTCCATGAAAGGGCATGTGAGGCACATCACTTGGCTAGGATGCCACGAATGGCAGCGTGCACGATTGAGTACTGCATTCGATAGAAAAAAGATAATTCAGTGGAGTTCGCAGCATCATCGAGTTATGGCGAGGCCACCACGAACGGTGAGCACTTGGATGCGAACAATCGTGTGATTGGCCCAGAATACGAAGTCTTGGCTCGGAAAACGCTTCGCTGCTTTTTTATTCTCCTGCCAGGTACCCAGCTCAACACAAGCCTGCTCCAGAAGCACCCGTTATCAGGATACTGAGTAAGAACATCTGGGTAAAATGTGCCATGACAGGTGCATTTATGTTTTGCAATCCGCTGTCGCTCAAGTCATTGGAGGACGATGCCTGCGGGAGGGCTGCAAGTATCCACTCTTCAGGCCAGCTGAGCTTGTTTGGACTCTCCAAAGTGGGAGTCTGTGTATCATATGGTAAAAACATTAGACAGGGCGAGGTTTTGCGAAACCGCAAGGCCAAGCTCGTCGCGAGAAGTAAAAAGGTGGTCATTGCTCAACACAGGCAGACAGTCACAGCTTCGCGTGAGCCGAGTCGAGGCTGGGCCAATCAGCGGAGAAGGCCCTCAGCAGTTTTGGGATGGCCAGCCCGAGCTATTTCAAGGCTCCGCACATCCGCCTGGGCTCCGTGCGAGAAGCGCTGGCCCACTGCTTGGGCTTTTGGGTTTGCTTTCGGAAGATGGGAACACCGGGTCGGATGGGAGGTCTTGGCCGAGGGAGGGTTCTCCAATCGCCAATCGCCAATCGGCCAGAGGCCTCGGCCGACTGCAAACTGGCACCGGAAGCTGTGAGGAGCGCGATTCGATAAGCCGAATCTTGGTAGGTTGTCCGCCAAGAGATTCTACAGAAACTTGAAGAGCCCACAAATCTGCTCCTGCTCAGCTCTTCCCAGCATTCTTGGATAGATTGCCCAGGCTCTCCTCACAGATTTCGTGGAACCATCGCAGCGGAAGACTGTGGCTAAGCTCTTGTCGCGTCCTCGTCTCCTCACGTGCATTCTCCATGCACATTTCGTTTGGGTGCAGAGGGGCTTGAAAATTCTTTCAAACCCGCCATAAACTCTGTCACCTAATCTGGTCAAATCGCGATACGAAAATGCTACCGCACGAGAAGGGGAAGCTTTCGCTGCGCCTGTTCGGGAGACCGGGCGTTGCCCGACCTTGTTTCCTTTCTGAAGCTCAGGTCACAGGTGCTGCAGGGAGTTCCGGGGTCCGCAGAGGTCGGAGTGCTGGTTGAGCAAGTTTGGTGAAGAAGTATAGCGGCAACAGTTGACATAAAGCCAGAAAGTTCAGCACCCCTTCCCTTGTCAGACATGGCGTGCCCAGATTTCATGACAATTCAACATCGTTTAGCAAAGCCAGTCCGTGGAGGGTGAGTGGGCAAGGTGGGCCTCTGCGCACGTGGTCCGGAGCAGCGCTGCGGGGAGCCACAGCGCCGCCTCAATGCTTCATTGGGATGCCACGAGCAGCCTTGACACATCATGCAAGCCTGTTCAGTTTCGACTGCCATGGCGATTTTAGTTCGTGAGGCGTGGTTTTTGCCACATTTTGCCAAGGCTCCGATGTGATTTTGCACCTGATGCCCCAGTGCTCAGCAAGCGGGGGAGTTGAAGGCTCCGCATCCTAGACATCCCTAGACACTACGAGTCTGATGCGGTAATATCACGACATGCGAACTGTAAGCGTCTGGAATTGCTGCTTCTGCCAGGTGCTATCTGTATTCTACATGATGTGACATCGCTCAAGGCCGGAGTGACACCGAGAAGCCGAGTTGCATCTCAAAGCGTTTGTTCTACTCTGCCTGACACATCAGAAAATGCTCAACTTGCAGGCGTCTGTCGAGATGTCCGCGCGGGTTGCACAGGACATGCGTCGCATCATCGACGCCTCCTGACTGCAGGGCCTAGGTGACCACCATTCACAGCGTGACTTGGGTTCACAGTCCATCCTCCTTTTGAGACGTGCTTTTGGCAGGATCGGAAAGTGCTGTGACATTTCGGTTCAGCCGCCTAGCCAGTTGGAAGTGTGGCTGCTTTGCAGACATGGAACACGCCAATGAAGAGCTGTTGGCAAGGACAGGGTTGCTGGATTCCTCTAACATCAGTGCGCACCCGTATGCAAAGTACGCAAAAAAAGTATGCGTTGTGCGGGAGGATCAAGGCCCTTGGGGCCGAGGAGGCGGGCTTCAGCATGGCTGAAGGCAAAGCCCTGATTGATGACCTCGTGCAGATGTCGAAGTTGTGGCTTGCTTTACGATTCTTATGTGGCACCTCTCAGTTGATCTCAGATATGTCGTATGTAGGACCGTCTAGGGTTATCTGAGCTCTTTTGCGGATTTTGAGTGGTCATGGGTAGTAAGGATGGAGGAGACCCTGAAAGAGAACCTGGAAGAAACACGCGAGTTGTGTGACATTCCTGTTGATGCGACAGATTGCATCGCTGCCGTGGGCATCGCCTTTGCACCGCTTCTCCTGACATTGCAAGCAGGAGGTGCTTTCCTGCTTGCCTGCCTCAGTGAGTCGCGCGGCCCAGAAAGTGCGTTTTTTTGGGCGGGTGTGGCAAGCGTGCTGTGGTCAGCTTTGGTCTACCTTGTCCTTCAACACCGGCGCGGCGAAACCTCTGAGGATGACCAAGGTCCCCAAGGTCCCAGCCTCTTGTCCCGTCTCCATGGTTATGCTGCAAAGCTGAGCCGCGAGGCACAGCTTTACCGCGACCCGGTACAGCGGGCAAGCTTCTGCCGGGTTCCGTGGTTAGCAGCAGCGGCCACCTTGGGTTTGGAGATGTCCATAGCGGCCGCAAATGGCTGCCTGCTTTCGTTCCTGAAGGCGATGGTCTGTGCTGCTGCAGCCGCTTTCACGAGCGGAGTGGTGTTGGGCCTGGCCGTCGATGGTCGGCTGCCGGGCCCGCCTGCACCAGTAACATATCCAGAGACTGCAGCCGCAACCATCGCACGCTGTCCGGCAATCTCGTCTTGTGTCAGCTCCGTCATCGCCTTGGCCCTGCCAGCTGTGCAGCAAGCTTCTCCATCCGCAGCAGAGCTTCGAGACGCAGGTGCAGGGAAACTCCAGTTGGCAGAGAAGTATGTATTCGAGGCGGCAGAACTACGTGACAAACTCCACCGGCGAAGCGGCAAAGTACTGAATCCTACAGCACAACTGGAGAAGCTTGGTGTCAAATGTACCGTAATGTACCACTTGCATGAGCTAAGAAGACTCTGTTGAAGCACCCGGAAGTACTGCAAGATCCTCTGGGGCCACAGGGCCAACAGTGTGCCAACAGTGCCAGCGATTCACGAACAGTTTTCTGCATGATACAATTATACATTTGTTTTGTGATGTTGCTATACCCAATACATGCATGGCTTTGAATTCGTGGTGCCATCAGCCGCACAATGTTCGTCAGTCGTCAGGAGAGCTGTCCGGGGTTCCGCTGCCGAACGCCTGGACTCAATCAAGGACACCTGCAAGGGATGCTGAATGTGCCATGCCATTCTACACAGCAGGGGGCCCACAAGGCACAAGGATCGCAAATACATCAGCAAGCAGAAGGCTGCACTGTTACAGCCACCAGTGTCATTTTTTTCACGCAAGTCGACATGTGCTCCCTTGTCAGCCATGAGTGCTGCCACAGCAAGGAGCTGAGCTCACAAGCTGCCGCACATGCTCCTTGGAAGCAAGTGCAAGTGAGGTCGGATGCGGCCTAGGTCGAGAGTACACAGGGTGTACAAAGGGGGCACATGCGGAAGGCAAACGAAAGGTTGCAGTGGTAGTGTCTAGCCTTGCGCTCGCTAGTCCCACCAACTTATGACACCGAGGTTAAAGATCTCACATGCGTGGCTTGGTTTGGTTAGAGTGATCGGAATCGCACGGGAGGCACATTGCATGGGTGTTGCCGGAACAATCCGGAGCACATGCGATTAGCTCGGACGATGTTTCCGAGTCGAAACTGCATTTTGTAAACGGCTGATTGGGGTATGTCTGTGTATTCAGATGGCTCGGATTCTCTTCTAGGCAGAACAGGACCCATAGCCAACGCTCCTTCGAGACTGTCGAGAGCAGACGCAGCTAGTGGATTCGATCTGGTTTCTGCAGCATCTTTGACTCGTAAAACTGAGCGCCGAGGCAACCACAAAGTTGGCCGGCATCGGCCCACAGTGCGGTGCAGAGCGACAACAGATGAAGGACCGGTAAGCATCAAAGATTTCATGAGCTGGAAGTTGTTCGAAAATGGCTGTCAAGAGACTGGTGGCAAATGCTGCAGGTCATACACTTGTATCCACGAATGTGTGCATGCCGGCAGTTGCTTAGCGCGGGTTCAAAAAAAGAGTTTGCCATGCAGGAAGCTGCGGAAGGAGCAGGACGTTTGGTTCTGGACAGTTGTGGGCGGTAACAATGGGGGAATTTTCTGCATCTGGGGCAGTGTTGCAGGAGACCTCCTGGGGGGCCTGGTCTCCAGCCTGGTGAGACTTGGCAACTGTTTCAGTGCAAGACAGAGAGATACAAAGATCCATGAAACTTGTACTTCGATCCGTGACCACCCATCCGGATTCTGGGTAATAACGAAAATTCCCACAACCAATGTAACCACACCATAAACGGCGACCTGTCCAGCCAAGGAGCTCGCGCGACGAAGGCGAGACCAAGCGGCGTCTGGGACGACTTGGCATGGGGCAGAGCATGCACAGTGGCAATGCAAATCGCTGCGTGCTGAGGCACGCCCCACCTGCACAGCAGATGGTGCGAGGTGGTCTCAAGCTATTGACGTCCATAACGGGCAACAAGAATGATGCTTGGTTTCACTTCCTGTTGCTTCCAAGCTTCACACAAGAAACGGGAGAGATAGTGAGAGCGAGAGAGAAAGAAAGCGCAACCAAGTATGTTATAATGCTAGGGAGCCACCTCGGGGCGTGCAGACGAGCGAAGGCTCCGGCACTCAGCCATTCAGAGAAGAAGAAGAGCAAGCGAGCAAGAAGAAGACAAAGCAGAGGTGGAAAGAGACCCGAAAAGCAAGAAACAGCGAAAGAGGAAGGAAAGCGGCGCGGGACCGAGTAAAATGAGGAAGTTCGGTGAACCAGGAGGTAGCCCTCAAACTATCAACTTCCTGAACCCTCTTCTTCCTGACCCTGTCCTTCCAACTGTGGGCTCATGTGGGCTCTTCAAGTTCGGGTTTCACTTCAAAGATGTACCGTGAGTCAACAGCTGTTGGGCATCTCACACAGGCTGCAAGGCAGTGATGCACAGGTCTTTGTTTCGTGGCGAATGCGAGAGCGGAACGGATGTGAGAGATGGAAGTAGAGATAGATGTAGAAGGAGAAGGAGAATCCAAGGACCGGATATCTACACCACATATTTTTGTTTTTCGAAGCGCCTCTGTGGGTAAACAAGGACAGTGCACGAGCGGTGCGTGCACTGCGCAGCGAACATACTATGCGAACGAGCAGCACACTACGTACGTGCCTGACGACAGCACAATTTTCTTGGAGAACGTTCCACGTCTGCCATGTATTCTGAGTGTAATCTTGACAGTCTCGTTGGAGTCACTCAAACGGCTCCTCCTGCAGGAGTTGCATTCGCGAGGATTCTAAGTCCGCCGAGAAATTTCTAAGCATGCACACAGCATCACTTTCCGCAGCTTCCCGGAGTATCCAGCCGAACGCAAGTGCCAAGCGGATGAAGCTTGTGCTTGCAAGCGTGATATGGCCCGCTCAATCCGCGGCTTTGCACCCCCAGTCTTCCTCTTTGGTCAGCATGATTTGCCGGACAACGGCAGGCCAATCATCTGGAACGGGCAGCAAACAGGATGCATGCTGCACAAGGGATCACAAGGCCTCCATCTGCTTACGTTCGCGTCTACGAGTGTGTCGCTGCACCGCAGAACATTCAGAACAACAGTACGAATGTCCGCCAAAGGCGAGGCGATCGCGACCGACGGTTTAACATTCCGCGCCTTCGAAGATCTGGCTTCTTTTACGATTTGAACTATTCAGCTCAGTAAAGTTGCGGAGATTGTTTTGTGACTCGCCGACATGATGATACGCCGACAACCAGGTATTACGAAATCTGCAAGGGTTATTGCAAGCACGGCTTTGCAAGCGCAGAATTCCAGTACTACGTATTTGCGAGGCTTCCGCAAGGGTGGAATTCCAGCACCGCGGATATTACCAGGGTTTTTGCATGTGCGGAATTCGAATCCACGGTTTTTGCCAGAGTTGTGCAAACGCGGAATTCCAGTACTGCAACGTTTGCGAGGGTTCGAGGCTTTTGAATGCGCAGGGTGCGAGAAGTTGTGAGGGCTGTGCAAGCACGGAGTTCCAGCAACCCAAAGATTGCGAGGGATTTATTGCAAGCACGGAGTTCAAGAACACCACAACACTTGTGATGGTTTTTGCAAGCGCGGAGTTCCTGTACCACGGCACTTGCGAGGTTATCTTGTCGCATGTGCGGAATTCGAGTACCACCGTGTTTGGAAATGTGGAATTCCACTACTCGAAGCAGAGGACACAAACGTCAAACGAACTACAAACGAATACAGAAGCAAGAAACGGGCAACAAGTGTCCCACAAGCACACAGTGCACGAACAACAAACGATCGGGAAACGAACAAAACACAAACACCAAACGAGCATTAAACTGACAGACAGCAAGCGACGAACAACAAAATACCACGCGAAAGTCACGATCCTCGTGACTGTCAGCACATCTCACCTGTCAAAGTAACGACAGTCACGAGGATGGCGACTCCAACAGCCAACGCTCTTGTGATCGTCAGCAATGGCGATGCCACGCGATGCCGATGCGCTCACAACTCATGGCTGCCAGCACTTTTAGCCTTCGATGGGCCTGCGCAAAGACGCTTGGCGCGGATCCGAGTCGCTTCCCTACCCTTACACCAGCAACTCTTGAATCGAAAACCCTGCTTCTCTACGCATGCAGAAGTAGGAAGAAAGAAAGAAGGAGAATAAGAAGACAGAGACCAATGTAAGAAAGATTCACTTTTTGATTGCGAGCCACAAGCCCTGTCTCGTGATCGCTTGGATGCTAAGGCGTAGAACGTATCGCGGCAGACACATGATGAGTGTACAGTTCAAGTGCTGTTGGCGAACTACAGGGCTGCGAAAAGAAGGAGCCCTGTGCCAAAATGTTTACACATGCCAAATGTAGCTGCAGCAGTTCAGCTCACCTTGCACAGGAGCTTTAGCAGTGAGCTGCTCTACAGTAGACTCTAGACATGCAGAGCTCCCAGCGATGCGTGGAAAACGTGGAGCAAGCCGTGATGGTTGCATGCTTGGGCTATGATGTGCTGGAGCGGAGCCGCCTTCTTCACGGAATGAATTGCCTATCATATCCTCAGCTTTGCTAAGACTGGCTGGTACCATGTTGAACATGCCTTCTTAAAAATGCTGAGTTTCTGACGAGTCTGCTGAGTCTACGGAGCCTGCGGTGCTCTGATCCAAGGACGCACGAGTTCCAATTTTCGGCATTGATTGCCACAGTGTAGTAAACGAGTGGAACGGTGCCTTGGACACGCACATTGGGGGAACATTGGGAACATGTGGGCGCTTCTGGAAGAGTCTGGGGAGAAGAGTGGTGTTCTCAGCATGGGGCTTCATTCATCACAAAGGCGCAGCTGCAAAGGCCGTGGGCTTCAGCAAAGGGCAGGCGCTGGTCTTACAAATCGACAGAATTCACTTCAATACCGTAAAATGCTGCTCATGCAAGCTCGTGATCGGGATCCAGCTGCCTCAGTCTGCATGATTTTCGTGCATGCCCGTTGCGTCCTGCTGGTTGGGCTCAAGGCAAACAAGGCAGTGTGGATAGGACTCCAGGGCTCCCGTGAGCCTCTGGGAGATCCCTTCAGCTGCTTTGCCACGTTCTACTTTGCATCAGGCCTTCTTCCGGCCAGGAGCCTGGCCAGTGATGCAACGTGCTGCAACGCATAGTTCCGATTGGCAACATGCGCTTTTTCTTCGTTCTATTCAATATTCCCTCATATTTAGAAAGAGAGAGAGAGAGAGAGAGAGAGAGAGAGAGCAACTCAGGTCCGGCATGCAGGCCAAGCGGTTCAGCCAAGTTTGATGCAGTAGTCTTGAACGCCCCTGGGGTCCACAGAAGTTGTGCGGGACTGGGGACAGATGCTGGGAGGATACATTCGATGCTGGTTGCTTGCTCAGCCTGGGGGTTCTTATCCGCCTTGCAGCTGCGGCGATCAATTACGTGGCAAGGCGGCAGCCATGATTGTTGTAGCGTCTTCTATCTGCCGCCGTAGACATGAAGCTTCTTTTGACTCAGGAAATCTACTGCATGCTAGACGGCGCCACGTCGGCATTATGCTGCATTGAGCCATGGGCGTAAACGAATAGAATAGCCGAGGCAGTGCTTGACAGCCGACATCCAAGCTAAGGTTCTGCGTCAGACGTTCCCAGCATCACTGAGCTGTCAGATTATGCAACCCCGCCTTGAAGCAAGCAATGGCAAGCATGCTTTTGAAATGGTCAAACCACTCAGCCCAGGCAACCGGCACTCGAGGGCCCTGGCGTTACGCGCTCTCGTTGCTCTCGGTGGTTTTCAGAACCTCGACTGAAATGTCCACATGGTGGAAGAACGTCCGCAGGGGCAGTTGCTGCTTAGGTGATGGCTGCTGCTGTCTCGTGCCTTGGTCTTTGACCTTGAGGAATGTGATGAACATGTCCTGCAAGGTGCCGAGATGGGTCGTATGAGCATGTATGAGCACCTTCAAGCCTCGTATTTGATGCTCAGGTGCTGCTCCATGCTTCTGTGCAGCTGCACGGGCGCCACACTTCGGGGGCCAGCCTTCTCCAGGATTGGGAACCGCTGAGTGGTCTGAGTGTTGTGCAAGCAAGGTAAGCCAGGTAAGGTCTACCGCTGTCAGCTTCTATGCAAAACAATGGCAGGCTTTGGTCATCGGCAGTTCTGGCCTGGACTTTGTGCAGGCGGCAACCACTGAGTTTCGGCTCCACTATGTCCTGATCCAGATGGCTGGTTGCACAATGTGCCTGACGTTGCTGCACATCCTATTCGTGCTCTACCGAACAGGTCGACAAACACAACGCATACAGACAGCTTGCTTCACATTCACGGTGTTGTGCATGGATCTCGTGCTGGTGGCTGCACTTCACAACCACTGGATCAGAGAACAGTCGCTTTCTTCGGTCACGTGGACCGCGTTGGAGTATTTGGGCATGGTACTTTACACGGCAGATACTTGGAAGCAATTGGTGTGCTCGGCTGCTCGGCCCATTGTTGTGCTTCTTGGGCAGCTGCAAAACAAGGTTATGGTCCAGATTGGAGGCCTGCTTCCAGCTGCCACTGTGAAGCTAGGTTGGCTGCCGCGCATTGTCTCAGACGAATCCGCAGCCGCAAAGTCTCTGCTGCCCAAGCATTCCCCGGATAGCGGAAGACCTTACAACAAGGTGGGTGCCTGACAACGCGTGCCGACGTATTGCCAAAACAAATTGTAGTCTCAGAGTTGCTGAGGTTATCTTTGTTAGAAGTCCTTCCTGGAAGTCCTTGCATCAGTGGCCTTGGCCAAGTATACATTCAAAAAAGTGTGTGTGTGTGTGTGTGGCCCCGGGCGTGCATTTCACTGGCCGGGTTTCGGCAGCATCGGCAGACGGAGCACACTTGTCATGTGCACATGATGGTATCTGCAGCGGGACGAGGGTGCAGCGGAGGTCTTTGGAAAACCGCTTGCAAGCCTGTTCTCCGACGACCCTGGACTGACTGATTCACCCTCAGTGTGGCCGCCGATGCAGAGACTGCAGTGTCCATGTGCAGATACGAGAGCTTCTATGACCCTCTGTAGCCTCCGAAGGGCTTCCTGTTTTAGTGCATCTCTAGGTGCTGCAAATGATCTTCAATGGTTCGTTGACGAACATAGGAAAAGTAGAGAGTCACTGGAAAGGGAGGGGCATCCTGTTTCAAACCGGGTTCGCAAAGACAGGCACAAGGGCCAGGAGGTCGTGCACAAGTATGAGCCCTCCAGTAGAGATTCTGGCCCACTCACACATGTAGCTCTTAGCTATGTCATCCCGTTGTCAATAGTCTGGCCCCCGTGGCTGAGGTCGCAAAGGCTTTCGACAGAGCCAGAAAGGCCTCTCGTCCACCATTCTGTCAAGCCTTCAATCCTTGCGACTGGGCCTTCTTGCTACTACCCTGACTACACACGGGTTGGGGCGTGGACATGAAGGACTGGCAGCTCATAAATGGGGGGATGCTTCACATGGCGGGCCACCTGCCAGCCGATCATTCTTCGATTAGGCACCTAGTTGTGTCGGCTTTTGGTCAGGGCGAGGAGGTGCAGCCAATTCATGCCAACTTGCTGGTGAAAGGCACGCTCTTGCATGTCCCACCTCCCTCCCCCTCTGATTCTTTGACCTGCTCTCTCTGTGCGACTGCTAGCTGCTGTCGGACTTCATACTTCGTGGTGTTTGCCTGCAAGGTGGAGGGCTACAGCGTTTCCTGCTCCACCCTGCCTTGAGAGGCGATGTCGGGGAGGCGGCTGGACATGGACTTCCCAAGCATCCCAAGCCCAGACTTATCCGACCCTTGGCAGTCTGAACACTTGGCAGTCTGAACACTCCCCAGCTGCAGGGGGTCATCTGCATAGCGCAGGAGGTCGAATCTGCCGAGGCACGAACGCAGCGGATTGCAGGCCAATATGCTGTAGCATTCCACTGCCCATGCCAGGAGGTTCCTTCGGTTGACCACGAAGATTTCAATGCAGTCCTTGACAAGGTGTCGCTCTCGGTGTCGCCCTCGGGAAGCAAGAGCGTGCGGCGTGGAGTGCGGGCGGGCCGGGACGATGCTCGAGGCAGTGTGTCGGCGTATTCGGCGTGGGCCGATGTACGAGAATTCTATAAACTACATATCGAGGAGCCCTTGCGGTGCCCAGTGTTCCTTGTCCAGTCAGGTGATCGAAGCGGCTCCTTCACCGAGTCTTCTTGTGGATATGGCTGGAAAGGCCATGCGGTCATTTAGAGGGTTGAGATATCCCGGACGGCAGTGAGGTCATGCTTTGGAACAAGCCAGCGGAGAAGCTGAGCGGCTTCAAAAAGGACCCCATCTACGCCCGCTGCCACTGGTCTTGATCAAGGCCTGTTGTGTGCAGGAGGAGGTGCTGGGCAGGCCCCTCTTGGAACTGATTTGTGGCGATGGTGGGGATCTTGTTCGAGACTTAGTGCCAAAGCTTTGCATAGTCGGGCAGGTCACACGGTCACGCATGTCTGCTTTCAGCCGAGGATGCTGTGTTTGTGGATACATTGGATGGCCAGGACACATTCGGTTTCGAGTGCCTAGCTGAGCTGGCTTTCCGCGACTTCCCTGCTGCAAGTGGTGTCTCTCTGCTGACCCAGGTGTGATCTTCTGACGAAGGATGGCCGAGTCGTACTGCTGGAGATGAATGCCACCGCACGATTCGATGTTGCTCGTCATCGCATTAGCATCATTAGTGCTTGGCGGCGCTGGACCCTGGCCGTGGGCGGTGTCCAAGCTTAGAAACTCAACCAGCGGCGCCTGTCAAGGCTTCGGGCGAGGCGGTTGGCGTCATTGTAATGGCGCAGGACGGATTGCCCTACCTCCTCCGCAGATGCTGCTCCGACGTCATTCTGATCCGATTTCATGGAAGGATCGATCTGGATTGGATGACCCGGCGCTGCGGAATCAGGCCGTGCTTTTTTGGATAAGATATGTCGGTTACGTCGCAGAATAATGTCGGTGACATCGCAGATACAGCATAACACTACATTTGTCAGTTGCAGATCGGCATCCCGCGGTTGTCGTCTCCTCGAAGCACTTTCGAGATTTTCTGGATGCCATTGTGTTGGCAGGGGTGTGTGGCCCTACCGTATGTGGTGTGACAAGCAATGCAACTCCTCACCTGCGTGGCATGACGCCCAACTTGCAGCTGGCCATCCACAACCATAGCAGAGTTGGAGAGCTGTGTCCCATCCTTTTCGCTTTGCCGAGCGCAGCTCCTGTATTGCTGTTGCATACACACGGATCCCGTACAGCAGTCGACTCCTTGGTGTGGTTCGGATCTGAAGTGCATCTGAGAATGAGCAGGTGGAGACGCTGGTGGCCGAGGAACTGATGCTTTTTGCTCGGAGCTTGGACGCCAGGGCGTTCCAACTATCGGCTATGGGGTGGGGGCTTCGGCCGTGTAGCCGCTTGCTCGCCTGAGCCGTCAAACCTTCTGTTCCCCGACCCCAAAAGTCAACCTGAAAAGGTTTCATGTGGGGATGTGGCCACGCGGTCTGAGGAAACATCGCTGCGGCCAATCTTCACCATTGATGGAGATGGGCAAATCGAGGCGGACGCTTCTGGTATTCTGCGCTCGCGAAGGATTCTTGTTAGAGTTCTGCTCCTGTTTTTGAGTGGGGTGTGGGTGGGTGGGGGACGTAGGCAAGGAACGGCCAGAGAGAAGCAAGAAGTTAAGAAGAAAAGGAGGAATGATGAGGGAAGGAGCGAAGGAGGGAAGGATGGAAAGAGGGCAGGAGGAGGGAAGGGAGGGAGGGGGAGGGAGGGGAGGGAGTGGCGGGAGGGGAGGAGGTGCCGGAGAGAAGCAAGACATGAAGAAAGACATGGGTCAGGCATGCATGCCTTTTCTTTAACTTGCATGTTCTAAATTGCAGAAAAATCCTCTCGCTTTCCCCCCCCTCCTCTTCCCGCTTTCCCCCTTCCCCCCTTCCCCCCTTCCCCCCTTCCCCCCCTTCCCCCCCTTCCTCCCCCTTCCTCCCCCTTCCTCCCCCTTCCTCTCCCTTCCTCTCCCTTCCTCTCCCTTCCTCTCTCCCTTCCTCTCTCCCTTCCTCTCTCCCTTCCTCTCCCCCTTCCTCTCCCTTCCTCTCCCTTCCTCTCCCTTCCTCTCCCTTCCTCTCTCCCTTCCTCTCTCCCTTCCTCTCCCCCTTCCTCTCCCCCTTCCTCTCCCTCTTCCTCTCCCTTCCTCTCCCCTCTCTCCTTCCTCCCTTCCTCTCCTCTCCCTCCTCTCCCCTCTCCTCTCTCCCTTCCTCTCCCTTCCTCTCCCTTCCTTCCCTTCTCTCCCTCCTCTCCCTTCCTCTCCCTTCCTCTCCCTTCCTCTCCCTTCCTCCCTCCTCCCTTCCTCCCTTCCTCCCCCTCCCTCCCCTTCCTCCCTTCCTCCCTTCCTCCCTTCCCCTCCCCTCCTCCTTCCTCCCCCTCCTCCTTCCTCCCTTCCTCCCTTCCTCCTTCCTCCCTCCTCCCTTCCTCCCTTCCTCCCTTCCTCCCCTTCCTCCCTTCCTCCCTTCCTCCCTTCCTCCCTTCCTCCCTTCCTCCCTTCCTTCCTTCCTTCCTTCCTCCATGCACGTCCGCAAATGCTGGAACATGCAGGGCTTGGAGCCTCCAACCATCAAGAATTTGCAGCACCTGCAGCCCCACATAGCCCAACAAAAAAAAACACACCAAAGGACCTTCACCTTCAAAAAACAAGAAAACCCCTGCTGCTGCGTTCGTGCGAGGCCTGGAACCGGAAGGCGCGTCGAAGCGCAAGTGACGGAAAGTGGGCGTGTGCAAGGGAGGAAGTGGAAGGATCTGGCATCCGTCAAAGCAGGTGGCTGAAATTACGGGTGTCACGGAGAAGGAGGCACCAGTGTGGCCTTTGCGTGAGAGCACAGTTTTTCCTGCAGTTGCTGAAGGCAGCCGGTCAGCCTGTACTTTCACTAGGCTGCATTGTGGAGGACTGGATGTCACAGCTGATTGTAGCTGCCTCAATCCTGACCCTTCTTAACATTCACCGAGCTTTGCCTTCACAGTTGCTGGTGCGAAAACGGGTGTTCGAGAGTGCCACATACGCCCACATTCATGAGTCATTGTAAAGACCCTGAGAGGTGTTTGGTGCTTGAAACGTCACACCGCCAAACAAGACGAACAGTAGTTTCTCTTGTAGGGACGGTAACAAATATGGAATATGCATCCTTCTTCGAGGGCTCCCTTCCTTGACGAGTCTTTGCGGTGTGGGCAAACGAGTCTGAGTGTGGAAGGCAGGAAAGCCAGGGAGCTAGGCCTTAGTCTTGCTTTAGTAGGCACGTCGCACAAGGTCAGCGAGTTATTGATTTTCTGGCGTAGGTTGGGGTAGGGGGGGGGCAGGTCAATATGGAACGGCTCGAACAGCCGTTCTTTTGGGGGGGGCGGGAGGGAAGGGTTGGCGGGTCAACCCAGCCATAACAAATCCCTGCACCTTCCTTCTCTTGTCGTCGTGCTTCCTTGGGTACAGTGATTGTGCTTCTATGCCTGTGTGTGCCAAACAGACTGGTGGGTTGTCGTCGCTGCTGTATGATAACTATGATGCGCAATGTTGCTTCCTTCGTTGGCCATCCGGTCGTTTTGATTGACGATTGGACAATTGTCTGTGCGAAGCTCTGCCTGCACTCAACATCGTAAGGTTGAGGGTTAAGGACAGGCTAGTGTGATGCAACCTGTAATCTGTGGAGAGCTGCAGGTTTGCAGACGTTTTTTTTTCAGGAGGACGTGCAGCAGATATCCGGGGCCTTGCGACGAATATATGGTCGCATCCCCAGCCATTAGTCCCTGAGTCCCTGTGGGTCGTGTCAGAAGCTTGGCAAGCAGGTGGCGAGGCCACGGTTCAAACAGAGCTTGCTTTACGTGACTTGGATGGCCATGAGCATGAGGCCAGGGGAGCAGGTGGGAGAAAAGTGTTCCTTCTTTGCATGTTTCGGTGCAGGTGGAGATTCAGGTGCATGCCCGCTGTGCACCGGATGGGTCGGTACAAGGTGCCCTCGTGGTTCGCTGCCAAGTTACCCTTGCTCAGTGGGCCGAGCGCCCGAGCTGCACCTGCAAACGAATGCGCTGGCTAAGATGGGGTGCCATGACATTGACCTGCTCCTGGTCCAGCACCAGCGCGAAGCAGAGGACATGGCAGCGGAATGCGTGGCACCATGTGCCCAACTGAACCTACGAGAACCTGCTGCGGACTGCAGAGTTGCAGATGCTTGTTTTAGGGTCCGCCGCTTTTGCTCCATGAACCCATGGCAACTCTGATGGCTCTAGTCAGCTAGTCATGTGCAAGCAACGAAGCAGTGTTTTATTGTTATCATCGTCTCCCTACAACCCTACAAACGTGATCCAGAACCCGCGGCCTGATCCTGCAATTTTCAGTCACTGAAGCAGAAAGCCAGCATGGGCTGTGCAAGTTGCATGACAGTGACTTCGACCATGTGGCTTCATGGTGCCGAGTGCTTCGTGAGAGTGTCTCAAGGCTTGGATGAGGACAGCAGCTGTAGCAGGTCGACTCTGTTCCTGTGATCCGAGTGCTTGCCGATTGGTGATGCTTGTGCCAGTATTTTGGAGGCATGGACAAGTTTTCCTTTTGGTGCTCGCAATAGCTCTCTGGTGTGGTTTGAAGGACGGCGAGGCCCAAGAAGCCCAGTGCGACATGGCGCGCAGGATGACCCTCTCAATCTTATATAGTTTGGCAGGACATTGAGCAAAAATGGCTGGCAGTGCAAGAAGTGCTGAGGTTGATGAGTTGCTGCCTCTTCGCTTGGTGGGCGACTTCTGCAGCTGGCAGGCACGTGACAAGAACTCACTTCGGTGAGCTACGAACTTTGCGTACCTGTTATGTCGGCAAACCTTATTGCACGCATGCTAGCCGCCAGCCTGAAACGGCGCACTGTCGCTGTACACCGCCCTGGTGCGTTGCGGGTCTTGTTTCGTTGTTGATGGATGTGCTTCGTCCCCTTTGGGTCCTGGGGGCCTTGGGGGCCTTGGCGGCCTTGGAATCCTTGGGGGCCTTGGGGGAGTTGGGGGGTCTTGGGTTCGAGTCGGAGTTTTTCGCATTCGGGGTGATGGCACTGGAGCATCTTGGGCTCCTGCCTCGCCTTTTGATGCATATTTCTGCATACAGCGAATCGACCTTTTCCACAAGGCATTTCTTTGGACTTACATTGTAAGCGCTTGGGGTTTCTATGAAGTCTTTTGCGGGTTTGTTGGCCTTTGTTGTGTTTTTTTGGCGTGGTCTCTGTGGGAGGAGCCCACAGCCTGTAGCGCGTGAACCCATTTGCAAAAGCAACCAAGACTCAAGAAAGCTGCGTTCAACTTCCTTCCAGTGTATGGCGACTCCAAATGCATGAAATGCGCAAACTCTACAATCTTGTTCGCAGTCATGTCAAAGCTTTCTTGAGGTGAACATCTTCCATGAAAGATCTGGTCTTTGATCGATTTTGAGTTGGTTTCATGATGATCCATTACCAATGACTAAAACGTCCTCGCAAAGCAGCTCCTTCAACAAAGGAGAGCAAACACGGAGCGTGAAATGAAAAGACAAAGAGTGATCTTTCTAAGCTTATTGTCACTTCTTGTTGCCTTCATTTGCTTTTTTTCACCAGCTTATACAGTGAACACTGCAAATAGCTAAGTCTTTTCTTTCTGGCTTTGCTTCGGTGAGGATTCCATGAAAGCCGGGTTTTCTATAGATTCTATGGTTTCCCCTTGAGAGGTGGAGGTGCCTGGCCTGGAGCTCCAGCCCTGCGGATCCCTGGTAGGCGGGAAGATTTCCCAGGTTGTATCAGACTGCATGTTTTGCATGTGCTCTGCTAGTGCATTTTTGGTGGCTGGTTCGCCTTTGCCCGTGGCTTTGGCGGTGTGCGAAAGCGGCAAGTTGCAACAGCTAGGCGGGCATCCGGAAAAAAAGCATGCCTTGTGCAAGCTGCAATGCAAAAGGCGGAAAGGTGTTGGAGTATGCTTTGCAGCTGCAGCTGGAGGACACTTCGTGCCCCCCAGCCATAGAACGAGATATTTCGTGTCATTGGCGCGACAAGTGGTCTTCCTCCCGCCTTGAGGAGAGTTCCCTCGAGTTCCAAGTCATCAGCAGTTTGCTGGGATTCAAAGTCCGCCTATACCCCAAGGGTGATGGCTTGGTTAAGGCAGGGCCAAGCACCTCAACTCTTTAGCCCTTACGACTTCTGAGACTATTTCGATTCTGAGACTATTTCGAGACACTGATGGTGCAGGCGGAAGAGAACATGGGCGCATCGGAGGCCAACGCTGCAGTGGGTGGTTGCCACGATGGCCACGGCAGGAGGGGTGTCGTCCAGCGCATCTTTGTCTGCTTCTGCCCCCATGGCACATGCCAGCAGCCCGCGAGGAACTTCTTGATCCAGCTGTCGCAAGCAAGAGGCTCAGTCTTAAAAGGTCTTAGAATCCTTTGAAATCCTTTGAGCTCCTTTGAACCTTGAACCTGGCCTATATCAACTGAGCCATCCGCTGTCCTGATACGGACTTGCCGTGCTGAGGCTGGAGACCGGGTTTGCCTATTGGTGCGTTTGGCTCTTGGCAGCTTGAGCCTCTGCTTTTGGAGTCAAAGTGCTTTTGCGTCGTGGAGTTTTATGGAAGCAAGCAACCCGAACCCCCGGAAGGCGAGAAAAAAGATTTGTGCCCTTTTTGACGAGCTCTTTGGGAACGTGTTAGCTTTTGACAGACCCTAACCTAACTCCCTCAACCGCTGAACACCAACCCCACATGAAACCACGGTGTTTGCTACTGCTCTTGGTACCCATGCAATGCTAAAGTCATTAACCAGGCTGGCCATCTTGGCTTCAGGACCTTTGAGTATTGGGCCTTTATGCAATTCAATCACATTGTGTCCTCAATCTGAAAGTTCAAGTTTTTGTGGCAAGGTTCTCACATAAATTGGAAGCATGCAACCGTTGCACCGATGCAGCGGTGCATTTACTCACGCTTCTGCATAAATCTAGGTTTCTTTTTGGGTCTTTATGTCTGAGAATCGAGGAGTTTGAGTTCATTGAGCAGAGTTTGGTTCTCTCTGATGGTGGATCCTGCTTTGCTTTTCGATTCGTCAGACACAGGCTCTGAGTGCCCTGGAAGAAAAGGAAACCATAGGGTGGGCCAGAAAGCTGCCATCCCAGCCCCCGCCACCTAGAGTCGCCAAGTGGGGGGTTGTTGTAATCATCGGTAACATGCGGAGTGGAGCACGTGTGGTGCGTGGAATGATGAGTGGAACGATGAGTGGAACGATGAGCGGAATGATGAGTGGAATGATGAGTGGAATGATGAGTGGAGTGGGGCATCGAGTGAGGCATGGAGCGTGGAGTGCAAAGTAGATCTTGGAGTGCTAAGGGAAATGTGGAGCGAGTGCGGAGTGGAGTGTGTGGTGTGTGCATACTCACTCACTGAGTTTCTCTTTTAGTTGCTTACCCACTTCATGCTCTCAACGCACTCACGAACACCCTCAGAAATCACTCACGAGACCCTCTAAGCATGTAAAGGTTATGACATCCCGGAAATTGTGAAAGACTTTCCGGTGAGATTTTTGTTTCAATTTAGAGACTGTCAACTCGACCATGGCACTCCAAGATCTCACTAGAGATACGCAACGAGAGCACACCCAGCCAGTTCAAGCCAAGACTTTGCGCAAGGCAAGGGCGTTCAAGGTGCACCCATCGCCGCGCAGGCGCGTTGGACTTCAAACGCGCGAAAAAAGGTGTCGCAAGTGTCTTCGCTGCCGCGAGGTCACCTACGCCAAGCCTGGGGCGAGGCCGGACAGGGCATAAGTCAGATACTAGTAATGTCGACAAATTGGGGGGTCTCACCCCCCGCTGCTTTTTAAGCCGTGCAAGCTTGCTTCAAAGCCTCCGCAGCAAAAACAAGCCTCCACAGCCAAAACAAGCAACGCTCCCAGCCTCCACAGCAAAGGAACTTGCCGGGCCTCCACGGAAAAAAATGCACCCGGCCTCCAGAGCAGAAAAAGGACGTGCCAGGCCTCCACAGCAAAAAACCTCCACAACAAAAAACACTCTTACTGCGCATGAAGAGGACGAATCCTTTCCAAACCCATTATGCTGGCGTTAGGTTTTTTCCTTCTGTCGCCTATACATGTAGAGGGAAATGTAGAGAAAAAGAATTCCAAATTTAATTTACAGAAACAAAGCCTTGACGGAAGAGATGTCACAAAAGTTTGAAAATCATGACTTCGGTTTGGACTGTAAAAGTTTCCCTATAAGGGAAGCCTACGAGGGAACCCTCAATGTCTGAGCAACACCAAGATCTGTTTGTGAAAACTTTGCTCTGATTGAGGCCCCAATCGTTCTAGACATCGGCGGCCACGTCGAATGTTTCCCCATGTTGGGGGGACCGTTTCATGCAACCAATCAGCAATCCCGCCCACACCTTATGGGCGAGCCCATCAGAATCACAAGCAAAGACTCGCAAGGACGAAGAAAAGGAAACGTGACAAACCGGACACGCTCGACTGCCGGCCGCGCATCGTAGATTCTTCCATGCGCCATTTGTGATGTTTATCTGTGTTCACCGCAAGCAGCTGTTGAACTTTGAACGGGATGCCGGTAAGCTAAGCAACGGCAGAGTTGCACTCGACTTGCGTGACCTCGTTTGCCTTGGTGTCTGCGCAAAGGCCTCAGTCATTTCCTCGTGCATCGTCTTGGTCTCGAAGACAGGTAGTGTGCTTTTCTCTAGGGCCAGGGCCACAGGCTCAAGAAAACCAGTGTGGGCAACAAGCACAGGACCTCCAGGTAGCTATGAGTTTTTTTGGAGCCCCACCCTACTTGGGCGTGCACAGGCCCGCATCCGGCAGGAAGGCGCGCATATCCGTCGTCGTCTGCCATTGTGATTCCCACGCTGGTTGTTGTGTTTTTTTGGATTGCGGGTGGCTCGTGGGAGTACATGGTGGGAGGCCGAGCAGGGCCGCTAGGGTCGGGTGGCGTGAATAAGGGCTGCTCGTCGCAGGGTGCAGCACAAGTGCTGGCCAATGCGCAGCGGAGAGTGACCCCGACGTTGAACTAGCTCAGGTGCTGCTTTCGGCTGCCTGGTGGTATTTTGCGTAACTGCGGCCCGTGAAAAATCCGAAATGCTCGAACTCCCTCAGATTCCAGGGCGGGCCCTCTACGCATAAGTACCAGCCTTTCCAAACTTTGTTTTGATCCTGAACAATTGTTTTTGATCCAATTTATACCCCTCAGACCCCTTCCCGAGAATGTCAGAGACAACGCTACACATCTCTGCAAACAGCCTGTGTTTTTCGCTTGGAAGTTTTAAGTCAGGGCTCGACTATATTCTGAACATGTTTTAACAGCTATGCTCCCCTAAAACTAAACGGGCACAGCCTTTTGCACTTGCAGTCAGGAATATGTTCGAAAGTTACGCGCTGCATGCAGGACAGTGATCGCCTGCGTTGCCATCGGCGATGGGAAGCTGACAGTCATTCACGGCAGTGGATCAGATCCGCATCGACAGGTCGTAGCCGCAGATAGCCGAAACATGTCCTATATAGTAGGCCGGTGTAGAAAGAACGTGTGTGCCGAAGCTTTTAAATTAAGGTTGCGTGGAGTAGTGATCCTCAGAGCCAGCGCTTGCCACAGCTACTCCCTCTGCTGGGACCTCAAGATGGCACGGTCTGTGACGACAGGCTTGAGTGGGACCATGTGGGTTTTGAGCCCCGTGCTGTCCGAAGGCGCTTGGTGGGCCAGCCGTGCAATTGGCGATTGGAGCAAGCAGGTCCAGAGCTGCGTTGCATCTGAACGTGCTTCAATGCGCTCTGCAGGTTTATTGTTCTCCTGCATCGAGAGCAGCTCTCTTGCCGAAGGCGCAACACTCCCACAAGCCTGATATCAACGAAAGCTAGTTCCTGGGAGCTCGCGATCGTTCTTGGGCCAGAACATAAGTCCGAGGCCTTAGCGGCACAACCTTCTCATAGTTAATGGCTTATCCTGTCGGCGGGTGTTTTCTCCTCTGAATGGTAGGGTATTTCAATTCAACGGCCTGTCCGTCTTCCCCCCATAAGGTCCTCCCCGAGTTGCGTTGAAGGGTGCAGGTGTCAACATGCATGGCTGAGACTTTCAAAGTACTGAATCCAGGGCGGCATTCACCCACGCAGTCTTCACCAGAAACCACCCACCCGAGAACGATTGCCAGGATCGGGCTGGCAAGGGCACTGCCTCTGCCTCCGACTGCTTACCAGACAGGTACAGGACAACAGTGAAAAGCATCGCAGCGATACGGCCAAAGGAACGATGCTTTTTGTCCATTGGAGTTCAGGTGGACTTCCAGATCGTCAGTGGCAAGCTGGGATTCGGTTGGCGGCTGTTCCCTGAAAGTTTCTTGCCCGGCAATCCAGGTTTGAGAACTGCGCCGTTGGACTTCTTCACGAAATCCGGAAGTTTACACCAGACGCATCCAGACCGTTACCTTTTGTGAGGTACCGTGGCCGGCCGGATTAAGGAATGCAGCAAAAGCCCCGACAATTGCACGCAGGCGGTCGTTGGCGGGAAGGTGCAGCCGAAGCTTCTGTTCTGTTCTGTCTTCACTTGACGGGTGGGGCCCATCTGACAATCTCATCTCAGCTCTTAGCTGCCTCTTTCCAACTACTATACGTAGCTCGTGACTTTACTGCGCATGGGCAATCTCGCACTGTTGGCCAGGATGATGGTGGAGGGCTCAATTTCATGATCACAGGGCGGCCGCTCAACGCCATGGCCCAGGCATATGCAGGGCGATTGATCGGGCAAGGCTCGAGAATCCTCTGCTAGACCAGCGACCGGAGAGTCCAAACATGACACGCTCTTCGAGCCAAGCTAAGCCGAGGTGATCACGATCTATGTTTGGCTCAATGTGCAGGAGGACAAAGTCACAGCCGCTCGAATAGGCCTCCGCAGTGCAGGGGCAAGGGTTAGAATTCCAAGCGTGCCTCGCGTGATTTGGACACACCGAGCATTCAGTCCAGCAGAGCATACGTGATTTTCTCGCGAGGCACATGTTTAGCGCAGTGCTGCACAGGTTACGCCGTGCCGTCGCGTAACGACAAGGAAGAGGAGGCTGTGCCAAGAGTTGCTGTTGGTGCCCGCTGCCTGGCAGCAAAACAGGAAAGCCGCACGTCTATCATTCATCGATGGCCTTATGATCCGACGATGGGATGTCGGGGGTCATTGGATCAGAAGTTTCTTGTTTCTTGCTTTTTATTTGATTTTCCCGAAAGCTTCAGCGAAGGGTTCTTCGAAAAAAAAACGTTAGCCCTACCACACTACCACACACTCACACTACCATCACCACACTACAATCACCACACTACCATCACCACACTCCAATCACCACTACCATCACCACACTCCAATCACCACACTCCACACTACCATCACATCACCTCCTCTATTAAATTCTCTCTTATTTCTTAGGCTGGGGTGGGTTTCGCCGCGGCTAGCGCGATGCACCCCTCTGCGGGGATCGTGCGTGTCGGGGCGCTCCCGCTGTGCGTTTTTGCGTATTTTGATTTGTCGCCGTGCACCCTCTGCGGGGATCGTGCGTGTCGGAGCGCTCCCGCTGTGCGTTTTTGCGCATGTGGATTTGTCGCCGCGCACCCTCTGCGGGGATCGTGCGTGTCGGAGCGCTCCCGCTGTGCGTTTTTGCACATGTGGATTTGTCGCCGCGCACCCTCTGCGGGGATCGTGCGTGTCGGAGCGCTCCCGCTGTGCGTTTTTGCGCATGTTGATTTGTCGCCGCGCACCCTCTGCGGGGATCGTGCGTGTCGGAGCGCTCCCGCTGTGCGTTTTTGCGTATTTTCAAGCGTGGTCGTGCACCCTCTGCGGGGATCGTGTGTCGGAGCCTTCCTCACCTCTTCCTCTCCTCTTCCTCTCCTCTTCCTCTGCTCTTCTTTTCCTCTTCCTCTCCTCTTCCTCTCCTCTTCTTTTCCTCTTCCTCTCTTCTTCCTCTCCTCTTCCTCTCCTCTTCCTCTCCTCCTCCTCTCCTCTTCCTCTCCTCTTCCTCTCCTCTTCCTCTCCTCTTCCTCTCCTCTTCCTCTCTTCTTCCTCTCCTCTTCCTCTCCTCTTCCTCTGCTCTTCTTTTCCTTTTCTTTTCCTCTTCCTCTCCTCTTCCTCTCCTCTTCTTTTCCTCTTCCTCTCCTCTTCCTCTCCTCTTCCTCTCCTCTTCTTCTGCTCTTCCTCTGCTCTTCCTCTCCTCTTCTTTTCCTCTTCCTTTCTTCTTCCTCTCCTCTTCCTCTCCTCTTCCTCTCCTCTTCCTCTCCTCTTCCTCTCCTCTTCCTCTCCTCTTCCTCTCCTCTTCTTTTCCTCTTCCTCTCCTCTTCCTCTCCTCTTCCTCTCCTCTTCCTCTCTTCTTCCTCTCCTCTTCCTTTCCTCTTCCTCTGCTCTTCTTTTCCTCTTCTTTTCCTCTTCCTCTCCTCTTCCTCTCCTCTTCTTTTCCTCTTCCTCTCCTCTGCTCTTCCTCTGCTCTTCCTCTCCTCTTCCTCTCCTCTTCCTCTCCTCTTCCTCTCCTCTTCCTCTCCTCTTCCTCTGCTCTTCTTTTCTTCTTCCTCTCCTGGAAAGTCGACTTTTGTAGTACAAACGTAGTACGCCGCGGACGCCCGGAGCTGCCGTGGCTGGAAAGTCGACTTTTTGCAGTACAAACGTAGTACGCCGCGGACGCCCGGAGCTGCCGTGGCTGGAAAATCGACTTTTTGTAGTACAAATGTAGTACGCCGCGGACGCCCGGAGCTGCCGTAGCTGGAAAGTCGACTTTTTGTAGTACAAACGTAGTACGCCGCGGACGCCAGGAGCTGCCGTAGCTGGAAAGTCGACTTTTTGTAGTACAAACGTAGTACTTGTAGTACAAACGTAGTATGCCGCGGACGCCCGGAGCTGCTGTGGCTGGAAAGTCGACTTTTTGTAGTACAAACGTAGTACGCCGCGGACGCCCGGAGCTGCCGTAGCTGGAAAGTCGACTTTTTGTAGTACAAACGTAGTACGCCGCGGACGCCCGGAGCTGCCGTGGCGCGAAAGTGGACTTTTCCCGAAAGCTTCAGCGAAGGGTTCTTCGGAGAAACAAAAACGTTAGCCCTACCACACTACCACACACTCGCACTACCACACACTCACACTACCATCACCACACTACAATCACCACACTACCATCACCACACTCCTACCACACACACACACACACTACAATCACCACACTACCATCACCACACTCCAATCACCACACTCCACACATCACCTCCTCTATTAAATTCTCTCTTATTTCTTAAGCTGGGGTGGGTTTCGCCGCGGCCAGCTCGAAAACCTCGCAAACACCGTGGGCGCGGAACTCTGGAGCTTCGAAAACGTCGCAAATACCGTGGGCGCGGAACTCTGGGGCTTCGAAAACCTCACAAATACCGTGGGCGCGGAACTCTGGGGCTTCGAAAACGTCGCAAATACCGTGGGCGCGGAACTCTGGGGCTTCGAAAACCTCGCAAACACCGTGGGCGCGGAACTCTGGAGCTTCGAAAACCTCGCAAATACCGTGGGCGCGGAACTCTGGGGCTTCGACAACGTCGCAAATACCGTGGGCGCGGAACTCATGGGGCGTCGAAAACGTCGCAAATACCGTGGGCGCGGAACTCTGGGGCTTCGAAAACCTCGCAAATACCGTGGGCGCGAAACTCTGGGGCTTCGAAAACCTCACAAACACCGTGGGCGCGGGCGCGAAACTCTGGGGCTTCGAAAACCTGACAAACACCGTGGGCGCGGAACTCTGGAGCTTCGAAAACCTCGCAAATACCGTGGGCGCGGAACTCTGGGGCTTCGACAACGTCCAAAATCCGTGGGTGCGGAACTCATGGGGCTTCGAAAACGTCGCAAATACCGTGGGCGCGGAACTCTGGGGCTTCGAAAACCTCGCAAATACCGTGGGCGCGGAACTCCGGGGCTTCGAAAACCTCGCAAACACCGTGGGCGCGGAACTCTGGAGCTTCGAAAACGTCGCAAATACCGTGGGCGCGGAACTCTGGGGCTTCGAAAACGTCGCAAATACCGTGGGCGCGGAACTCTGGGGCTTCGAAAACGTCGCAAATACCGTGGGCGCGGAACTCTGGGGCTTCGAAAACCTCACAAACACCGTGGGCGCGGAACTCTGGAGCTTCGAAAACCTCGCAAATACCGTGGGCGCGGAACTCTGGGGCTTCGACAACGTCGCAAATACCGTGGGCGCGGAACTCATGGGGCTTCGAAAACGTCGCAAATACCGTGGGCGCGGAACTCTGGGGCTTCGAAAACCTCGCAAATACCGTGGGCGCGGAACTCCGGGGCTTCGAAAACCTCGCAAACACCGTGGGCGCAGAACTCTGGAGCTTCGAAAAGGGCGCAGCAAATATCGCGACGGCTCTCGTGTGGGCGCGCAACCATTGCGGATGACATCTTGTCCTGCGCTCATGCAGAGCTATGCTTTGATCTGTTCACAACATGGCAGCAGGCGTCTCAGGCCATGTGGGACTTTTGCATGCTGGCATGTGTACGTGGCCACACCACGATCACCGCACTGACAACACAACCAACTCTACGTGTCAGTTGATATCTTCGCACTGATTGCTTTCGGGATAATCGGTGTCTAGTTTTTTTATTGTGGGATTTGTAGAAGAGCACCGCACCCGCGTCTAGATTGGGTTCTAGATGTTGCAGGTCAGCAGATTGCAGTCCTCACCTTTTTCTGGGAACTTGACCAAGCATCCAAAATCACGTTAGGGACTTTTGGGGCTTGACGTTTCAGATTCGGGCAGACTAGCCCCACCACTGAAGGAAAGGCGTAGGATGGACGTTGAAGAGCTTCCCGTGCGGATGTCACTGCGCTGATTTTTCTAGTGAAAAAGAAGGAAGGGCCTGACCACAGATGTATGAAACATCACGTGGATGGCTTCTGAGGCACCCGTCGCTAGTCTGCCTGAAATGAAAAGATTGAAAGCGGCAGCTAGGATAACTCAGCGAATGTCTCTTTACGGTCTGTAGCGGTGGATGTATATGTATGGCCACCGCTTGTGCATCACCTGTTCCATAATGTGACAGGGTCAGCATGACCAGTTTCATAGAACTCATAATGACAACAGTCATGTTTTGCTGTTATGCATTTTTGTTGGTTCATCCCTGCTTGTGCAGATGCCAACTGAAATCGATGGTGGACGGTGTGACGAAACATGTCGCAGCCGGGGTTTGGTAGATCCCGGTGCCAATACATTAGGTAGAGCGTGTTGCCTGCCCAGTATCCGTCACCCGAGCAAGTGAGGGCATCCTCTGGGAGTCCTGAACGTGTTTGGGTAAGAATTTGCTGGCAGGCATGTTTGGCACAGCTTCTCAACATACGTCTTGGACTCACCGGAATGTGAAGTGGGCACCAAGGCCGTGTGCAGTACCCAGTGCCCAAGCACATGACGCCTCTGGGCCCAGAACTTCTTGAAGCAGCTCAAACTGAGGAAGAGAAGCAGGCCGGTCCAGTTGCGAAGGTTTTAGAATGTTGTAAAGGATTGATGCCAGAATCGTAGGACGGCGCTTGTCGGGTCCTCCTGACGCTTTCAGCAGTCTCGGCCCAAAGTTAGTCAAGATAGGCGACCAGAAGCAGCTGCCCAGGTAGTCAAACGTGAAGTGCACACACATATAAGTGCAAGCATTGCTCGAGGATCCGCAGCAGATGTCCGGGGAGTGTTCGTGGCTAGGAGTACCATGTATGTTCAGACGTGGCTCGCATGGTCTGATTCTGCCCGCTGTCCATGAATGTGCCAGTGGGTACACTTGGTGACTGTCACCGTGTCTTTGTTTTTCACTTCAGCTTCCGGAGTGATCCAATGGGGTGATCCCAGCTGCTGGTCGGGATGGCTAATGCATGAGCTGTGCTGTTATCCGCTCCCGAAAGCAGGCAAGGTCGGGCAGCTTCCGATACAAGAAAATGGCTTCACACCATGCTGGAATGAGAACCGAAACGTCTCGCGCTGCTGCCGACCTCGAGGCTCCTTTTTCCGGATCAGTCGAGCCATTCCCTCAAGACTCAAGGGCCTCCTGCAAGGCTGTGATGCACCAACATGGCAAAACTTCATATTCAAGGTCCGGATGACTTCCGGGATATTGTTGTCTCTGGATACCAAGGAGACGAATTGGTTTCGGTACTATGGTCTCCCGATGTCACGGCGCAAGGTTGCTGGTTCCTGTGTTATTGGCGGGGCAATACATCGTATACTGTGGGACTACTTGTCCTTGGATGTGTCAGCAGACTCCGGGGAGGCATTAGACGTGCTCACGTTTGCAGATGCGCAGCTCAGACCCTGGGGTGGCCTCTTCAATGCTTTTGGCATGACATTAGAGCAGTTGCGCTTCATCCGATCATTGCAGCTACTGCAAAACTACTACACGAACCAACCCGTTCGCAGGAAATTTAAACTGCAACAGTTTCCGTCGAAATTTACGACCGGTGCCCCGTTGGCTTTTGATTTCGGCGCTTCCGGCGGATTGGACACGGAGTTTTACCTGCACTCCGGCTTGAGGGTCGTTTCCGTCGAAGGGAACGTCCAGGCACTGCGGAAGCTTCGCTCACGTCTCAGGCGTTTCGAAGACCGCCGGAACTTAACTTTGGTTCATGCTGTGGCGGGTGCAAGCTCCGCTCCGGAGGTGGCAAAGTTCAGGGTCGATGAGCACCAACCCGAAGTATCTGGATTGTGGGATGGCCGGTCCACCGAGGATGCAAAAGTTGAAGTGGTGCCACGACGAGCCTGCGGGGCTTTGTATTCTCAATTTGCACGCCGCAGCCGTCGAAGCCGATCCGAGTACGTCAAGATCGATTTGGAAGGGATGGATGTGCCATGTCTGGAAAGCCTTCTTCGAAACACAAGCGGGCCGCACCGTGCGCAGCCACAAGCAGCTCTACGGGGCAAAGCGTCGAATTCCAGTGCCAAGTTTCGCCCGCTTGCCCCGAAATTCGTGTCCATCGAGTTGCCAAGACCCTACTCTTCCGACCTCGTTGAAACGAAGGCCCTGGAAACGGCCAACATGTTGCGCGGCTTACTGAGAGGTCGCTATTGTGCGGCAAAGCTTTGTCGCCAGCACATCTACAACATAAGATATGTTGAGGGGCTGGGGGTCCTCTCTAGACATGGCTTGGGTTCATCGGGCCTCTTTGGCAATGCTGCGGTGGATTGGAGAGTTGGGGAGGAATGGAGGCCCTTGGAAGCAGTGCTCGCCGAGATGCCGCAAGCTGGCATGCTTGGGCTCTTGAGCTTGGATTGGTTTGATCTGCACCTGCGCCACTGCTAGGAGAAAAAGCACACACACTCTTTCACCAAAAAGGCAGCTGCCCCACAGAAGCCTGGCCATAACATATGGGAGGCAGCCTTGGACCAAAGAAATGAATGCATTCGGCGTGCTGCCTGGAGGCTTCGCGCAGGGCTTGTTGGGCAGGTGAGAGTCTGACTGTTGACAAATTGTCTAGCAGGCGTTGGCAGGCGAATCAACCTTGACGTGTGGTACTGTAGCAATTTTCCCCAGCAGCCTAGCAAGACGTGTCTGCTTTTCCCGTCGTGAGCCGGGAGCATCTTAGTCCATCGCGTGTCGAAGGCTTCAGGAGGAGTATGCAGCGGAGGACGTGCAACGTGAAGTCCTTGCCCTTCGACAGCTGTATCCGTACCAGCAGTGACGTGGCTTGATCAGATTTCTTCCTGTCCGACAGATGTGGAAGGCCCCAGACAGTTTGCTTGCTCGTGCATTGTCCAGGAAGAAAAGCATCTTGGCTTTGGAGATGGAGGGAGAGAAGCGGAGGATGCAGGCCAGCGGCAGCCACTTTTTGCCGCTTTTGGAGACCACAAAGCACAGGCCGGTGCGCATCATCTTTTTCAATTCGATTTTGTGTTTGCAGGAAGAGGATGCAGAGAAGGCTGTGTGCACTCATCTGCCGATGCACGATTAGGTCACACGATTGCGCAATCTCACAATATCAGCAGGAGCCAGACACCCAAGACATCCAAGACGATGTGCGGCGCTATGTCCAGACGGCCCAGGCTTTGAAGCACCAGGGCCAGGGGCGCCTCAGAGGGCGATGGGATGCTTTTCGGGATTTTTTCATGTCTCCCTCATGGAGCAGCAAGGGCCTGCCCCAGTTATCTAATTCATGCAGTGGTGCGCGTAAAGCGTCCAGTCCAAGGTGTGAGGATGCAAGGGCGGAAGCTGCGGTGGATGGGCTGAGTGGAACCGAAGGGCACACCGGGCAGCCCGTTGTCCCAGAAGGCGGCCGGCAAGAGTCTCAAGAGCACTGTCGCATCTTGCCCGCAAATGCTGGCAAATGCCTGCAATGTGTGGACTGGAGCGGCTCTCCAGATCTGCAAAGCATGATGTTTATCCAGAGGGTAGCTCCGTACCTTGACCAGTCATTGGGCGTGGGCGGTGGCACATGTCAGCTTCAGCGAAGGCGAGGACGGAAACCGTGAGGGAGTGCAAGCTGCACGGAGCCTGGCTTTTGGGGCTATAGCACAGAACGAGATGCATGCGCATGTGCGCCAACATATGAATACATCTGCCAACATTTCGAGTTTCCAGCTGTCACTATTCGTGAAACCGGTCGGCCGCATGCTCGCTTGTGTGTTTTTTTGTTGACCGCGCTGTCTCGCTCGCTGTCTCGCTTGCTGCCTGTGTGTCTGTGTGTCCGTGGGTCGCTGTCTGTGGGGGTGAGGTTGTGAGGGTGTGAGGGTTTGAGGGTGTGAGGGTTTGAGGGTGTGAGGGTGTGCGGGTGTGTGGGTGTGTGCTTGTGCGTGTTCGTGTTCGTGCACGCTCTCGCGCGAGTGCGTGCGAGTGAGTGCGTGCGTGTGTTTCGCGTGCGCGCAGTGGTGTGTGCGCGATTGCGCGGGTGTGCGGTTGCGTTCGTGGCGGTGTGCGTGGTTGTGTGCGTGATTGCGTGTGTGGTTGCGTGCATGGTTGTGGCTTCGTGTGAATGATCTCGGTGCCGGCTTCTGCCTTGCACGACCCAGGCTTCTCAAAATGATGGTGCCAAGGTCCGGTCAGTTGAAGAGGTGGCAAGCTGCATAGCTCAAGGAACGTGCTTCGAAGATCATCTAATATCACAGACGTAGGAGCTCCGCTTTCACTGTCGAGCTGGCCTGGCAGCTGTGCAGCGGCCCCTTGCCCCAAAGTGGTTTGATCTTCTGTAGTTTCTGTGCTTGGTGTTCGCGGGTTGCAGATCTTGGACTAATGAGGCAAGTTGCTCAGCACTCCTACGAAGATGGTGATTGCAAGCCGGAAGGCCAGCCTGCAGACTCGCCGAGTATGTTGGCCACCGTGTGCCAACAGTAGAACATAGAATCTTCAACTTCTCAGTTGAAAGTTATAGGGGCCAGCTGAAACGCCTGCCCAACAAGTCGACACTGTGTGCAACTGTCATAGACATGGACATATTCTCTCCCGCGTGAGAAGACTTAGAAGGCTTGTGCCTCCTTGTACCGCAGGCTCAACCCTTGCTCTGCTGCCGCGGAGTCATCCATCCGCTCTAGCGGGCGCTCTGGCGATGTGCGCAGCTTGGCCCGCACTGGTGCAACTTTTGTTGTGCAGTGCTTTGTCTGCTTGAGCCTGCGCTTCAAAAGAGACTCTTTTAAGGAGGAGGATGCCATTGCTTCAGCTATGGCTGGTGCACGAGAAGCTCACTTGGCCCAGCTGCGGAAGCAGGCAGAGCGGATGTTTAGAAGGGGGAAGAGCCTTCTGTATCTGTGGCCCTCTGTTCCATTTGCTTTTTTTCTTGCTTTCTCTCTCTCTCTCTCTCTCCCTTCTCTATTTGTCTTTCTCCTGCTTTGACACGTAGAACGACCCAACAGAAGGTTCTCACCGAGGCGAGGCGTAGAGGCTCAAAAAGCATGCGGCTCAAAAGCTCACTTGGCTGGAAGGCCCCGCTAAGACACGTGGTGTTTGAAAATCTTGTCTTGAACTTGTCGTAGCTTCATGGCAGCGGACGCTGCCAATGCCGCTTCCAAAGCGAAGCCGGGTGCAACAAGCCTTCACATGTCTCCTGTAGCTGTGCCCCATTGTACGCCTTTGATCACTAAGCAAGCAGGAAGCTTCATTCCAGGCCTCTACTCATAGACCGCGGGGTCATGGGGTTGGCATCTAGTTAGTCGGCCTGCTTCAGGAGAAGATCTTGTCGCACGCGTTGCAGCCACTGGAGCAGTCGGAGGATGAAGGAGAAGAGGTGCAGGCATCACACGAAGTCCGCCATGCAAGGGCTGGTTCAGTCGTATCGTGTCGTGTCTATCCATCAGCCATTCATGTTGTGATCGGTTTCAGCTCAGAAGAGTGAGCTCACAAGCCATCGCACTTGGACAACTTGAAATTTACACAGAGACCCGCCACTGGAGCCAAGCATTCCGCAACGCATCATTTCTTCAGACCCCCGGCTCTCCTGTCGCTTGCTTTGCGCACGAGAACCATGCAGAGCTGTCTGACAAGGTGGACGCCAACAGGTCCCTGGCATTGCTGCAGAGACCTGCGGCACTTGGAGTGGATGTCACATGATGCATGAAGCAGACGATGGCTGAACAGAATAGAGTCACCACAAAGCTGCACTATGTCGGACAGCTTGTCGTAGCTTGTCGTCGTAGATACGCTGCTTGCCTAGGAAGCCTAACCTCTTCGGCAACACTGATGCGCAGCCGCTGGACGGCGATTAGCCAGTCGGCCGTCGGCTAGCGAAGATCGGTGCTTGTGTGACGATGCAACCGATGTTTGCGTCGTACGTGGCAACCCGGCTAGAAGCCAAGGTTCAACAGTGCCTTGCAGAACTTGCCCGCGGTGAAGGCAGCCCGGGATCGAGCCATGCCATTCCCTGAGTGAGGTGGCAGAATGTGACAGAGTACACCAGAGGCAGAGAACAGCCCACAGTCAGAGAACCATCGCAACTGCACCTTGGATGTCCTGCAGTCCAGTGGGAACCATGGAACCAAGGCGGGCCTTGGGCCTTCCCGAGTCCCTGGCGCCCACAGCGGCGCGCATGACCGAGCTCCTCCATGACACCGATGCTGGGAGAAAGTTAGGCGCAGGGTCATCGGGTAATGGATCGGAACGGGTTGGGCCATGCTTTGGGGCACCCTTGTTTCGATTCACTTCCATCTCAGGACCGCGTAGCGCGGGCGGCCAACCTTCTGTCAATGAAGCGTTTGCGCTGCCTGGCAGCACGAAAGCTTTGCTGCGGCTGGTTCGAGCTCTGTCTCCTCTCACTGTCACCGCTTTTGGTGCTCCAGAACTTGTTTCACTTCGCCAGCAAGGGCTCATTGCCTCGCCGCATCCCTCCATCAACAGCCGCTTGGCTCTGTAAAGCCACGACAGGGTGTGACGCATCTGCTCATCTGCCACTTGCCTTCCACCCCCTGCAGGTCAGGCAGCAGAGGCTCTACGCAGCCGAGGGGTTTTGGTAGGAAGCTCGGCCACATGGTTCTTCGGAATGGAGGCTCGGGGTGCCGTGCGATGGAGACTTGCAGGAAATGGGTTACATGGGTTAGATGGACAGCTGCTCGGCACCAGGGCATTCAGCATCAGTTCCCGTTGGTGCTGGAGGAGTCTTTGCGCTGCCCCCCCACCCCCCTCCCCCCCCTTCTCTTGAAGTTTGTGCATCTGACAAGCTTCTTGCCAGGAACTGAGCAAGGCGGCGAACGCAGGTGCCTTGAACCACTGGTTTGGAGGTGGGGACCTGCTTGTGCAGGCTTTTTGAGTTCGTTTGTGTTGTGGGATGATGTGGATTCCCGTGGTCTTTCGTAATCGCACAGCCATTCTTGACCCATGGCACAGAAGCCTTTGCTGAAGGTCCTCGGGCTGGTCGCTATGCGGTTGTCACTACAGAGGACATCCATGGACATGAACATGTGTTGCTGCACGGCTTGACGGCTAGCGGGTTGTTTCGTCTCCCATGCTTGTCTGTGTTGTCAGACAACCTGGCATGAAGCACGTATCAAAAAAGCAAGTTCTCGTAAAATTCATCTGTGTGGAACTGTGCTGAGGCATACATCGATTGTTCTGGCTGGTGTCGCAGCCATTCGTCTCGAGCCTTGCTCTGGTGTGCTGTTTTCATTGTTTCCTTACTGGTAGCTGTTCCGCTCGACATGCCCTCCGTCGAGCAGCTTGCGAAACTCGTCTCCGTCCCCCGGCCGTCCCCCGGGGCACATGATAAACTTAGCTTGTGGGGGGAAGCTTCAAAGATTTTCAATGGCGTTGTTGGGCCAGCTTCTGGCACTCCAACAGGAGAGCACAAGGAAACCCGAGAATCAAGCAGTAGCTGGAGCGGATCACGACTAATTACAACAAGTTGCACGACCAGGCGAAAAGCAGCCGGCCGAGAGTTCCGATTTCCTCCCTTGAGTTAAGTGAGCATGCAGCTTATGCCTGAATGACTGCCCGGAGAGGGCGTGGACAAGGACCAGTGGCTGCCGGAGATACAGAACAGTACAGGATGGCCTCGCATAGGGAGGCTTTGAAAATGCTGAGTCCGCATCGCGCAGGCCATAAGTGGTAGCTTCACCATGCTGTTGGTCACCTTTGGGCACGTGCGTCTCCAAACGCGGTCTCCATTGGTTCGATACAATTGGAACTGCATTTACAGATGTGGCCCAGCGCGCTTTGCGGGCCTCCATACGATCCCAGATGAGTTCTGTGCTGAGGAGACGACACGAAATTTGACGACTCTCATCGCTAACGCGTTGATGAAGGTGAGCAGGAATGTCTTGGTATGGCATCGTCGTGAAGCCAGGTCAGCAGCGTGACCTAGAGAAGCGCTGACACTGACCAGCGAGCGAAAAGTCTGTCCCAGAGGTGTGCCGAATTGCAGTTGACTCAACATGTTGACATGCCAAGACTCTTGAGGAGCTCTGGCAATGGGGGATGATGAATGTCTTCCAGACGCTGCACTTCCTACAGGTGCGGAGTGCGCAAGAGAGCTTGTGAGCAACCTGGTTAAGTCTTGTTTCCTTCGTGTCCTTCGCTTCATAGTTTCCAGAACATTCAGAACTCGTCGCAAGCATGAGAGGACCAGCTGCAGATGGTCTTGGATCAGATGGGGGAGGAAGGCCGTCGACTCCGTGAAAGCCTCGGAGATAGCAGAGATAGCAGAGACATAGCAACGCGCCGGCCCACAGAGCACTTCCACGATACTCCCTTTCTCTGCATGCCCTGCATGCTGAGGCGTTGAGCAGCAGGCCTTGATCAGCTGCCCGGCTTGCCAGCAAGTGCAGCAGTCCGCATCACGTCAAAGTTGTCCAAGCTCGCCTTGTGTGTGCAATCGGTCTCTATCTCTCTCTTGCCTTTGTTGTTGCATCTGCCCATGCCTTAGGCTTCCACGGCAAAGGCCAGCAGCTGCCACCCTGGGAGGCAAGGTATGGCCGTGCAGCGAGATCTGGCGACTGTAGGTCCTGTAGGGGCAGTGGCCGAGCCATCCGAGTCTCTGATTCGTGCGGCTTTCGCTTTCAGTGAAAGTGACTTGCAGCGTCCAAGATGGGGTTTCGGATCTTTTGACGTGTAAAACTCTGAATGTGCGTCCACATGTTTCACATGTTTCCGCGCTTGATGCGTGTTGCCCTCCCCCCTTGTAGCAGGACGGTGCCGGTCGTCGAAGTCGCCGAGTGAGCTTGGTGTGACTTGGCACGCGCCATTTAGGCTACAAGCTTCCGCAGACACTTTTTGCATGACTGTGGGTAGGCAGTTGTTCTCCAAAACGATTCTTGAGCGAGGTGGCATCCAAGCTACAGCCACCGTCGGGTTGCCGAGGGCGGGGCGCTCCGGATCCATCCAGCCCGGCGAGACGGCCGAAAAGGCATCGGTAAGTTGCCCGAAGCGGCTCGACGATCCCGCGCGCGTGCTTTGGGGTTTGGCCTTCTGCTAGGCAACGAGACACTGGACCTTCCAGGTGGAGGAGGCAGTTGGGCGGCTTGGCACGGAGCAGATGGCAGAGCCACGCTTGTGAAGTCCCCCTTCGAAGTTAAGGCAGTATTTCGGACAGTGGATTTTCGACAGGAAGTGACCAAGGCCGGCTCGTAAAGCCCGAAGCTGTTTTGCGAAGCGAACTCAGACGTTTCACAAGTTGATATTGTGATGATGGCGATGCCGCGATGTGTTTGCCTCTCCGCGGCTCTCAGTGACGTGGATCAAACCAGCCCGTTCTTCCTGATGCCATGCCAGCCAATGACCCGGGAAGCGATGCCACGACAGCGGCCGAACCGGCCGAGGTTGAGAAGTGCATTTTGGTTGGTAGCCAAGTTGTGAAGAATTCCCGAGTGGATGCACTGCAGCCTGTGCATCTTGCGCTGGTACTGGCCCTCCAAGCTTCGGTTCCTCCTGTCGTCTCTTCCACTGCCACAGGTGCCGCTCTCTGCCGCAGTGCCAGTTGAGCCTCAGAAGCCGGTAGCCTAGAACAGCAGAAGGCCTCGCATGGCCGCGCATTCCTGCTGCTTGCGAATGCTGCTTCGTTGCCGTCCGTACCCTGCCAAGGATCTCCGCTCCGAAAGCTGGAAGTGAAGTGAGCTCCGAATGCTCACTGGAGTTCAAACGCCTGTTGCAGCTGCTGGCAGCGCAACATGCCCACTGCCCAGACTCTTTGCAGGTTCCCAGATTGGTTGATGCAGTCATGCCGAGTCATGCCCTTCCCCAAGGTGCAGGACATGGCAAAGCTCCGGTCGGAGCTTGCGACCCAAGGCTCCGATGTGGTCAAGGACTCCAAGGACTAGCCTCCAGAGATCTCCAGAGATCTCCAGAGCCTCCGTCCCCTGAGCTTTTTTGAATCGCCCGATGAGCATGATGAGCTTGCACTGCATCTCAACCGGAGGAGCCACCACCAAGCTTGACTATATCCAGAGCCTCAGCTGCAATTGTGAGTTGCTTGCTTCGTTGTCTTTTACCAGGGCTTTCTTGCTTGACTCCTTGAGGATCGGGGTCCATCAGTAGTGCACCACCGCCCGCACCGCGGGAGCCGCCAGTGGCCCGCGAGCCGAGCAACAGGCAGAGAGCTGGATGGATGGAAAGGAATGGTATGCTTTTTGTTATATGCCGAACAGCTTGACGGGGCAGCAAGTATAATTGGTATGTCCATATGACGAACCCACAGAAAGTTGTACACGCGTACCAGGCCGACGCCTCGGCTTTCGGTTATGCCTCCGCAGCGGTTCGACCCCAACAGCCCCCACAGCATGAGGCGCGCCCCAACGCGTTGAAAGGCAATGAAGAATGATTGACCTAGTTGAACTGGTGATGCATTCTTTGCGCAGGGACCGGAGTCAAGATGGCAGCCAGGCCAGGTCCACCGAAATCTGCATAGAGAGTCGGCAGAGCCGTTGTCGAGCCATTGTCAGCCGTCCTGTCAGTAGCCGAAGCGGGTTTTTGCACGAGCAGACGCGGGTCCTTGATGCCCTTGCAGGTCTCACGGCTTGATCGCTGGGCCGAATTCTTGCAGTCTGCAACGTTTGAGTCAGCGCTGTCAGCTCTGCTGGTTGCAAACGTGTTCTTCATGGCCCTGGAGATGCAATTCCTCGGCCGGAGGGGTCCAAATTCGCTTGTGATGCTCTTCCGACCTTGAGTCGTTTTCTAGACACCTAGACCTGGATTCTCATGAAGATCTTAAAGGCGTTGCCGTCTCTTGTAGCCTGCCTCCCCTCCTTTTTCAAACTTGCATGTCCTTGTCGGCCTTGCGCAGTTGCTTTCCATCGCATGCCACAGGAGGGAGGGAAAGCGAGCATGTTTTGAGAATGCCTGTTCCAGGACCTAGAAAAGAGAAGAGAACGAAAATCCCCTGCAGCTTCATACTACAACTCCACCCCCACAAGTTTGTTGTTGAGAGTGCTTTCTCAACCGCACTGTTGAAAAGAGAGGAGGCAGAAGAGATGTTCGGCAAAGTGTTACGTTGATTTCTTTGGCTTTGTTTTGTGTCCAGGGTGAATCAACTTAACTTAGAATGCATTTTGATGGCACATGCGATCGGGTTTTGTCACGCGCAGCACAGGTTCCCCCAAGTCCAGGAAGGTTGGCTTGGGTTAGGGCGGTAGGCAGGGTGCGTCACAAGTGTGCAGTTCTTGCCCCATCAGATACCTCGCCAAGATGCAGGCTAGAGGCCACAGTTTGCTCCCCCCCCACACTTCCCCGTAATCTTTCAGTGTCCGTCAGTCCGGCACGCGAAGCTCGACCGCAGTTCGTCTCTTTGCGCGAGGGTCGGGGCGCGAGCAGTTCGAGTTTTTGTTTGATTCGGATTTGATTCGGAGCTGCTCGGCCCCATGCCGGAGCAGCGACAAAGCAGTTCGTTGTTGCTCATCTTCGCGAACTAGCAAGTTCTTGTGCATTCATGGACGGAGGGTTTGCAGTGCACCTGCAAAAATGTGACTCGGCGTTTCAGGCATGATCTCGGGCTGGGAAATAGAGAAGTACGAGGAACCCACTCTGTCACAAGACTCTTGGCCAACCATCAACCGCGTCATCACAACGGGCGATTTCGTTTTTTCGGCAATTTTTGCTGTCGACGTCACTGTTCGAATAGTTGTGTTGCGGTGTCGCTTCTGGCGGACGGTGATGAACTGGATTGACGCCATCGTCGTGGCAACATCAAGCGTGCAGTGGTTCATGCCAAGCTTAGCCATCGATGCGGTCTACCTGCGACTTATTCGCTTGGGGAAGTTGGCCAGAGCATTTCGAATGGTCACCATGTCACGATCAATGGATTCCTTGCAGCTCCTATTGAAATGCTGCGCCTCGTCCGTGGACATGCTCTTCTGGTCATTTTGTCTGCTCACTTTTATCCAATGCATTGCTGGGATGATCTTGAGCGCTTTGGTCAGAGAGTACCTCAACGACGACACCAAACCGCTGGTAATCCGGCAGCAGGTTTGGGATTATTATGGCACTTTCACTCGCACCTTTCTGACGATGTTCGAAATTTTATTTGCAAACTGGGGACCACCTTGTCGCGTGCTTGTGGACTTCGTCGACGAAGCGTTTTCCTTGTTCTTTCTGGTTTACAGGTGCATGATTGGATTTGCCGTGTTGAATGCACCTTGGCGCCAGAAAAAGTTTACAATTTGTGCTTTTTGGGCTTAGTAAGAAACAACTTCGTTGGGACATGCGTGCAACCTTCACTTGTAGTAAAAGTACAAAACGGGCAGTCAAGGTTGTGAATGCCGTGTTTGTGCAGCAAACGATGCTTATGGCGGCAAATGATGAAGATCTGGCTTTCAAGCAGAAACAAAAGGACTGGGCTCTGTACACCAAGAAGGTGCACCCGATCCGCTTCTTGTTCGTTTCCCTGCATGAACTAAATATTCACACCTTAAACAAACCCGACGCCCGCCTGCCTTGGATTGAAGTATCCCTGTTTAGCTGCGTGGCAGCGTTGTGTTTCTCGCTCACGCTTGCTAGGCAGGACATGCCCATGAAAAACTTGCAGCGTTGCTGACCAGGTCCAACGGTTGTTTAGCGCCATGGATACTTCAGAGGATGGTATGGCTCCTCGCGTGAGTTATTCTTGATTTTCTGTCCTTAGTTTGGACTCGTGTCTCAAGTTTTTTTTTTTTTTAACATTTATTTTTTTCTCGTTGTGCAGCTTCAGATGCCATTGGTCGGTCATTAAGGTTGCGTGTTGTTGTCAGACCTTGCATGCCATGCGAGCACACAGGCAATGCTTGTCAGTTGCATCAGGTGACCTTTGATGAGTTTGCCCAGCTCATTGAGTCTCCGAAGCTTCGGTTTTGGACTTAGCTTAGCTTGGCTTTTTGGAATTTCCCTGTCCAGTCTTTTCAGAGTCTGTTGATCTGGAAGATCAGGTTTTGGATGAGCCAATTGGAAGCTTGGCCAGCATGAGCTGTTTTTAGTAATGCAAGAGAACAAGTTTCCTTGGACCTTAGACTGTGGACCTGATATTTATGCATCAGATGTATGAGAAGGAGCTGGATTACCATGATCTGCTGGGCCTCTTTGAGATGTTAGACGACGGGGACGGAGAGATATCAATGAAGGCCTTGAGACGGCTTTGCTCACCGATGGAATAGGGGCTCATCTGATCCAAGGGCAGTTGCTGAGAATACTGAGAACACGTGATGCAGGAATTCCTCGAATCCGCTCGGAAGCTGAAAGGCGCTCCCTTGCAATGCGATTGCTTTCTCAGAGTCTTCAGCGGACCCCGTTACTCTGGCCCTGCCATGCCCTACCTACTCTGCCCTACTGTAACCCGACTTGAGGCCTCAGCCGTTCTTCCTGCCTGCTTCGAAATTTGCGGTTGTGCAGCAGCAACTTAGCGGCTGCGTGTAGCGTACGTCTTCCATGTCAGGCCCTGCCAAAGCCATCGACATGCATCGCTTGGAGACCAAGCTCGAGCTGCTACTTGCGCAGCTGTTGGCCAACACGCTGTCTCCTGCTGGACCGTCACACCGGTCTTCGACGCGTTCTTTGCAGACGCTCTTCACAGCTGCCGGCCTCTCCCGTGAGAGCCATGGCTTTGCCTCACGGATGGCAGCCGCCACGGCCTTGGGTGAGGAGGATCGCGTCGACAAGATCCGCGTCGACAAGGCCGTCGTGAAGCGCTCGCACTTTGGCTTAAAAGCCTAACTTAGCCTAGCATCTGTCAGATGCACTTGGCTGTGTGTGTTCCTAAGCGACTGCAGACTGAGGGCTTCCATGGAAACCGACTTGGGGCCACAGCTTTCCCACAGGTTCTGATCAAATCTGATCAATGATTGGTGCGACTCCTCCAAGAGGAGCCGCTGGAATTACTATCTCTATCGGAGAATGCTGTAATCATGTAAATCATTGTAATCTATCTCGACGGCACGTTGCGAAGCAACGCCCACAAAGCCAATCGCTAAGGAAGAGTTCCATAGACGTGCAGGAACCTTCCGGAGCTTTTCTCGCTCCGTTGCATGGACATGAGTAAACTTCGTCTCACTCACCCGAACGTGACGTGTTTCCCCACAACATCCCGACACATGTAGGGAATTTGCAATGCTGCGCATCTTGCATTCCTGACTCGTGTATTAATTTCGTTGCCGTGGGAGAAGATGACGGCACGGTGGTGACAATTAATTGGCGACCCTGTCAGCTCCTTCTATTGTTTCGCATCCCTTGTTTCGTGATGTTTCGTGAAACGTAGACGATCCATGACGATCCATGGCATGAAGCTGGGCTGCCAAACCCAGGTTGACATGACGGCCTTGCTTCAGCAACTCGCAATGCTGAGGAATCTGTCAGCATATTGTGAGAGCGAGCAGACGTGATTCTTGACTAATGGAAAGAGCCGACTGCGCGTGCGATCTGTGCCTTAGGAGTGTTGTAGGTGACGGAAAGGCGACGTGTGTCTGACCATAGCATCGCTCTCAATCATCAGGCAAGAAAGCAGCATAGTTCCCTTGTCAACTTGTCCAAACTTGTCCAGGTGACTCTTCCCTGTGGCCGCTGGTGCATCACAGTCTGTGCAGAGGACCGGGAGGTGGCGCAAAAGCTACGCCCGGAGAACATGGTGCCAGGCTCAGTTCTGCACGGGCTCGTTAAATAGGAAAAGGCTCAAGCCCAGCATCGGGCCCATTGAGCTGCGTAAACCTTGCCCATGGCCTCGTGTGTGCCTTGCAGGTAGCTCATGTCATGACAGTGCGCGCCATGGCGACGACAAACATGGCGGCGATAGCCCTGCTTCAGCGTGCATTGGTTACAGAACGCTCTGAGTCGGAGATCCAAAAAAACATTTTCATGCCTTTTTTTCGGGCATTCTAGATTCCAGAGCCTTAGCACTTTTGCTGAGCTACAAGAACAAGTTGCGCCACCAAGCTTGCAAGTCCAACATGTTGTTGTGATGCATTTGGGCTTGTGTCCCTTCCCATGTTTGCAAGCTTCGATCGTTCCTGAAGCAGTCGCAATCTGAAGCTGTTGCAGCTTCTGCAGTTTGTACATGGTACTGTTTTTGGCCTCCGTGCTCAGAGCTGTGGTTCTGTGTTTCGGGTGAACACTTCTCGGAGTTTTCTTGCTGCAAGAAGATGTGCGTGTGGATCTCCAGCCATCTGTCTTCGAGAATTATGCCATGAGACACCCATGATGAAACGCCGATATGAGTACGGCCCCACAGGGCTCGAACATTCGGAAATGCAAGAACATCACACAACGATCTCTGCTGCAGGCAGCGCTCGAAGAAACAGCACTGGGTTTTGGAGAACTCCTGCCCAGCAAAGTCCTGCGCCTGTTGCGCTTTTCTTAAAGCTTGCTTTCGACATTTTAGGATTTAGCAGACACGTAGAAGTGGGAAAGGGTGGTCTGCGTTCATATGATCCAGAGCTGGTACGAGTCCAAAATCTCGAAATGCATGTGTTGTTTTCAGTACATTGTCAACACAATCCACGACAGCAAGAGTCGAAACTGGAAGAAATTCCCGTCAGGAGGCTTTAAACAGGACTTATCCAGGTGCACAAAATTACCCGAAAAAGGGGCGTGAAAGAAGAACAACCGCATGAGTCGCTACTCGTCCAGGGTTGGAGCATGCCCGCCCCAAGGCGCTCGCTACCCAAACCGGAGATCTGGCAGGCCACAGTGACGTGCTGTCTGGCCCAAAGTTCCTGCGCACTGCTTGAACAGTAGAACAGTACAGCCAGGTGCGGATGCACGTGCAGCGAGCCATCTCGCTTCTCGGGAGGTGGCCTGAAGCATGAAGCCTCCGTGTTGGCACAGCCAATTCGATGGAAATGAGGTTGAATTTTCCCCATCAAGAGAACTTTGAAGGGTGAGGGGAGCTGTGCTCTGCAAGAGAGGGTCCTACTTTGCGTCTGCTAAGCTGATGCACATTGCCACACAAAGCATGGCACGAACGTGTGACTAGGCGAGCTAACCTTGCGCCTCTAGCACCTCTAATGCCCGCCACTTGACCGACATTGAAGATACAGTTGTTGATGAGGTTTGCTGCGATTGCGACTTGGCTTGGCACTAGTCTCGACCACCACCAAGTTGTAGAGTAGGGATGTTGTGCTGGAAAAGGTCCACGTTAGCCTGCGTGCGCTAGCCTAATGAGCAACGGACTTGCAAGCATTCTATCTTCGACCTCCTGAATGAGGTTGCAGTTTTGCGGCTGGCGATGGCTTGCAGCTGTCTTGCCCCGGTGAGCATCGGCTTTGCCGCAGTTGCCCCCTGACCAGAAGCTAGAGTTGGGGGTCACGGGGCCTGCTTTCTTCCCCTGCAAGTGTATGTTTCATTTGAAATCCTAAGCCAAACCATGCTTGTGGGTTTGGAATCAAGACGCAACAAAGCAACAAGGGGTAACAAGGGCATCTGAAAGTTGATGGCCGGCACGGGCACGCTGTTCGAGAGGTCTTCTCATGGAGCTCCGTCGCGAGAGCGTGCCGACTTGCCCAGCTTGTGAGTCTTGGCTGCACAGGGCTTCTGAGAGGACTGGTGTCCAAGCTGTTCAAGAGATTCAAGAGTGACACTAAGGCTGGAGAGGGGGACAGAATCCATCTGTCATCAAAGTGGGAGCTCATGGATCAGGCATACCAAGGGTCTTCGACTAACAGCCCGCTAAACCTGGCCCCCCGACTCGAAGAGACAACCGTCTTGTGATGCCACTACAACAAGCTCGACTAAGAACTCAGTGGGCATTTGCCCTGCTGTTTGTGAGTTTGCGTGCTCTCTGTCTGTCTTCTCCTGTCGGTCTTTCAATTCGGTCTCTGTCCTGCTTGGAGCAATTGCTGGAATGCGAGAACAAGCTTGCTCCTGGATCGCATGAAGTAGGTGGTGCGCAAATGGCTTGGTCAACCAGATTTGGGAAACTAGTACTGGACTCATTTGAGAACAATGCGCATGCTTGGATAGAGCATGCCGAGCGCGGTAATGCAGGTCACGAGGCTGTCATGAGACTGTGGGTCTGTCAAGTTTTCGCGGCGTGCTGCGACCAAATCCATTCAGAGATGCATGTTTCCGCTTCCAGGGTCCGTTTGTCCGTTTTTCTCTTTTAACTGGGAGGCCCATGCCACCATGGACGAGCTGGGCTGCTGTTGCACACCAGGGGCAGAGGGCTGCGACAGTCAAGTTGACGTGGGCTCCCAGGCAGGAGTGAGCTTGAAGGCTAGTCACTTCTGCACTCCCATGCCGTCCTCTACATTTCTGCTTTTGAAGTTCTGGCGCATTCTGCACCCGGCAGGTGGTCATCTTTGGACAGAGCAGAAGCAGCGGTTACTTGGATGCAGAAGGGTTAGCAGCGTCTACTGGTGGTTGGAGCAACCGCCTTGGTCCAGGCTTGAATGGCCAGCGCGCGCAAACTCTGTGGTGGGACTGCGACGGCCAGTGTTGGGAAGTGCCTTGGCGTGCAATCTTTGGCTGCCGTGCCTGAACTTACAGTGTGATTCCGTATGAACACCGCATGGTCTGGTCAACTGTCAATCCAACACAGCCGTAGCCTGTCCCAACGTCCCAACATGACCGAGGTGCTGGTGCTGGCTTCGAGACAGGCCATGGCCACCAGAACCCAAGTGAGTCTGCTTACTTGAGCCTAGCCTGGTGCGGACCACAAGCCCATGCTGTGGCTTTGAAGGTGATGAGGATGCATACCTCCGAGCTAGCCCTGGCAGAGGCGTTCGACAGCGCACCTTTTTGTGCGTATTTGTGAGACTTTTGTGACCTTCGAGCAGACTGTGGAAGCTGAGATCTGCCAGGCCTGTGGTGGCGCGGATGGGCTCAGCAATTGTCCTTGCTGGCCGTCAGGCAAGAGCGACTCGAGACCGTGTGGCTGCCAGCGGCGTTGCTTTGTACAAAAATCGCTGTGAAACCCGACAATAGTAGCAGACCTCGGCCTCGGCAACTTTGGCAACTGAATCTTTCTGCATTCTTTGCAAGTTTTGAAACTCAAAAGCTTGTTTTGTTGCGCAGGCCGCGGCTTGTATCCAGTGAGTCTTGGGAGCCCTGGCCTTTCAAATTGAGCGAGCCGCAACGGGCGAATGCGTGTACGCACGTCATTAGGTCGCGCAAGCAAAAACACTTTCTTGTCCTGCGGTTGCCGACTTTGCTTGAACTGTTCCAAGGAACCGCTGCTGCGTCAAACTGGGTATTGACGAGTGCTCCGGGGATGCACACTGTCCGGCTGCTTGGCTACAATGTGCTTGAATGGTTGCGGGCTCGAAGCAGCTCAACACGGCGCCAAGAAGCAGGCTGTCTTCGGCAGATTGTTGACGACTCCAAGACTTCACCTGTACTGCAGCGCCCAACGCAGGTTTGATAGTCTGAGAAGGATCCCAAAGGTCTGAGGTTCTCCTGCTTAGTTGATGGGTTTTCCGTGGGCGGCTTCTTGGAGTTTGCCAGTTCTAATCCGAAGGTGTGATCGGGTGCTCTGCTGGAACTGCATACCTTCTCCACGAAGAATACGTGCGGTGTTAGCCCCAACCCGAAACTCTTCTGGATGCCTGTAAATCTTCGGCCCTTAGGCCCCACCCGAAACCTTTCCAGCTGCCAAGCTGTGCCCGTCCCCGATTTTTTCTGAGTCGCTCGCCTCGGGCATTTTCCGACTCGTTGTTTGTGACTCATGTGACTCGGTCCCAACCCTCCGCGATGGACAAGGTGCTTGAGCGTGATCTCCATGATGCGAGTGTGGTGAAATGCTGTCTGAAGTTGGGCTGCCTTAGTGACCCTTAAAGTCCTCACCTCTTAAACCCTTAAATCCTTAACCTTGAAATTGTATGCCCCCATGCGCAACTGTTCTGGATCTGGGAAGTGGATCCTGCACCCGAGCCCTGTACCGAGTGCCTGTGTGTTTTGTGTAGGGCGTCTTGCAGTCCGAATTGGCGTCGGTCGTTGGCTCGCCATACAAAAGAGGTTGATCTCCTTTTGGGGGCTCCTAGGTGTCGCGCAGTGTCTATTTGTGATTCGGAATGTCTTGCGTTGCAATGTCTTGCGTTGCGGAATGTTGCCTCATGCAGTTGCAGTTGCATGGAGCCACGCGCTGCAGCGGTGCCAGAAGTTGTGCCGCATGCCGTGCACATGCCTGCTTGCAAAGGTTGGCTACCCCTACTTTCACGGCGCGGAGAAACTTGGCCAATACACCAAAATAGAGAGCTGAATGCATGCCAGTCGTTCATGATTCTTCAAGCCTACTCTGCCTATCCTCATGCATGAAGGCGAAATTGCTGTCCAATCTTCACGGTGCTTCAGGTACTTGCCTTTTGATTCTCTGCTGCGCCTGGGATGCAAAGCGATTTACACCAAGAGTCGTAAGATATGACAATATGAACGGTTGAAATGTCAAGTTGGGCAGAGCCAGCCTTGGCATGGTTCGAGCAGTCTCTCATGTTCCGACCTGTTGCAGGGTGGGGGTTCTTTTTGGGTATATCTTTTTCGTTTTTTTTGGGTATTTTTTTTGGTTTTCTAAACCCTAAACCCTAAACCCTAAAGCCGAGTAAATCCTAAACCCTAAGCCCTAAACCCTAAACCCTAAACCCTAAACCCTAAACCCTAAACCCTAAACCCTAAAACCCTAAAACCCCAAAACCCTAAAACCCTAAAACCCTAAAACCCTAACACCCTAAAACCCTAGCACCCCAAAACCCTAACACCCTAAAACCCTAAAACCCTAACACCCTAAAACCCTAACACCCGAACACCCTAACACCCTAACACCCTAAAACCCTAACACCCTAAAACCCTAAAACCCTAAAACCCTAAAACCCTAAGACCCTAAGACCCTAAAACCCTAAAACCCTAAACCCTAAACCCTAAACCCTAACCCCTAACCCCTAAACCCTAAACCCTAAACCCTAAACCCAAAAACATACCCTAAACCCAAAAACATACCCTAAACCCAAAAACATACCCAAAAAACCCAAAAAAACACTCAAAAAACCTGGCTGCATGCCTACTCCGTGCAAGAAATGGTTCGAACTGCAGGACATCTTTGGATGCGGTTCTGCATTTTCTCCGGCATGACTTCGCCAATTTCTTCCACTACAATGACATGATCGATGTGCACCCGCCAGGATGCTGCTGAGGGTCTGAAGCGAAGGTTGCCGTGGTATTGGATTCCCGCGATGACGAAGTTGTCTCAGGACTCCCGAACATCATCTTTCACAACTACCGTTCGTGGATGCACACGCCTCTTGGTGGAACGTTGCGCTGACAGGCAGTTCTTCGAGCAGAGTAGGAATCGGTTGACTGATGGCAATCGGTTTGTCTTGGGCAAATGGTGTCAGAGAGTGTGAGCACTCAGTTAGCCGCCGTGCTAGAGTAGATGGGACCAGGTGAAAGTAGTTGGTTGCTGTTGGCTGTTTTGCTGTTAGTCTTGTGCTGTTTTTTGGTTGCTGTTTTGTCGTATGTCGCTTGTCGCTGTCCTTGTCGTCGTTGTTGTTACGTACAAGCAACTAAAGCTCCTGAACAGGCCGGCCTCTATTCGAACAAGGGTTCTTTTGAAGTCTTGCCTAAGCCATCGCCAAGTGCTCTCTGGAACGCACAGATGAGTCTGAGCCACCGTGCGCATTCTGCCGACATGTGCCCTCTGACAATTCGTCACTGTGCGTCTCCGAATGGGCGATTCGCCAGCAGACTGCTCTTGTCAAGACACAAGTAACCACGGGCACCACAGCATTGCAGAGGCTGCCGATGTTCCTAGATTTAGTCAGGCCCTCATGTTGTTCTTTTCATGCTTACCCCCATGCAGGCACTTCTCTGCTTCAATGCAGATGAGTCAAGCTTGCTTGAACGCATATGACTCTTTTTTTGAAATCGCATTGTGTTTTTAAGCAGTGCCAGCCTGCTTCAAGGCATATGAAACTTCATTGAAACCCGTCACGCGAACATTTGTGCTCCTATGAAAACACAAAGGGATGAGAGATTTTTTCAGATATAACCAGAGAAACAGAGCAAATTGCGCCCCCCCCGCCCCCCCCCCCCCCCCCTCCACACCTTAACGCCCCTTTGTTAAGCCAATGATGCGAGCATTGCGTTTGCAAATGGGGGTGGCCCCTGCGCTTTTTGAACCGCGCAAGCTTCCACAGCAAAAAAGCGCGCCCGACCTGCACAGCAAAAATGATTAAACGGTCCCGGCCGCCCACCAATCAATGAAGCGCGTGTTGCCTCCCTAGCAGAGAAGGACACGCCCGACCTCCACAGCATCCACGGCAAGAAATCACGCGTCCGGCCTCCATAGAAAAGAGCACGCGCCCGGCCTCTAGAAAGTACTTGCCCGGCCTCCACAGCAAAAATGCACCACACCTCCACAGCAAAAGAGCCTCCACAGCAAGAAAAATGCGCTGGGCCTCCACAGCAAAACAAACGCGCCAGGCTACAACAAAAAATCGCTCTTGCCCCCCAACGCTTCGCACACCATGTAACACAACATGAAAGTCACTGTACCATTTACGGCTGCGTTGTTGGTTGTGGGACGTTTCTCTCATGCATGGTCTTCCAGGTTTCCACACCATCACCCGCAGTCGGACCAAGCCAAGTTGGATCGACGAATTCGACGGTTCAGGAGCCACCATAGTCAGCTTCGGTTTCAGTCACGCTCAGACCGTTTCCCAGAGGCCTGTGACAAGCTTCGTTGCGATTTGATCAGTTGAATCCTGACAGGGTCCTCTGCCGCCATAGCCGCGACGTACGTGGCTCCCGTCCTTTGCAGTTCGTCCGCTATGTGGGAGAGTCACCCCACGAATTGCACCGGCTACTTTTCGGCATCGTTGTCGAGCTGGCTTAATCGCCTCGTTACGGCCTCGTTCTTCTGGCGCAGTCCGCTCTAGGCTGGAGGAGCTCTACAGCATTCTGCGGCTGTGGGGCGGTTCACGAGCCAGGCGAGTGCACCGTAGCAGTCATCTTGGCAATTCAGGAAGGAAACGGAGGCAGAGTGAAGGTGCTCCAAGTTGACTTGCTCCAGGCTTTGCTTTGTGGCCATGCTCCAACATCCTCAAGCTCCTCAAGCGTCCCAGCGCATGCCTCCAGACCTGACTGGAAGGACGGGGTGGATATGGGTGGATACTGGCTGAGTTGCTGACAGCGCAAACGATTTGCGAAAGGTCTGCGTTGACCTCGGGGCTGTCTGCCAAAAGCGTCAAAGGCAAGATTGAATGTCGGCACGCGTGGCAATCGGAGAGTCTTCTGATCGCTTTGCGGAGATTACACTCAAAAAGTCGGGTGTGTTGTCCTTTCTCCCGTGACTGGTCAGGCGGCAGACTCTTCCGTCACGACATCTACCCGAAGGCAGCCAATCGAGAAGCTTACCGTTGTGCTTGCTTAGTGAATGCGGGCACCGTGCCCTTGCATAAGCTGTGTTGAACTTTGTCTACGCCGAAGGTTCTGTTCTGGCTTGTGGACGGGCTCGTAAATGTTATGGACTTCGGACCGATCCGGCAGGCGTGCTGGGAGTGTTGGGAGTGCCAGCCTTGATCACAGAATATTGACACTTAATGTTTTGACTTGTTTGGCTCAGGCCCTGCGCTTCAATGTTTACGATGAGGCAGGCCTACTCCACGATGTGCCCAGCTTCTTGGCTTGTGGAGGATGAACGATCCAAGAAACGGCTTTGATGCACAGCAGCGATCCAAGTGATCTCTCGGCCTTCATGCACTGCTAGGTATCTCTACGGCATCTCTCATAGCGACGCTGCGGCCCTTCAAGGAGTGAGCTTAGTTCCTGGTGGTTCTTAGATCTAAGAACATCCTGGAAACATGGAGGACCCCTACACCAACAAGAGCGCAAATTGCGACCGCACCTGGCTGGAAAGACCACCTGCAAAAGAGATCCTGAGCATCAAGATGGACGGGTTACGAAGAATGGCATTGTGAAATGTTGTGAACCCTTGCGTGAACACTGCAGTGACGGACGAGTTTTCAAGTTGCCCAGGAAGGACATTGCTTTGGGATTCTTTCCTGACTGTCCGAGGCTGGGACATGTGCCGTGTTGCAGTTCCCGAATGTCATGGGGGAACGGTGGGAGTTGTAATACTCAGAGGCGCAATAGAGGAGTGGCATATGGAGGGGCCTTGAAGTTCGGCCTCTAGGTCTCACGAATGTATCACACCACCTTCCGATCCCCAACTGCGCAGCAACTCGGCAGGGCCCAGCAGCCAGACCAGGGCTACCAGACCAACAACCTACTGCGCTCGGCTATACGCCGAGGTGATGCAGTGCCTGCTGCCTCAAACCAAAAGCGAAGATGATGAGACGGTCTGCAGAGCTGCGAAGTGCACGGCTTCGTGCTGCTGATCTAAGGCGAGTAAGGGAGCTCCTTCGTGACGGCTCTGCAGCAGATGCAAATACCTGGGACGCCTGCTTCAGCTTGCAGTAGACGAAGAGACGGAGAAGACGTTTTGCTGGGTCTGCTGCAAGCCTTTCGTGCACGTTTGTGCTTGTCAGGATGGCCGGGGCAGGCGGCCCTTACATGATCTTTGCGAGGCTGCAGCAGCAGGTGCATCGGTTTGTGGCAAATAGGACGTGTGCGTGCATGAGTTTTTGGAGAACTCTGATGGGAGGCCGGGGCCAAGTGTCCACTCTCCACCTTGCCGCAGAGCTCCTGTTGGCGCACGGCGACCCTCGGGCTCGTGTGACTGGGACTGACTGGACAAAAGGCAAGTTGCCATGCCGTACTTCTGCCGAAGCTGCTTCGCAGCCCAAACATGTGCATGCAAGCATATTTGCTGTCATCAGGGCCTGTGATGAGACCAAGCTTCAAAGCAAGAACAGCCGCAGCGGCTTCATTTTAACTAGGGTTTTAGAACCAGCAGCCAAGGACAAGGATGGCAAGAGCGTACTGGACGAGGTGAGCTGTGTTGAGCTGGGCACAGATGAGTCGACAAGACTTCTGGCTCAGAAGCCTTTCCTGCGGGAGCTGGTGGCCCTGTTGGCCGCTTGCTCTTTGCAAGGTGTGACAGAGCAGGGGTTTGCGGACCCCGCCGGACTCTTCCGTGGCTTGGAACTTCTCGGAGAACCAAAGCGAAGCCAGATCGCCCTGGGAATTCTTGGACTGGCTGCCCTTCGTCCCATCGGCCCAGCAGAGCTGAAGTGGCGCAATCCTGGTCCTGGGCTGGAAGAGCAGCTGGCTGCACTTGACGATGAGCTGGCGGCCATCAAACGTTTGAAGGAAACTTCGCAGAGACGACGTGCGCTCAGGCGCATGCTCTTCGAGTGGCATCCAGACAAGAACAGCCACCGGCATGAGCTTGCCAAAGCGGCTTTCCAACACATCCAGATGCAGAAGGCTGACATTCTGGAAAAGGGCCGGGCGCCGAAGCATGCGACAGGGCCGGGATAAAGGCAGCCCATGGCAGCCCGCATCACATCACCTGGAAAGCTGTTGATTCATTCACAGTGACAGTGCCGGCTTAGGATCAAGATCAGCTTGACAGCTTGAAGGAGCAGAGGGACACCATTGTCGAGTCAGTCAAAGCCATGCCGCCCGACAGCGCTGCCAGCTGCGTCACCATAGTCTCGAAGGTCCCGGTGGCGAACGAACAGATGATCCCCTCCACCGGCTCGCGGATCTCGTTGACTTTTCGCCTGAGCAGATGAAGAGTCGGTCCGATGAGCGCGCGCACTTTGCCGCAGCGACAGAAGAAATCGGTGGAACACAAAAATGACACGTGATTTGCCATCGTACGGTCTTCCAGCCCAGTGCATTGGCCAATTGGCGCTCAACCAACCCTCGAAGACTGTAAGTCTAGGCCTCTACGTCCCTTAGCATTGATGGAAAGTCCTACGTAATCTCCATCACATGGGATAGCTTCTTAGCTGCACGGGTTGTCTGCATGTGGGCCACCCCTCGTTCATGTAGTGTCAGAGGCGATAGAAAACGACCCTGGCTCACAACAGGACATGGCACGCCTGCTGCGTGGTGCACATGCTCCAGTGCTTGCGGTCTCCTAGCTGTCATTTGCATGTGGGTGTTTCAACAACACGTTCTAATTCTACCATCGGCTGCATGCAGTGTTTGCCATCGGATATTTGTGAGACGCCTCTTTTATGATTTTAGATTCATAAAGTGATTTGTAGAGGTACATGGACTTTTGCCAGGGCTTATGGCTATCTCGTTTTGTTCCCTGAGCCTCCCTGCAGAAGCTAGGCCGACAATTTGGGCATACTTGTGCTGGCATACCTTGAAATTATCGGAACGTTAGTGCGCGACAGGTGGCAATTGTGTCCAGACGCCGTTCCTGAGTCTGCTTGTGGACTTGAGGTGGATGTGCGCGGCGAGCTCATTGAGTGGAATGATAAGGCAGTGGTCCGGGTTGCGGCAGCACGAAGACGAAGCTGTGAGAGTTTGACTTCGTCATCGTAGCCTCATTCGTTCGCAGCAGTGTCACATGGGTCACCAAGTCGTTTCAGATTCGTGGTGGGTATCTGCAGGTTGCGGCAATCACGGGCTTCTCGCGGCAGGAGGCATGTGACACAAAAATAGCATTGCTTCAATCGGCGTACTCGAGTGTATGGTGGGACGCCTGGTCAGAGAACAGCGCAGGTGTTGGGACGACCTTTCCTTGAGGATTTTGTGGTAGAGGGAGTCGAGGACAGCAGCCGTACATGCTGGATACTGGATAATGACTCAACAAATGTTATCGGCATCAGAAGGACATGTGCCAAGGTGCAGAGAGGCCCCCTTACAGCTGGATGTCAGAGTTCAGAAATCTCCCGGCGAGGATTTCGAGGCTGCGATGGTCCTGGCAGTCTTGCACGGCCGTGAGGCATTTCTGCTCAGAGTTTCATGGGTTGTGCATTGAGTCGTGCAAAGAGGGTATTTTTATAAAAACTTCTGTGCGCTTGAGGACTTGGGCGAGTTCGAAGTCATCATCCGAACCAAGAGCGAGGCGAAGGCCCCCCATTCTGGTGCAAAGTTGCAAAAGTGCCGGGGGAGCGACTGATAGAGTTCTACTAAGTTTAGACTAAGTTGATACTAAGTTTTATACTACGTTTTATACTAAGTTTATACTAAGTTTATATGTTCCAGAGGCAGTCCTGAGAATGAGCGGCGCCACTTTCCGCGACACGGCGGGCGAAGTTGCAGGCTGGAGCTTTCATGTCTGTGCGAAGTGTGCATAGAAGATAAGACACGAAACTCAAGGAAAGCATGTCATGCCCTTTTTTGGTCCCTATCAGGATTCGTCGCCATGATGCACAACTGCTGCGTATTGGTCCATGTATCGGTACATGTATCGGTGAAACGCAACTGTTGGCACGTTGCTGCGCGTTGATAGGTGTGGTGGCTTGCGGGCAGGATTTGACCAGTATCAGGCAGGAACCCCAGCAAAGGACTCGTGTAATTTTAACGCTACGGCGACCCACCTCCGCCTGAGCTTCTGTAACATACAGGGTGCTGGGGGCAGAGGGGTGGGGAAAGGGGGGGGGGGTTGCGGGGCCGGTGGGATTTGTCACGGGGGGGGGCGGGGGGAGGGGGGGGAGGGGGGGGCTGGGCGGGGCTCGTTAAGGGGGGGGTACCCATTTCAGGCCAAAAAGTGCAAAGTGGTGTATGGGATTATGACACCTGCGGCCCAAGGCCTCAGCGGATTGCAAATACACAGAAGACATAGGGCTTGTTGCTCTGGGTATTGATAGCCCAAATCTTAAGATTTAATCGCTTGCGATTTGGACATCCTCGGGAGATGAAACCTTGTTGCTCGGACTCGTGACACCACTCGTGACACCTGCATCGCTGCATGCGGTGAATGCCGTTCGCCCAGCCGTGCACAGGAGGCGAAAGCAGACTTGAGGGTTTTATCTGGTCCCTTTGAGTGAGTGATTCAAAGTGTGGAGGCCTTGCGCAGAAATTTCAGGGGAATTGGGTTAACTTGTCCTGACTGCGGCTCTTGCTTGCAGGGTACAGACCTAGACCATTCTCGGGTCATCGAAGATCACCACGGTCAAGTGTCCGATTGCGTGAATCTTCCCAGGAACAGCATGCGGGAGGCCACGCGGATGGCCGAGGATCTTCAAAGGCTGTTAGCACTGTTCAGCTTGACAAGGTGTCTGATGTCTGTCCAGCTACCTGCCTGGAGCCTGGAGCCTTGACAGGCTCATTGAGACTGCCCATGCCTGCATTGTCGGCGTAGATCCGGCTGGGAATGTCAACGAATGGAATAGTCACATTGCGCTTGCCTCAGCCTCCAGGCGTTCAAGCACCGCGGCACAGAGTGGAGAGAGGAGAGAGGGAATGGAGTGCACATAGCCCAAGGACCGAGTTGTGTGCTAGTTCTCGGCCATGCTTGCTGCAAGATCAGCGTCAGAAGAGAGACGGCAGCCCTTTCGCGCTGTAAGGCCCAGCTGTCTGGTTGGTCCAAGGAGGACTGCTCTGTGAGCGCAGTGAAGGGTCGGAAGATGATCAGTTCAGGCAGGTTGGCGCACAGCCATTGCGAGAAAATAGCTCCCTCTTGAAACTTGAGCAAGGTCTCGTTGAAGACTCTGCGCGGCTCGGGGCAAGGGGTGGATCCCAATTTCGCATCCTAATCCCGGTCGAATTATGGGCAAGGGGGGCCGCGTCCGCTCGGACCTTCGAGCAGTTTCTGCTAGAGAGCCATCTTAAAACAGGCCTTGGATTTGTATATCACACTCTCCTCCTGCGAAACTAGCCGCCCTAGGGTCATAATTTTGTGGAGCTGTCGTCCGCCCCCGCGCCCCCACCTGGGCACAAGTTTTGCCGACCTTTGCCCACTTGCCAGGACGCATTGGGCAAAGGTTTAGTGGACAACTTCATTCTGAAGGAACACCAGACGGTCACGGCCTCAGATTCTCATAGGTCTTCCTTGTCCCTTGAATTTGACACCTCAACCTGTCTCAACTCGGTCCGTCCACTTTTCCCCCGCCTCTCCTTTCAATACGTTACGTACACAAATAGCGTGTTGTGCAGATTGCAGGATGTCGCGGACATGCTCCAGCAGGCGCTCAGCGGTGAAAAGGCGCCGCCTTGCGCCGATTAGTAGCAAGTAGCCAGACTCGAGCATGCGGCGACGCCCACAATGTCCAGGAAGCCAATGCAATGATTCGTCAAACCCTCGTGCACCTGCAAGGGCGATCGAATCTTGTTCGGGCGGAGATGTTAGCCCTAATGTAGAGTAGCGCTTACGAGCTTGCTGTGCTGGTTGTTCCTTTATCCCTCAAATTCTGGATGCATGTACAGGTGGAAAACGTCGAGTTCTGCCTTGAAGAGCAGGCCAGGATCTGCTGGAAAAAAGGTTCACGTTATAGCGGTTAAAACTGGAAGCGGTGCAACGACAGTTCCGGGCATGTTCAATCAGTTCCGGGCATGCGGTTTTGCGGTTTAGGGCTTGAGCTCGAGCAGCTTACTCAATAGAGACCCTGCCACTACAGGAAGGCACTCGACGCACAGTGCGGCTGAATGCATCGGCACGACTTGGCGAGCAGGGGGAGGCGCCGGGTTTTTGAGCCACAGGATTAAAATTCCATTCAGTGCCCATTCGCATCCATTTTTCTGGCTGAAGCTTTGCCCTTTATTGTGCACAGATTGGCTAAGAAGGACTTCCTGGCATTTCTTGCACCATGCAGGTCACTGGCGTCCTCTGCGTGGGGCAGGATGTAACAGAATTGAATCGAGCCCGGGACTATGTGGGACCGTACTGTAGCAAACGTCGGGGAGGCAGCACGACTTCGTCAACTAACGTTGGGGGGGGGGGGGGGGGGTGGCACGCTCTGAAGACATGCTGCCCAGATATGCCCAGGTCATGGCAGAGCAACGCGGGACTGCAGAGGACCGCGTGAGGGCGAAAACCCAGATCCTGACAATGTGTGTGTGTGTGTGTGTGTGTGTGTTGTCGGGACTGACACCGGATTTGCCAAAGGATCTTGCACTGTTTGTGGAGACTGCCAACGCGCCTATTGTCGGTGCATCCCGTCTTCAACTTCAGAGTCAGAAGAACGTTGGGTCAATATTGGCTATTGCTTTCGCCACGAGTTCTGATGCTCAGTGCTGTTTGAATGTGTAGCCCAGGTCTCGCGACATGGGCTTGTCGAGGTCCCGGAACATCTCGGAACGGGATTGGGGCGTCAGCCTTGTAGGCCTCGAATCGCTTACAAGCATTTTAGAAACATCAAGTGGCAGTGGTCCAGTGCTGAACTTCTTCGTCTAGCTTTGTCGAAGGCAGCCTTGGCTCGCAGCTTTCATGGCCGCACCAAAAGCCAAATCTACGCCACCCCCTAGGGCCTAAGGGCACTAAGCCTGCCGAAGCGGAAGCGTACGGGACTCAACGGTCAAGCCAACGCGGAGGCTTGTGCAGTTGCCCAGAACAAGAACAGCAGGTCTCTTCATTACGTCTACTTGCATCGCAGCCATGTGGGCCCGTGGTTTGGTTGGAGCGTTTCTTTGGCCCCCGATATCAGCCATCGAGCCGCTCAGTCTCGCAGTATTTTTTGGCTTGTTTTTGAGCTTTCAGTGATCAAGCAGTTTCGGCGTAGCACGGCCAGGATCTAGTGAAAAGGCTCGAGATCTAAAAAACCCTGCTAGCAGCTGCCTCAATCTCGCATGCAACGGGTCAATAAAGAGAGCGGGGTTCAGAGCAGGGATTCAGGGTAAGAAGTCACAATCACGTACTGTCCCCAGCTGTCCGCAGTGCAAGAACCCATCTTGATCAGCGCTGCACACCGTGCCTCACATGTCGCAGTGAAGGGTGTCAGCATGCAAAAGAGCAGGAACATCATTCGCAACAACCACTGTAGTGGGAAAGACCAGCGTGGTCAGAGGGAAGGAGGAGGGCCTGGCAGAGTAAGGATGAGTCAGATCTTCTCCCAACTGGACGGCTATGTCAGGGACCCCATCGCCCGGCACACTGCCTGTGCGGTGAAAGCAGATACACCGACAGTGCTTTGTCTTGATTTCGCCGCAAAAATAGATTTGTTTCATGTGCTCCATCTGCCGCGGAAGCCAAGGTTTGTCTACTGGAGGGCTACGTCGGCGGACCACACAACAAAGAGCGACACGGCTGCAACGCACGGAGTAAGTCACGCCACTCTTGTAGATGGGTGTTGGCCATGACCGATGCGTTGTTTACCCATGGCATGTACCAAGTTACTACATCCTCACGCTTCCGGAAGAGGGCTTGCTGCCATCTCAGCTCAAGTTTCAATGAAACTCCTTTCTCTTCCATGCCATGTCCAGTTTTCATTGAGCCCAAGTTATAAGCCGATGGTCGCCCACGGCGTTCTTGAGGCTTTATGAGACCTCTCCGAACTTTCGCAGCTTTGGTTCGGAGCCCCTTCAGGCCTTGGATGCTTAGATATCTGTGCTTCATGAACTCTTGAAGCACCCGCCATGTTTTCGGAGGCACCCGATCCAATTGGGCCACATCTGCTCCCATTTCTGGTGACAGATCCGAAGCAGCAGGTGGGCGATGGAAAGAAAGTGGGTTTCTTTCAATGTTGGGCAGATGACCTTCCCATTCGGCTTCATGGCTGCTGCAGTACTGCTCGGGATGTATACTTGGCCGAGCATGAGTAGGTATGATTGAAGAGTGGCAGGCTGACAAAGTGCTTGCCAGCACCATGGGTTTTGTGCTTCTCAGCATTTGTCACTGTCTGTTGGCTGTTATTCCTTTCGGCCAGAATTGTGATTTATTGACTTCATTGCGCTGCGCATGGCATGTTGCCGCAGGTTGTTTATGTCCCTCCTGCTAACAAGTGGGCGACTCCAAATGCTTGGACTTCGTGCCGGAACTGCACTGGGCGATCAAAAGCAGGGCAGAGTTTGCTGGGCCTTTCTGACTTGTGCATCGTGATGTGCGTGCTACGGCCGGATAAGGTTCACTTTCGCTGTGCGGGCGCCGATTGGAGTAAGTCCAGGCTGACATGTGCTGACATGTCCCGTGACATTCAAAAAGTTCGCAAGCCTTGTCGCTTCAGATGGCGATACCAACATCGATGTGCAGTCTGAGCCAGGGCTTGTTGTGCTGGCTGCAGCCTGAAAACTGCTTGGATTGTTCGAGGGCTGACAGCACATAGGTTCAGCCACGTATTGCGGCATCAGGCCAATCCTCAGCGGCAAATTGCCGGCTCTGATTTCAGCCAAGCGGCGGCCCCATCCAGCATTCGGACTTGTGTTCGTGGGCTTGCACGCGAGTAAAGCTCTTTTCCATCGGGTTCCGCATCATGTATCAACGGGTACAACAGCTGGAGCAGTTGCTGCTTAATGGCGCACCACGGTTGCTAAAGATCTCAAGTGCAGTCATTCCTCTGAGGCAAATACTGCCGATGGCTGGACTATTTCTGGCCAGCTCGAAGTCGTTGGAGGCTGCCCGAGGGACTCAGCCCGCTTGGCGCTGTCAGATCGTTCGCACCAGCCGAAGCATCGCCGTGAGGAAACACACCTGCCGCTGGAGTAAAGCACCAAGCGGTTTCCTGGGGTGGGCTCAACCAATACATTTACGGCACCTCGGTTTGCAGAAGCTACCAGGTGGCCATCTTGGCCATCTTGGCCACATTGTCCCCTTCCGAGGTGCCGACGAGGTCCAGAGCTTGGACTTCGACACGGGCATTGACCTTGCCAAGTGGTACTTTGAAGCATCCCCGAGCGTCTTTCACAAGAAGGCGCATCCCTCAAGCATAGGAGTAGCAAACGGATCTCTCGAGTTTACGCAAACGGTGTGTGTGTGTGTGTATGTGTGTGTAGGCACCTTGCTTCGTTTCATCCAGGCATAGCACTTGTCGCATACTGGCACGAGTTCAATTGTTACGTCCTGCGGGAGTACCGCGCAAGCCTTTGTACACAATCCTAAGGTTGTGACGGTATGTCGGCATAACTAGATCAACTTCTCCAATCAGTCACTAGTATCTTGCTTGCTTCGTGCACATTGACACACCCGTGATATTAAGTGGGGACTGGCAGGAATTGGCGGTGTCCTATGGCGGAACCTTGCGCTTCCGCTTCCGTGCGCAGTATGGCAACTTCCGAGAGTTGACACTGTGCGTGACTAGGGGTTATGTTGATAAATAGAAAAATCGAAGCGCCTGGATGCACCTGGAGATGTGGTGTCGTGCCTGCAGCATGTGCGGGAAGTAGTTCCATGGAACACGTACCATGCACTAAGAAACGATCCCCTGGACTGGGTGACGATCGAGTGTCAGCCTGAGCCTCAGACTTGGTTCGGGCTCGTCTTGGGGATTCCCCTTTCTGGCTTCTGACTCCCTTGTACTTCTGTCTGGCTTTGACTTTGTGTCAAGTGGCCTTCCGACGAAAACGCTCGCCTTTTCTGTGAGGTATTGTGACACGGGCCACGGGGCTCGCATTATTCGTGCCTTGATGTGCAATGCGGATGCGTTGACAGAGTGCTTCCAAAAGCCATGTCTTTTTTAGCTAGGGTGGGCCAGTTGAGGAGGCATGCTGAATGCATGTCGGCATGACACATGTGGCAGGTTTTATCGACGACACGCTGCGTTGGGTTGGAAACGAAGTCTACATGGAGTTTCTGTTGAATGAGAATGGAAGGCCGGTGTGTGCATGAATGCTTGTGACATCGTGCAGGAAGCCCGAATCAGGGCAGTATTTATTGTGCAACGGCCGCATCCCGTAAGAGTAGGTCTCTGAGCAGGAGCAGCAAGATCGGGCGCGTAGCAAGATGTGGGAGAACAGCTGATGCAAGGTGGTCATACGATCCCCTGAATTCTGCCGCAGAGTTCCAGTACGCAACGCCCTGCCAAATCGCGGCGATATTGACACTTGGCCAAGAAGCCGCCTGGTCACGGGGACTGGATGGCATCTGCCGGTTGAGACTGTTGGTCGCGTGACTGCCTAGCCGGCATCGGCTAACTCAGGACAAACGTTTCCCGAATCGCCATCCTTGGCGATTTCACTCGAGGCATCGTTTTTCAGCCAGTATGGATGACTGCTGCGCCTTTTCTTCGGTGGCGCATTCACTTGGGTGGTTTGTGTCGGGTTCCTGGCAGGTGGCGAGGGTATAGCGTTGGATGACGTGGCCATTGTGGCCGCTGATGCTTCGCAGACGCTTGGCAGTATGATAAACAATCTGTGCATGCTTGTTTGGAGCTCACTTTCATCGTGCAGCATGGGTTGGCGCAGTGCGCGAGACATGGGACCACAACATTCCTCTGACAGGCAGCCGGCGTACCCTCTCACCTGCCAGCAGGCACCAGCCAATGTTGGGTTTGCTGGGCAAGGGCAAATCTGACAGTTTCACGTTGGGTGTGGGGTCTGTTAAACTACTGATCGGCCAGGGCTGCATTTGCCGCCACAACGCCGCCCTGATCCATCCAACCTGCTGCTAAGTGGGCCTAGGCCTTGCAGCCTTGGAGGCTTGTCACATCTTGCTTTTTGGTGTTCTGGATGTGCGGGCAGGCATGCGCTTCCCTCCTGCAAGCAGCGAGACTTGCTGGATGTGAGGGGCTGCTCTGTTTCACCTCGGCCTCAACATTTCCAATGCTGGATACACTGGCTTGGAGCCTTCGAGGACGCCATGGCTTTAACAGCTTTCGAGTCAGCCCTAGCCGCCTCACGACGCAAATCTCATCAAATGTCAGCACATGCCCCATACACTCGGCCAGATCCTAGTGCGAATCGATACCCATGACCGGATGGAGAGAGAGAGAGAGAGAGAGGTAGCTAAAATGAATGCCCAAGGATTGAAAGATAGAAGGAAAGAAGAAAAGAAGACTGAACATGATGTGTTGGAAAACCCGGGCCTCATACAGACAAACAGGTTAAGCTGGTTAAGCAGTTTGGGGGGGCAAAAGTGACACGGACCGTGAGACTCGAGGAGGGGTGCTCCCCTAAGCCCAGCAGAATGAGGAAGAGAGAGAAGGAGGCGTTTGGGCTCAAATCGTACGGGGGCTGACGCTGGGGGGTGCTGTTCGGTGTCTCGGTGCTGTGGATGGCGAGTTTTACTTTTCAGGAAAGGGGTCACCCTAAACACGGTCCCAAGGGAGACGGTAGAAGTCGTGACAACATCTACTCTTGAGGACTCCTACAGCCAGTATGGCACCAGCCTTTTAGTGTTGCATTCGCTCTAGGACCGCTGGTCGTCTCCAGGACCTCCAGTTGTTTCCAGCAGTCGGTATGGGAAACAATTACCATTTGTTTCCACCCATGTGTGCTGATGGGCTTAAAGAGTGGGTGGTGCATGCCCTTTCCGAGCCAATCCGAGAACCTTGCGCTTTCTTCCTGTAGCCGTAGAAGGCGACGACAACCGTTTTAGTGGATGCAATGGGGCATGGGGGAGTTTTTTTTTTTTTTTTGCAAAATTTAGGTGTCAGCAATCTGGGAAGCACACTCTGCAGGGCCGGCCCTAAACCCCTCGAAAGGAAAACGCACAGAAAGACAGAAAGAAGGATAAGGATACAAGGAAATGAAAGAAAAAGAGGAAGACATACACCAGAAGACAGAGAGACAAGAAAGAACAGCAAGAAAGAACGAAATACAAAAAGGAAGCAAGACAAGCAACAACGAAAGGTAGAAAAAGAGATACAAAAAGAAATAAATAAATACAGAAATAACAACACAAAGAAATAGCGAAACACGTAAACAAAGAAAATAAGAAATACAGAGCTAAAAGACGGCAATAAGAAAAGAACGACCGAAATGAAGGAAACGAAGAAAGAAAGACATGGACAAGAAAGACCTTGCATTTCCTTCGAACCTTCCACTAGTACTGTAGCCTGTACATGTGGGGCGAAACGGATTCCACCAAGCTTAATGTAGGGGCGCGCCGGAGCGCGGGGAGGGCGACCTGATGAAGCCCTCAGAGAAGTGGAGAGAGATGAAAGAGAGAGAGCCCTGCTCGCATTTCGTGCCTCCAGAAGACAGAAGGAAAGAGAGAGGGTTTCGACCCACGAACCCCGTTCAAGGGGGTCCTTCCTTCTAGAGTTTGGGAGGGAGGCAAAGGGAAAGGGGGGGACATGAAGGACAGAGAGATTTGGGAGGGAAACACGGAGAAAGGAAACACGAGGCATCTCTCCGAAAGGGGTTCCAAATAAAAAAACATCTGGTGGCCAGGGAGGCTTGGTGGCCTTCAGCTTTTGGTTTTGTGCCGCACGGATACTACACTGCCTATTCCGTCGGTGGCTTGTTCTTGCTTTGACGACAAAGGTCGTGGAGTGGAATCGCAAAGCAGCCGCGCTGTCGGGCTTTGCCAAGGTCGGGTTGTTGATGGCTTACTTAGGGTAGGGAATCTGTATCGGCTTGGTCATGGAGGCCAACCGTAGGATGCCTTAGAGGAAGCACAGACACAGCGAGCTGATTGGACTCAGCTGTTGCAGCTTCGATGCAGTGATTCCGTGTGGATATGTTTTTTCTTGGATGGTCTTTGCAGAAGTTGAGAACCTGCAGCCGTGTAGCCTCAAAGCCACATGACACAGGCAGGTTTCGCATGACATCCCACAGACAAGGACGGCGCAGTTGAAGGCATCCGTGACATGGCTAGTTTCTCCTTGAAGTGCCCGGGAACCAGGTCGTTTCTCGCCAAGCCTGGACAGGCATCCCAAATGCCAAAGCCAGAGGGTCGAATCAAGTCACGGGTCACCAGCACCCCTTTCGCTTCGGAAGCCATGGCCGGGGAACCGGGACCTGAAGAGGCTCAGTCGGCGCGGTCCCTCATCTTTGTGGTCGAGTTATTTGCGGTGCCATTCTGGCAAGAAAAGTGCTGGCAAGAGAACGAGCTCCTGCCTGTCAGGTGGACCTCCTGAACGAGAAAGACCTGTACAAAATCCTTGGGGCTTCTTGGGCGGCAGTTGAGAGGTTGGTGAGGTGTGACTCTGCGTGTGAGGGTGCGCGTGAGTGTGTCTGAGTGTTTGAGTGTCTGTGTGTCTTGGTGTCTCTGTGTGTCTTGGTGTCGCTGTGTGTCTGTGTGTGTGCACCCACAGAAATTTACTACTGGAGACGCGGTCCATGTTCTAGCTCGACCAGCGAAGATTTGTAGACATATCCCCCTTGGTTTTAAATCTGTCTCGTAGTTAAACGAGAGAGGGCTTTGTGCGAATAGCAGGGGCGTCCAACGAAGCGGCCATAGCTACTGCAGATATTTGGGCTGATCACCCTGACGTACCTGCAAAGAGTGGCTCAATTTTTGTGCCATCCTCTGTCGTGAAAGCCGTATATGACGCTTTTCTTTAGTGAAGTTTGCACTTTTGTCTGCGTTTTTATGTGGTGCCGCTCGGCATGCGTTTATGTGCCTTGGGATGCAAGCAGATGGTGGCATCGAGAGAATGTATTGCCTGCGCGTCCAGACATTGCAGCGCTAAGCTGTCTAAAAAAGCGAGCAGAGAATCTGCATTGCAAGAGAGTGTGTGTGTATGTGTATGTGTGCCTGCGGGTCTCTGTGTGTCTGTGGGCGTGTATGGGTGCGTGTGTGTCGGTGCACAGCATCCTTGAAGTCCTTGCGTTTTTGAGGTGTCCAAAGGCGCTAAGGCAGATGAGCCGCCTGGCTGTGAAGGATGGTTGTTTGGGTTGCTTTCTCTTTGCAGTCTTGCTGCAGAGCTGTTTTGCTCGAGGCTGTCACAACTGAGGCTCAAAAAGGCTTATCGCCAGAAGTCGCTGAAATACCACCCCGACAAGAACCCTGCGCCGGATGCGAAAATCAAGTTTCAGAGGATAACCGAAGCATACTCGGTGCTGTCCGACGACAAGAAACGCTTGAAGTACGACAAGTCCGGAGACATGGATCTGGAGGATTTTGACATGGACCAGTTCTTGAACATGTGGGTGGGCGAGATGATGGAAGACGGCGGAGTGGTAGACGACATGATGCAGTCCGTGCTGCCATGGCATGATGACGACGAGAAGATGCAGCAGTTCATGGACGAGCCCCTCGGTGAGCAGTCCAGTGTATTGCGGCAGTGTCGCAAAGCCTCGTCGCTTTGAGTTAGGCAAAGCCAGGTAGTAGCAAGATGTAGCAAGGCTGTGCTGGCGGGGGCTTGGTAGGCAAGTCTTGACATAGCAGCGAGGAACGTCGCTGCCGCCGGCGGAAAGCTTCGTTGCACCATTTGCGGGCACGTTGGTTCCAACAAACGGCTGATGCTGGTGCATTTCGAGCGGAAGCATCACTATGACTGCGAGGAGTGGGCAAAGGAAACTATCAAAAGCATGCTTCTTGGAAGAATTGTCACATCATGTGGAACAAGCTAAACAGAAGCAAGTAAGCAAGCATGCGAGCAAAACAAACAAAACAAATAAACCTGCAGGCCAACAAGCAAGCCAACCAACAGAAGCACCTACACACACACACACTCTCTCTCTCTCTCTCTCTTTCTTTCTCTCTCTCTCTCTCTCTCTCTCTCTCTCTCTCTCTTTAGCACACACACACACACACATGCATGCACCCGCGCAGGCATGCATGCATGCAGACTCTATCTTGTCTGCGCAATTATACACCATGCTGATGTATTGCATTCTAAGCAATCCACAATGATTTTCCAATCGAACTCTTTCAGTATTGTTTCATACCAATCCTACACCCAATATTTATCTCATATCATTGTGTGCGCTTGCATGCGCTTCCTCGACGGGGTGGCCGAGTTCTAGGGGGCTCCGAGGCATCGGATGGCGGCTCCTTCAAATGCTCGGCGCAGGTTACAGGGAGGGGGGGGGGGGGGGGGCCACAAATATCCCCGCTGCCCGCCTGCGCGAAAGCAATAACAATTTTCGTTTGAACGTTTGTTTGAAGTAGGCAGGCACGTGCATGCAGCGGGCACGCCCGCTTGCCCGCCCGCCCGCCTGCCCCACGCAATCCCGCACGCTCGACAGCGTGCGTGAGTGCGTGCACACGCATATGGCACTGCCCTCTCTTGACGTTGTCCGTTGAAGACTCGAAAAGCTCCGAGAATCGACTCTGATTAAAGATTTTGTTCTCATCTGCGTTACTGGTTTGGTTTTGCTGAACTTTGGTGTTTTTTTTGATGTTGCTCGAATGCACATATGGTTTGGATGGAAGCTTGCAATGAGGTATTCAGAGATCTGCAGAAACTCTTGTATGCATGCCAAACAGAGGAAGCTTTCCTTTGAGTCGTTCATGAAGCAAGTCACTGGCATTGGGGACCCTTCTGGAGAGTTCGTCCTGCCGGATGGCACAAAGGCAGATGTGTCCAAGGTGCACGGGGTGTGGTGACCAGCATTGCATCTTGAGCATAGCTAAAGCGAGTAAATCGTCTCCGTGGCCACTTTGCCAGGCAGACGGGTTTTGTGATTGACATGTGGTGGGATCATGACGACGTTTTGTTTTTGGCTTCCCAGTTTGCCCTTCAAGTTAACATTTTCTCAGATGGGGAAACCTTGGCAGGTTCGCTACCAGGCCTGTCGCTGTCAGCTTGATGTGCTTTATGCCCAGGTGCCAGTTCCAGACATCCGTGCCCATATGCAAAAACGGGTGGACAAAGCGAAGGCATCTTGGCCATGCAGTAGCCTCTCGCATGATGGGTTCTGTAGGGAAGGAGAACATGAAATCATGACATGTCGACCAGATCTGAGAACCAGAGACTATCCAGGTGTCTTGCCATGATGTTATCGGAGTAGTACAAAAAAATTGAAAGTTGATCATCCCAGGTCCTGGACGAGGTCCTCGAGATGCACCCTGTGGCAAGACAGATCTTTGTACCCGAGGGTGCCAGTGACCAGTGTCAAGGTAGATTCTAGTCAAACTAGACTAGGTTGTTTGTGTAGTTCACGAATGCCATGCCAGTTGCCAGTTGCGGCCGAGTGATTGGGAGCGGCAAGCGTTCAGTAGCACGTCCGCACCAGCGCCACCGGCGCAAAAGCCACGGCGGCAGCGATAACAGCAACAATCAGGGCGGCGACAGCGAACTGGATCGACACATCATTCTTTGCAGCACTGCTCGGGGCATCTGTGCAGGGTGGAAGTTGTAAGGACTCAACCCAGCTACCGACAGGAGACAGCGGGGAAAGGCACGCCTACACATATGAATCATCTGGTGCAAACCTTGAAACCCCGTGCCTCGAGTCTCATATTCAGCAATGACGCCAGGGGCCGGTTGACATGGGTCTGACGGATAGATGGGACTTCCATTTTCGTTTGGTATCAACGGGTGAGTCCAACTTCTTCGTCTTGCAAGCGTTCACTGGTGCAAATGAGCTTCCTTGCAACAAGCGTTCCCCAGACGACCTGGGAAATCTGGCAAGCAATTCAAGAACAGAGCAAGCCACGGTCACGCCGAAAATGTTTGACACACCCCACAGCATGTCAAAGCACACGCGCGCACGCACACGCACACGCGCACACACACGCGCACGCGCACGCGCACGCGGACGCGCACCCGGACGTGCACGCGCACTCGCGCACGCGCGGACGCGCACGCACACGCACACGCACACGAACACGCACACACGCGCACGCGCACGCGCACACAGACACAGACACAGGCACAGGCACAGGCACAGACACAGGCACAGGCACAGGCACACAGGCACACAGACACACAGACACACACAGACACAGAGACACAGAGACACAGACACACAGACACACAGACACACAGACACACAGAGACAAGGAGACACAGAGACACAGAGACACAGAGACACAGAGACACGGAGACACGGAGACACAGAGAGCAGAATGTCGAGGGGTGGGATGATCGAAATTGTGGGTTAAGCCGTACCTTCCGTATTGTTCGTGTGCGACAGAACCTGTTTTTGCCCGTGCGAAATGAAGTACATTGTGTCTAGTTCGTGATATTTCGTGATGGAACTCAGTCGACGTAGCTTACACATGTATGCCGGCTTCAGGGCACGACCACATGCTTTAAGGTACCGTGCCGTCGCCGGTTCCGAGCCCCTCAGTGAGGAACATCTGACCGGTGAGGAGTGGGTCAAGTTTGAAGCCTGAAGCTGAATTCCTGCAGCTCCATGGCCTTATGATAAGAGGCTTCACTTGGGGGGCGATAGGAATGTCAGTGTGCAGTTCACGCTTCGTCACTGCTTGCTTTCTACTGATGTCGCCAATGCCCTGCCGCGTTGACACAGGAGCGCCGCGAATGGAAGCAGACTGCGACTTTTGTTCCGGATCCGAAGAAGCTCGCGGGCATTCTCGGTGTTCCCTTGGAGGAGGCGGATGCGCTGAAGGAAAATCGACCTCTGCTTCTGCGTCGCCTGCAAGCGCGCATCGATGACTTGAACGAGGCGCTTCTCGTTTTCATTTCTTCATTTGCGTATGACCTTTGTCTATCCGCTGACGCGACGCCGCCTCGGCAAGGGTACTGCGGCTAACGGAGGGTTCATTGGCGGGGCATTTAGGGCGCCCAGGGTCCAGGGTTGGGTGTAGGGGCGGGGGTGGGTGTGGGGGGACAAAAAAAGATTTTGCGCATCCGCACACGATGACTGGCACAAATCCCCGCTGGTCCCGGGACGTCGTCCACGGGTGGACGCTGGTCGGCTATTGGGGGTACCCAAAATGGGCCAAAACCCTCTGCGCGGGTACACGTTGGTCAATCGTCATGTAGCGCAAGTGACACTTTCCGCAGTTGCAATTTTGCACACTTCACAGGAGGAAGATGACGAAGAGGAGTACTCTTTCTCCAGCTGCATAGCCGCGGCAAGTACATACCTGTTGGGCAGGAGCTACTGCAGTCGATGGGTGGGTATCGAGAAGGCCCGCAAGTTGCGGTATCACCATGACTCTGCCTCTCTGCCTTCGTCGTGTAGCTTGCCAGGCATCGATGGCCTAGATGGGTTGGAGGCGATTTTGGTGATTTGTTGAAAGACCGGCTTTGAGCAGAACGTCGTTATCCTTTCACGCGCCAGGATCTCCTTGGCGGTCCTGGTATGCCCCCTGCACTCCAGCGGCTGCTGGGCGGGGAAAGCGACCTGGACTTGGGAGGGCTCGATATGCTCAAGGCCAGCCCATGCCAGAAGGGAAGAGACCAACTGTGACCCGCTCTGTCATCAGAGTTGGGCCTGGAGAAGTCTGAAGGCACCACTTTGAATGCGCTGACCAGGAGGTTCTGGGATCGGCGGGATCTATACCACCGCATTTGCTGGACGGGGGTCTCGATCCTCATGAGCTGGAGGTGCGAGCATTGGCAACTCACACGCATAGCAGAGAAGCAGCAGTTGCGACAGGATATGCCGGATTTGCCCGACCATCTGCCACCTGCTCTGCAAAGACTTCTTGGCGGGCCAGGTGGTCATAGAGAGTTGGAGGCCACTTGTGTGCTCGATTGCGCTGGCACGTTCAGGTAGCTGTTGGCACACTCTCAAATGGTGTGGCGAGCAGACAGTCACCGTTCCTTCTTTTGCTTCTGATGTGCGAGCCTGTATGACATCTGGGCACTGTAATTGCGCAGGTTAGCACGACTGCGCATAAACCATCGATACCTCAGAGGGGAGTGATCAGGTATCAAGCAGCTTGTCAAGCTGCTTTGTAGAATTACATGTAGCTTTTTGAGCGCTGAAGCTGGTTGGTGCTTATAACCACATCCTGCCGCACCCTTAGCGTGCTCGAACTGTCACGCGGGCTTCGCTCACTTCGAAAGGAACAAGATGCCGTGTTACATCGATAGTGTAAGGGTATGGTACATGCATAGGGTGCAGCGGTGCATATGTTGTTGCCCGAGTCTTGTCCAGACGGCCATGGGCAGCAACAGCAGCTTAAATCCTGATCCTTCGTACGCACTGACCTTGTTAGTGCTTCGCAGGCAGCATTGGGCGGCTTTGGGCTAGGCGGGTTGCCGCCAAGAGCAGCTGTGCAGCATGAGAGATTCTCTGAGGGATGTTGCCTTCGTCGTCCATGACATCCAACACACCGTCCCAAGGATGCCCATGTCTCCTATGCCAGTTCGGGTGGTCAACCGGCCCGACCTGGCACAGATGAGGATTCAGAACCTGAGATCGGCTGCATTTGCGGCTACACTTGTGGAACCGAGAAGGCATGAAGTTGAACCGTTGAGCGGTCATGCGCGGTCATGTGCGGTCTCCTGATGCTGTCGATACCGGGGGTGCTCGATTGCGCAGGCCCTGGCAAGACATCTGGGCCGTTTTCCTGGTGATCGACTGCATGCCCGGAAGTGACGTGCAGGTCTCACTTAGCAGCCATCCTGAGTCTGTGTGAAAAATGGAAAACGCATGATTTAGCACAGTTGGTGGAGTGCTCTGGGATGCTATGGGAGTTCAGCTGCTGCATGGCGATTGTGTAATGCAAATGTTTCACCTTCGTAGCTAGGCCTCCCTCACGAGAGACACCGTGGGCGCGTCAATAAATTCCGCCGATATCGCCACCACCAGATGTAAGTTTGGCTCATGTTTACTTGCATGTCTTTGCTGTGTGCTGCGCCTTGACGAGTTGGACATGTTGCAACCATGCATGGTGTTGGCTCCAGGACGAAGCTATGGGTCAAGCCCTTGTCGAGGAGCGCAGAGTTCGAAGCTTTCCTTCGAAGACCCGCCTGGCAGTTGCAAGATGATGGGAGACTGTGATGTGCAGGGCTAATTATGCGTGCCATGCTTGCTGCAGCATTTGCGGTGGCCTCACTGCTTCAAGCACGTTAGACAAACCTGCAAATGACAATGGGTACCCAATAGAGCCTGATGTGGCAAAGCAGAGTCCTAACACATCGACACCATGCTGCGCCCAATACTGAGCCCCTTCCCGTCGCAGCATGTCCCGCCTGCAAGCTGGCATGGTCCGTGGCCGGCACAGGGCTATCACCCAGGTACGCAGCACTCAACTGGGGGGCTACATTGGGCCACTAATTAATGCGCATTTGCTCTAGCAGATCGGCTTTGCAGGCGGTGGCCTGACCATGGCCGGAACGTACGCCGGCTGGCACACGGTGACAGATCTGCCTGTACCTTCGCTGCAGTATTAGTGTATGCCCCTGCCCTCACTGTCGCATGGTGTGCCAGATAGTTCCATCTTACACCATGTCAGCAAGGATGAGAGGTGTCCAGTTTGCCCATAATCACGCCCCGCAGTCTGAGAGGTCGTTGAGGCAAATGCGAGAGCACGCTGTTTTACGTTGCAGCTCTAAGTCTCCAAGGCGTTCGATGCGGTGGGTGATGCGAGCCATGCCCTGCTCTGGTCCTACCAGGCACCGGCACAGAGTTATCACAAGCATGTGACTGCACAGCTGCATTGCTCTGTGAATCCTCGGCCCTCCGCAAGTAGGTTCTTTCGCACCTTCCAAGCATCCACCGGAGTGAGAAGTGAGAAATCACACTGATCACGCTGAAATTTCCGGAGCCCGACTTTGCGACATAGCAACTTTGCGCAAAAGGACACTTGAGGGCGAAGGACTGAAAGACCCACTTGATTTGATGTGAAAGGATGCTTTGCAGCGAGAGCGGCAGGGGCTTCCCCCGCGACCATGCGCTTCTTGGCTGAGGATGCATAGTTGTGGGCCTGTCCACATCCGGCATATGCGTGGGCACTGACATTGAGGACCCTTTTTGGGCTTTGGGGTTATGAGTCATGAAGGTTTCAGGTCTATCAGATTGGGGGCTTGAGCCTGAGCTTCGAAATGCTTTCACCCCGTGCTGCTGAGGCTCTGTCTGGCCCAACAGGCAGCATGCCCCCAAGAAGTGGTGATGGACAGAGGCGCAGACCTTGTGTTGTGTCATGGCGCTGTCATAGCTGCAGCCGCGGCTGTTTCGGGGTGACGATTGGCCTCTACCTCCCGTCATGTCTGACCGTCTAGAGTCCCCGACACGGGTTCCTTGTGTCTAAGGACCATAGGACCAACGGAACCTGAAGTTCCCCATATTGCCAACCCAGCACATGGTTGCGCACGCTTGACAAGGCAAAGCTTGGAGAGCCAGGCTTCTAGAGAGGAAGCTCCTGCACCCTGCTCCAATTATGCTCTTTTTCAAAGCTGCAATTGTGCATCTTAAAGCTTTGGGGGGAGTTCTTCAACATGCAGAAGTTGCACTTCAGAACGAGGGCCGATGACCACGGCAAACGGTGTTGAAAGCCACAACCTCTGAAATGGTGGTTGCGCAAGACCGCCCTTGACAGTGACCACCGAGTACTATCCAGCTATACCACCAAGCGATAAGAAGTTTGCAGGTCAACATCCACCTCAAGGAGAAAGGGCACAATGCTAAACGCAATAAGTCCTGCACACCACGCCCCTCTCAAAAAGCAGTTTCACAAGGCGAAGATGACAGCGAATTTTACTCATGAGGCGAGCCCGCGAATCTTCGAGAGCAAACTTCGCAAATATGTTGTTTAAATGACCGAGCACGCAGCCCCTGCCGAGGGCAGCTTCGGCCGAAGACTCCCGATTTTGAGGAGATTGGAGCCAGGCAAAGGAATTATCTCAACCCCGACCGTCTCCTCACACGGAGGGATGTGTTAAGGGCGATATGGGCAGAAACGATTGAGTGCCAGGCACAAAACATCGATCGGAAGCCAAAACACCCTTGACAATCACCCAGCACTGCCCAACTGTGAACCTCTGTCTTGAGTTGAATAATTGAGAGGCACTCACTTGCTGCTCATTGACCACGTCAGTTGTTTCGTTTTCTCCACGACTGGTGGCGATGCTTTCGGATATCAATCGGCTGACCTCACGACCGTTAAAAGCCTTGAAAAGCAAGGCACCACGACCACGCCCACGCGGCAGCCTTGCCGCAGAGGCCCTGGCTTCGCAGGCACAGGGCTGGAGCTCCGCCGCGCTGTTTCGGAGATTCGGGGTGGCTTCGTCTCCCCTGAGCTATTCATGTCGAAGCTGTTTAAGTGAGCTGCTTGGAACCTGGGAGGCGCACTGTGGACAGCCTCAAACTGCGTGGAAACCGGAGCACGTGCCAGGCGCAAACGCAGCATTCCTACAAAAGCAACTGGACAGAACCTATGAGTGATACAAAAGACAAGTGGCAAGATACAAGGGGCCCTCCCCAGCATGTGGATCACACGAGCCCAGGCAGGATCAGCTTCTTGCTGAGCTGCGAGAAGTGCGCGGGATGCTGGTACGCCGCGAGGCAGACTTCGAGGTGCGACATCATGTTGGACTCTAGTGGGAGGTTGGCTCGGGTGTTTGTGTCGGCTGGCGTCTGCAGTGTCGAGACTGAGGCCTTCAGGCAGGACATGGAACAGTTTCTTCGCCAGACCGGTGGGATGCCACACTGGCAAACCATGTGCCTTGATGCACTCCCCAGCTGCATGGTACGTTCTAAAAAGGTCTGCGCCGTACCTGGAGTTTTTTGAATGGGCTTGCCTCACTGAGTTCGCCAGAGAAGGGCAGGTTGACAGAGCGGCCTCTTCCCTCTATCAAGCAGAGGACCCGTCGTGTGCTGTGCATCCCAAGGTCTACGATTACTGCAGACTTCCGGTCGCCCCTTGAGACGCCAGTTGCCCGCACACGGCTTGGCATGAGTGGTTCAGCCACTTGGCACCAGAAGTATTCCCAGGCGGTACAGCTATTTACCATACACTGCCAACCCTTTCCAAACAAGCGTGCACGAGGGTTCACAAAAATAGCTGGTTTGCAGTCAGTGTCATCTCGGCGTTGCTAAGAGCTTCGGGCTGTATCAAAATACTTGTCTAGGCACGCGCTGCCTTTGTAGTTTCTGACAATTCCTGACATCCCGAACACGTTTAGCTACAGCAATGGCAGCAGACTTCCACTGAGAAAATGCAAGAGCGCCTACCGAGGGCAGGCCGGCTACGATCAGCCCAATCCAGGAGGCGTCGCAATCTGGCTCAGCCAGATGCTCAGGGAAGAGAGGTTTGGGTTCAGTGCCAGAGGGTCACTGGTTTTGCTTTCGCTTAAAGGAGCTTTGTATGTCTAATTTTGTGCCTCCGAATTTGTTCCGCCTGAAGTGTGTTGTCAGAGCACGATCTCCGATCAAGGTGCTATGAATCGGAGCTGAGATTCAACAGTTGCAAAAGCCAAGGGAACAGCACAGCGAGGTCAGTTTTCTCGGGCGAAATTTTTCCGTCCTAGCAAGGTTCTCGAAACATGCTGGTATGCAGTGTCTTGTTTGATCTGTTCGAGCCTCTCATCCACGCCCTGAAGATACGTGCCTTATGGTGCCTGTAGCCAAGGCCGAGCTAAGCGGAAGCATGGGTAAGAGTCAGAGAAGCTCGCCGGCCATGGTCTCAACTGGGTTTCATGTGCAGGGGCAAGTGCGATCGGCTGAAGTACACTACTCCCTGCTGAAGGGTCGGATAGACATGGGACATGTGATGATTGCCTCATTACCCGACTTAAGCTGTTCAACTTCCCAGGAAAGGGCAAGTATGCCACATTGAGATCCCTCCATGAACCATGACACCAGTGCTTCTGTCAGCCTCAACTGGCCGTCTCTGTGGCTGAGGTTCCAGCCGCAGATCAGCCACTGCGGGCAAGCAAGAATCTGAGTGCCTGGCCTCAGGTTGCTTTCGCTTCTGCTTTTGCGTGTTGTAGGGTCTGCAGACGGTTGGCATGTCAAGCTGTGTGAGGCGGCTTTGAGTCTAGAGGCGGCTCTCTAATAGCATCATGACACAACGATACACCGTCGATTGAACTTCTGTGTTGTGTTGGCGGGCTTCTGATGAACAATAGTTTCCGTGTGAGTGTGGGCGAGCTTGCCGGGGGTGGGTGTTTCAGGGAATTGATATGGGCTTCAGGTTCTGATTAGGCGGGTGCCCACCCCAGAGCCTCGGAGTGCCCAACTCCAGAGTGTCCCTGGAGTGCCCAACAAATCAGAGTGTCCCTGGAGTGCTCGTGTCCCTGGAGTGCCCAATTTCATAGTATCTCTAGCCAGAGAGGGTGGGGATGCTCGAAGTACAATAATGTTGCATTTTGGGCCAACTCGCGGAGTTTGTGGGGTCTCCCGAAGTGCAGTCCACAGCGCGGCACGTTGGGCTTTGCCTCTCCGTGTCACAAATGCGGCGGGTGCGTGCTTTTCTGCGTTTTGGATTGTTGGACCGTCGGATGGTTCGCTTCGCATCAAGTCCCTTGGGGTGGATCTGGCATCCCGCAGCATTGCAAAGGACACTTGCGCCTCGGTGCGCATTCCTTGCGCACTTCTTGGTTGCCAAATCGCGCTCTCGGCTTGGTCCCAGCGACTCTGTTCGAATCGAAACCGTGCTCCGCCTTTTTTGAGTGCCAGTTCCGAATGGTCTTTCACTGTTTGGCATGACAACGGGTTTAGAGTTTTGAAGGGGGTTTCTCTGCACTGTTGCTGAGTGTGAGAGGAGGGCTATGGATGTTGCTGTAGTGACTTTATGCTTCAGGGATCCGGCTAGCGCAAGGGATCCAAGCAGACATTCCCTCAACGGTATCGCACGCATGGGTGTGATGCTGGGAGGGATGATCGATCTATGATGCATAGGTTTGAGGGTAAGATGCTTTTATTAGTTAATTGACGGGCTCCAGGGCTTGGGGGGTTTAAGGAGGGCTTAGGCCTTGAGTTTCAAAAGGCCTTTATGGCTCAGGGGCCTGATGTAAGCAGGGCAACCGCAGACACGTAAAAAGCCCACAGGCAGGGGGACAGAGTTGACAAAGGCCATGGCTGTCTCCTGCAGGTGGTGACCTGCATGATGCTATGTCCCCAGAAGGCGGGCGCTGGTGGTCACATGGAAGGTCGCCAAAGCTTCGACTTGGGGTGGGCAGGAAGTTGGTAAACGGCGAACTACATAGAGAGGTAAGTAGCTTCATAAGTTGCGCAAACTTGCCATGCCAGTATCAGGAGCGCAGGAATGTCATCAACACAGCCTCTGCAGTAATCTCCGCAGCATGACTTCCTTGCCTTGTCCGTTCTTGGATCTTGCAGGAGAACAGGGCATGTCTTTTTGCTGGGCGGAGTCCTGCGAAGTTGCTGGCTCAGCCGAGCTGATGCTTGTGCTGAGCAGCGTGCTGGGCAGCGTGCTGGGCTGTGAGCTTGCTTGCGTTGTGGCTGCGCTGCCTTCGTGCACGCTTGCCAGCTCTCAATCCGAATTCTACGCATGAGCTACAGCATTTACTAATGTCCCTGTGTATATAATTGGAGGAGTATGTCATGGAGGGGCCAATGGGCCAATGGGGGAAGATGTTTCAAAATATGTTTCAAGATGTCATGTTGCTGCTCCGCGTTGCGCCGAGGATGCCTTTGAACCCGGCCGCCGGAAGGCGAAAGCCTCGCAGAAGAAGCCCTGGCGACTTGCACACATTGCAATGTATCAGGTTGTGCGTCAGATTGTGCTGTAGTTTGTGCTTTGCCGATGCTATGACGGTGGTGTTGACGAAAATGATGATGTTGACGAAAATGATGATGACGATGGCGGGGCTGCTGACGACCATGAGGATGGTGAGGACAATTGCAATGATGGTTATAAGTCCTGGATACCGGAAGCGATATTTTCGAGAAAACCGCTCGCTTGCCTTTGGACATCGTTGAATCTCTGGGGATCGGGGTCCTGACTCCCCTGCGCAGTGTCTTCTCCATACAGCTTCTTGCGTGGAACCGCATGTATGTTCACATGCGCGGCCGCGGTGTGACTGAGGTACTGCTGCTGAGCATCTTGGGCTCATGCTGGAAGTGGCCTTCTTCCAAAACGGGAGGTGGCCCTTCAGGGAGACCTGTCTGGCAAGGTTCGACCACGTCATGCGCGAAGCAGTGCCGGCCTGGCGGTAAAAAGGCGTAGGCCAGAGTCCGAGTGCTTTGGTGTGCTGGGTGGGGAGATGTTGAACCATCGCAGACGATAGCCCACGTTGTGTCGGCTCGGTTCAAGCTACACAGGGGCATGGTTCAAACAACGTCAAAAGAAAATACGACAGCCAGGTTTCACATGGTTCGAGCTGCTCAGCAGAAGGTCCAGCACTGGTGTCACAGAGCCAACAAAGTACCTCAGGGAGCCTCCAGCCAGCTGCCATGGTTCCAGGACGCAAGCTTTTTCTCCTGATCCTCAACTTTCTGAGCCTCGTCTTGTTTTCTGGCACGGTTTTTGGTTGGACGGCCCTGTCTCAGATCTTGGTCAAAGAGAACTTCTACGATTGGCTCTGCGAAGCTGGGCCTCCTTGTGATGCCCAGACGGCAGCTTTGAACAGCGCCTTTACACTTGCAAGCACCGCTTACGGCTTGTCTTCTTTGCCAGGTGGTCTTCTGCTCGACAGGGCAGGACCTTTGGTGACCATCATTGTAGGTGGCGCCATTGGCGTGCTCAGCGTCGTTGGCATCGCATGCTTGAGATTGACCTTTCATTCCTGGCACGTGGACTTGTTCCCTCCTTTCCTCGTAGGGGTGGCGATAGGAGGCTCGTTGATTCGGTTCTGTGGCTACTCGGTCGGGTTTCTTTTCCCGTCCCATTCGGCCTTGTTGATCGCCACCGCCAGCGTGCTGTTTGATGGAAGTTGTCTTGTGTTTCCACTCCTTCGCGTGATATATATCAATGGAGGGGGATATGAAGCTACCTTTGGGGGCTATGCCGCACTCGGTGTGGTCCTCTTCTTGCTGCTCCCCATTGCCTGGAAGCTGAACATGCCCGAAATGCAGCGAGTTCGAGCAGAAGCTAAAGCCAGACAACAGGCAGGTGGCTCCATAGAGGCCCGGACAATATTTCAGCAGATGAAGAGCTTGGAGTTTCTTGCGATCTTGCTGTTCAGCACGGTCCAATTGACACACTCGAACCTTTACATCGGTTCTGTCAATGAAGTGAATGCACAGATCGCCGGAAAGACAGACACTGCGGCGCAGCTCCTGCATGTGAATACCATTGTGTCCTTCGTCATTCCCATGGGCTTCCTGGCGGTTCCTGCGATCACTGCATCAATCCGCCGGTTCGGCAATGTTGGAACGCTGCAGGTCACGAACGTCTTAGGGATCGTCTTGAACGCCCTCCAGCTGATCCCAAGTCTGTGGCTCCAAGTTCTGACAGTGTGCCTATTCGCCGTCTTCAGGGCATTTTTGTTCAGCAACGTCCCGCAATTCAACGCGCACTACTTTGGAGTCTTGAACATGGGCAGGATTCAAGGCATTTGCTTTCTTTCAGGAGGTCTTGTGAATTTAGTCCAAGTTCCGTTGATCAATTTCAGCCTGCTGACGCTGAAAGACTTTACTCCAATGCTGCTGCTCTGCATACTGGTGACTCTCATCCCCATGATTGCCTGTGCCGCTCTACAACTGCAGGAGAAGCGCCAGGCGGGAGAAAACCTCCTAGAAGCAGGTCCAGTTCGGTCTTTGAGCCCAGCTGTCAGCCCAGCTCTGTCCAGAGTGTCCAGAACAGGGTCCAGATCAATGCGGGCACGGAGCGCGTCCTTGGCTTCGATTGCTTCCATGGGTGAAGGTATTGGGCACTCTCCGTCTCTTGGCGTCCTGGCCTCGCCAATGCACGGCAGCAGTACTTCGCTTCAAGTAATGAGCCTCTGTCCGAGCAGCTCTGAGGGGGACCTTGCAAACTTCGATCCGGAGGTTCATGGTGTGTCCATGGTTGAAGAGGAACAGACTCAGACAAGCTATCGCAGGGATCGATTGGGGACGTCATGATGCTCTGCCGCACTTGTAGATATCCCATGCGCAGACATGCGAGAACACGCTGGAAGAGTCCACCCAGCCTTCAGCTGGCAACTTGCTTGTTATTCGGATTCTAGATCCGCTATCAGAAACTAGCGATGTCACAAGCATCGTCTGTACAGCATTCACCAGAACATTTCGGCACCACAGCAAGTTTGCCTCCGACAGTGCACCGTCACACGATCCGCAGTGGGGCATTCTTTCTTCCAGCTCTTGCAGTGGCGCAACTCGATTTTCCAGTCTACATTGCACGAGAAGATGCGTGGAACAAAAGCGTTCTTGTTCCAACCGAACCGGTCACGTCATGAATCGACACAAGCAAGGAGCACCTTAGAATCCTGCAGGTGATGATTACCTTGCTAATTGCCCAAGCTGACCCCATACTTACATCGCAGCGACGTCTCAGGAGTTCATCCGGGCCGACTTCCAGGACCGCGTTCGAGCCGTTCTGGAAAAGGTGCCATGGCCGTCCAAGCAGCGACACCTGCGTTCATTCCTTGTGGAGTGAGATTGAGGTGTGTGCCTGTTCGTTCCCGCGGCGCAGGGCTGTTTGGATTTCGATAGACATATACATATGTATATATATATGTGTAACTGTGTGTATATATGTATATATATATGTATATATCTCATATATAGATATATACCTGCGCTGCCCACCCCGCCACGCAGACAGATGCGTCAGGGTGGGGATGTGCCAAGCAAAAGAAGTCTGTTTTTAGTGCATGTCCATGTTCTCTTAGCAGCGGAGCGTCAGCGTTTCAACATGCAAAAGTGAGAGTACAACTTGTGCCCTTGCTAGGCACTTCAGGGTGAAGCGACAGCCAGCTTCAAGTTCGTCCTGGTCAGCAAGGCGTAGCTAGCGTAGGGGCCACATTGACATGCCAAAAGATGTCATGGCATGTGGCAGCGCGTCACTGCGAGGTCAAGCATGTTTCTGACACTTGCCAAATCACATGCGTCCCCGACGCTTGTCGCAGTCTGGCGAACACCTGGAGCTTCTGCTGAATGCCACGCCGCGGCGTGATTCGCTTGGTGACGTCTTTGGCGTCGTATTCGTTGGCCAGGAATCTGACTGAATACAAGATGCCCCTGCAGTCAAATACTGTATTGATTTACAGTAGGCTCCTAAGTACACTGACGCAGGACATCACCGAGCTCGGCAGAGCCATGGTTGGGGCACAGCAGGCAGTCGTGCTATGGGAGGGACTCTGTGATGCGCAATGGCTTGAGCTGAGAAGCAGGTGGCGGAGGATTTGAAGCGGCTCCTGAACACGGCAAACGTTCCCATCTTCGAGATCGACCCGGAGGGCCAGGCCATTGCGCTGCTGAACAAACTGAAGCCATCTATGAAGTCTTAAAAAGGCTTCTTGACACATTCCTTTGGGAAGTATTTGGCCATCCACCCCTCCCCGAACTCGCTTCTCTCGGAAGGTGGTGGAGTGGAACCGCAAGGTCGCCACCATGACCGGCCTCTCCAGAGAGGAGGTAACCAGCCAACCCCTCACACGCCACGTGCGTGCCTGACGTCGTCAAGTACGACTCTTGCCATCATCCGACTTCAGATGATACTGTATGTGCCCGGAGCACAAAACTTCACAAGGCCATGTTCGATGGCCGTCACCCAAGCCCTGCGTATTGCGACAGTTCTACTCGTAAGTCTAGCCGTCGTGCCTCAGCTGAAGTACTTGTCGTGAGCATTCAATTCAGATCCTTTCAGACAGCGTCCATGGCGTTCATCCGAGTGTAAGGACCCGCAACTAGCCTTTGCCCATCTGACAGTATGGGGGGGGGCGAATGCAAGGTGATTCTGACGAGTCTGATGAGCTCGCAAGTGTCACGTCGCAACGCCTTGTTTGGGCTCAAAAAAGCATTGTAGACACTTCGTAGACTGTAGGAGTGGCTGCCGTTTCTGTTGAGTACGGCCCTCACATGCCATGTGCAGCCGGTAGGGACCGGCCTTGAGCTCAAGAGTGTCTGCCGCTTGGCGGTTAGTCAGTCGGTTTGCTGTCTGCATGTGTGACCAGATCACCACCACTCTTTCTGCGTTTTCGTTCACTTCTTGAACTTCTTGAGGTAGATGAAGCAAAGAGTTGTTTTGAGGTTGGGGGAGGGGGGGTTGGTGGTGAGGGGGTCTGGAGATCTGGCACTTGACAAACGTGAATTGCATGTGGCACATGAATCGGGCACCACAGAGACGGTTGTTTCGGCCGGTTCCGCCACCTGAAAAACCCTTTCGGAGGAGGAAACAAGCAAGCTCCTGAACATTCATTGCGTGAACGTTCGCGTGGCTTGAGTTTGGCTCGATGTCTCCCCCCACTCCGAGATGCATTTTAAAATGCAGAATAAATGTGGAGAGAGGGTTTCGTAATGTTTGATGAGGACATGGTTTTCCACTCAAGCTCTAGAAGACATTCAGGTTCTCCGATAGACTCAGGGCCCATAGATGGCAGCCATGTTTTTGCAGTCATACTGGTCTTGGGAAGAGCCGCAACCTCAACCAATATTGGGCTGGATCAAGCTCTCGGTGTGTAGCCGATTGCTACCGTTGACAAATTTGTAGGTTGGCAGGGTGGTCAGGTGTTTTTCGACTGTAGCAGCAGGGTTGGCAGAGATCCTGGACAAGTCACAGCATGCCATGTTGTCTGAGCTCTCCAAGGAGACTGGCTTGGGGATGGTGGTGGGGAGACGGCAGGGACTTCTAGAGCTAGTATTGAATCTTCACGAATTTCCCCAGTAACAAAGCACATGCGCATCAAGAAGAAGCTGGAAGTATGGTGGTGCACCCTTTCATCAGGCGAACCACAGCGACATATAGATGTCAAACCCTGTTCGTTTGATTCGCACTTGTTGCCTTTGTTCTTGCACCCTTGTCAGTTTGCAACGATATGGCTTCCTTCACATTACATGTGCATCTCACATTGCTCTCACTGCTTTGTCATGCTCATGAGCTGTGGCACTGTAGCCTCAGTGCCGTCCATGTCGTTCCCTTCTCAGCAGTCTACCTTTGTGGATCTCTTGGTTTTTCCGTGTTGGCAGGCTGCGAAGGATCAGAATTTTCAGTGATGCTGCAATCGCTCTTGCACGGTCGGGTCCTCGTGCAATGCTAAGGACGCCGAGGGTTTGACCTGGCAAGACTGTGGAGGTTGAGTACAGCCGCCAAAAGGCAGGGAACGACGGTCACTTCCCAAGCCTGGGGAGAATCTCATCCATCGCGAGGCCCGACCATGGGCTTCACATTCTACATCGGTGAGCTGCGCGTATTCTTCCCCTATGACAGCATCTATCCGGAACAGCGGCTGGCCGGCAGTTGTGCTTAGTTGCGCTTGTTTTCCGGCTTGGAGATTCTCGGCTTACTGGGCTTGGGCTTGATGTGACCACATTTGACGCGAACCTCAGCCCTAATCCCTGACCTATCTCCAGTTGACGTCGTATAGCACTCATACAGAGTAGTTTGAATTTCGCTTTCGACGTCAGCCAACACAAGCACATGGCCCCGTCATGCTATTCATTGAACGAGCTACCGAGCCAACAAGTCAGTTTCCAACAACGTGGCAACAGCAAGTTTGAAATATCATTGATCTTACTGTTGTCTACGTACTTTATTACCCGCTGTGGTGTTCCCAGTAGCTGCACACACACACAGACACAGACGCAGACACAGACACAGACACACAGACACACAGACACACAGACACACAGACACACAGACACACAGACACACAGACACACAGACACACAGACACACAGACACACAGACACACAGACACACAGACACACAGACACACAGACACACAGACACACAGACACACAGACACACAGACACACAGACACACAGACACACAGACACACAGACACACAGACACACAGACACACAGACACACAGACACACAGACACACAGACACACAGACACACAGACACACAGACACACAGACACACAGACACACAGACACACAGACACACAGACACAGACAGACACACAGACACACAGACACACAGACACACAGACACACAGACACACAGACACACAGACACACAGACACACAGACACACAGACACACAGACACACAGACACACAGACACACAGACACACAGACACACAGACACACAGACACACAGACACACAGACACACAGACACACAGACACACAGACACACACACACAGACACACAGACACACAGACACACAGACACACAGACACACAGACACACAGACACACAGACACACAGACACACAGACACACAGACACACAGACACACAGACACACAGACACACAGACACACAGACACACAGACACACACACAGACACACAGACACACAGACACACAGACACACAGACACACAGACACACAGACACACAGACACACAGACACACCGACACACAGACACACAGACACACAGACACACAGACACACAGACACACAGACACACAGACACACAGACACACAGACACACAGACACACAGACACACAGACACACAGACACACAGACACACAGACACAACACCCAGACACACAGACACACAGACACACAGACAGACACAACAGACACACAGACACACAGACACACAGACACACAGACACACAGACACACAGACACACAGACACACAGACACACACACACACACACACAGACAGACACAGACACACACACACACACACACACACACACACACACACACACACACACACATCACACAATCACAC